TTTTCTCCCTCATTTCAACTGCAGTAGCTTTACATGCTAAGCAAATACGGGCTCTTTTTTTTGGCGGGGACAAGGCAAGTCGGAAGCAGTTGTGCTCGTCTCAGGTTCTGTCTCATCATGTCTGCCACAATAACCCATTGAGGTTGATATGCCGTTAAACAAAATAAACCAAACCAATTTACAGTCTTCTTCACTTGTCCACTTCAGGATAAGCTAAGTTGGTCAGTATATCAGCCACCATTTTTTAGATTTACTATTTCTCCAAAGAGGTGATACTTCGCTCAGCTGATAGATTAATTTGAATCCTTGCACTTATAACAAAAAGAAATACCTGGTTATGAGATCAATAATTCAGATTACCAATCTTAGTGGCTTTTATCTTTCACCATTTTTCACTTACCTCTTTTGTTTTTTTTATCTTCTCAACGACAACCAATATAATTATCAGTTGACATTTTCCAGTGAACTGACAATCAATATGAAATTCTTATGTCCTCCCCTTTTTAGGTTCTACAACTTCTGCTAAGAAATTTGATTGTTCACTTCTTTCTCTTCTTGGACAACACTTCCATTTCTATTTATTTCTGTTCACAATCTCACTGCAATCTTCATTCTATTTCTTATTTTATATACACAGATTCGAGCAGACAATCCAAAATCACTTCTAATCAGAAACATCATTACAAAGAATCTTTAAGTATCAAAAATGAACAATCTTTCTTCAAGCTTTTATTTTATTTTAATTTCAGGCTAATAAATTAAATTTGATATTTCCAACAAGCAAAATACTTTGCTGTATTTCCAAACAAAATTGTTTGGAATGAGTTTTTTTTTAACCAATAAAAGTCGCTGATTTTAGCCATATTCTCTCAGTACAACGTAATTCTGTGCATTAAATAATCTTTCAAAAATAAAATATATTTTTCTGAAACTTTATTTGAGGAATTTTAATGTGTCTTCTGATTTAAAGTAACTACATTCCAGACTTCTGTTAAAACACAATGTTGACATCAGTGTAAACTTCTGTTTATGTTTGGTTTTCTATCTCAGATATTGACCACATTTTTACCTATAAATATAGCATACCTTAAAATTTTTGTTATCATAGATTATATATGATGGAACATCTTTTTTCAATGAAACTCTTTCTTGACAGTCTTTTCATGCATGAAACACCCTGTAAAGATTGAATAAATCTTGTGAGAAAATACATCCTTATGCCCCTGTACTCAGTTCATTTCCTACCCACATGTAGTCTATTTGCTCTCAGTACAAGTTCTGCATAATTCTAACATATTTTGCAAATAAATCAAATTTTCCTTGAAGTTCAAATAGATCCATATGTCATATCTTATCAAATGCTTTTGCATAATCTATCAAGCATAAGTATACATTCTTCTACCTTTTCTATTGTTCTGATATCTTTCTAATCATCAATGTCACATTTCTTGGTCCCGTATCCTTCCCAAAATCATAATGTTTTTGTCCTATTTCTGGTTTAATTCTGCTTCATGATTTATTCATTAAAATTTTGATTATAAACTTTGTTATGTGGCTCATTAGGCAGATTGTCCAATGGAGTTCACATTCATCTGCAACTGGCTTCTTAGGCAATGCTACAAAGATAGTCTTCCAGTATTTTGCCACTGTGGCAGATTTAATTATTTTTCTAAATTTTTGTCAATTCTAAAAATCTTCTAAGGCTGCCAGTGTTCTGAAATGAATTCTTCCTTTGTGCTTTTTATATAAATTTATTGTATGCAAATGAATATATATTTTCTTTTATAAATTCTGCTGTATTTTAGGGAGGGAGATTATCTGGAGAGATACCAATAGTGTTGTTCAGATCAGTTTCTTTAGTTGAATAAAGCCTTTCTTAAGGTTATTGTCTTGTCTTTCTGTTGTTTTGAATTGCTTTTAAATTTATAATAATTTATTCAACAAAAGAGGGAAGAATTTAACATGTCCAAAAAACTCAAACCATATCAACTGGACCTAGATCACAATGTCCCTAATGTTTCTAAGGACGGGAAACTTTGGAAAAGAACAACTGAAAATTTTAATCTGCAATGTGGGGAGAAAGTGCTCAACAAGTTCCAATCTCTGATAAATTGTGTTTCATCTGGGGTATATGAGTATATTGAAGACTGTAGAAATTATGAGGAAGCCATCCAAACACTGGACCAACTGTATATCAAGACATCTAACGAGATCCGTGCTTGGCATTAGTTTCTGACCATCACCATGCACATCACTGATGGAATCTGTTATTTGCCCATCTTGTTTTACATACTCCTAAAATGCTGATATTTAGCATATTCATTTCTTGCTTTGATATTTTCAAGCTGGCCATATTGATTTAACATCCTTATGTTCCATGTCCATATTACTATCTTTCGTCTTAATAGAATCAAATGATGCAGGTTATCACCCCTTAGTATGAACAGCAGAATGAGAACATTATCTCTTACATTATTCAGACTGTTATCCTCATCTTAATTGCCATATTCACAACTTTTCGCCATTGTATGCTCCGGCCTTCTTCAGGTGATTGGAATTTCAAACCAAACCCTTTATTTCATCCACCTGGGTAGATTGAAATAAATGGCTTAGTTCAAAATTCCAATCACCTGAAAAAGGCTGGAGCATACAATGGCCGAAATGTGAATATGGCAATGAAGATGAGGATAACAGACTGAATAATGTAAATAATGTAAGTAATCATAATACCTCATTTCAGAGATATAGACAAACACTATGTCTGTTTTGATTAATTGGTTCAGTTTGAAACTTTGAGGGTTACAAACTATGACACATATACACTTATACAACATTTTACAAGTGCAAGAAACTTAAGCAGTGTTCCAATGATCAAACATGTGAATGATTTTGGAAGAATTAAGAAAAAATGAGAAGTGATGTGCCAAAGGTATTGAACTGTGGACTCTGGTATTCTTTTTTGATTGAATTAAGAACTTTTCAACACTCAATGAACAGAAATTGTTCAATATAAAATAAAAGGTACATTTGATTTTAAACTTTGTAGTTTTTGTTATGAATTATTTTCACTTAAAATTACAGATTAGATTTTTATTATTCAAGTATTGAACGTCATTGATTTAAAGTTTTTTTTCAGAGCATGCATGCAAATATTGATTTTTCTTAACATTGTTATTGACCTGAATCTGTTCTATATAAAATAGAATTTAATGAATTGTTATTTCCTGCCTATTATGTAACCAAGTTAGTTTTCTCAGAATTTAAAGGATAAAAGACAAAGCATTCATCCATTTAGCAGATTTCTATTATAATAATGTTGATAATATTCATATTAATAATAATTTGCCTAAAGTATTTCCTATTCTACAATTGTTTTTCCTATACAGTAATTGTTGAGTTCCATTTGGCAAATTAATTCTTCTTAAGTCAGTGAATTTAATGCCTGTTTTTACAATCCACTTATATCAAGATGTAATGTTTATTTTCTTCCTCATTTTAATCGATCAGGTATGCATAATGCCGTATAGTAAGAGTCCACTTAACTTTTAAAATAGAAAAATAACCAATGTCAGAGAAATTGTAAGGGAGGAAACTCTGCTATTAAAATAAATAGCTTCACTTGATAATCTCCCCTTCAACTTTGACTTTTTTTTTTTTTTCTATCCATACCAGAATTAAGTGTTTCGCTAAAAATACAAGCGTGGTGGTGGTGGTTGGGGACTGAAAGAACGACGAAAGGAGAAACAAGATACAGAAATTTATACTAAGTTAAAAATACATTCATCAAAGAAAATAAATCTATAAATTCTAGCAAGTAAACTGAACCATGGATCCTGAATTTGCCAAGGTGAGCCATATATTCTTGGGGTAGCAGACCTCTACAATCAAATTGTGGAAATAAAATATTAAAAATTAAAATACGGCATTTGCTTTCCTTAATAATCCATCTCTCTCTCTCTCTCACTCTCCTTTTTCCATAACTAATCAGACACTAACTCTCATATAGAAAGAAGACGAGACTGTATGACAGTCTTTGTGAGATGAAAGTTTTGCTGGCCCAAGGTCTATTTTATTGTCACTAGAAATCAACCAAAACAAAAGATGCATAACTTCTGCTATAAAAAGTAAAAGAAAGTAAAGAACAAAAAGAAACTAAAATAATTTTGGTCAATCAAAAGAAGGATGAAACTTTTGATTTTAGCCGAATTGAGATTTGTACCCAAGCCATTTGGAGCCTTTCAAAATTGTATATAAACAATGAGGTAGAGAGACAACAAGAGAGAGACAGCCAGAAACTGCACACAAACATGTTGTGTGAAAAACTAAGTGGTTGTTTGTTAAGACACTTTTCTGCTCTAAAATAATTTTTATAAAGCCATCATTTCTTCCTCTTTCTGACTTTTATTTACATTGTCCTTATCTTTGTTGTTGTTAACACATTTTGGATGTTAAACCCACTCACCTTCATCAGGTGTATGTTGGTCCGGGTTATCTACAGGTAATTTCAAACTGAACCAATTATTTAACCTACATGTGTAGATTGTCTTTGTTCCACTGCCCATGTCTAGGGACATCCCATCTAGTACTTATTTTTAGTACTGCTCAGTTATTGCTTGCCTTGTTTCCGAGCCTACACTGTGTTGGACAAAATCCGAGCAGATTAAAGCATTGGTCTGTGAATTTGACCACATAGTAATTGTGAGTTCAATCCCTGGGCTGGGCAGTGTGTACTTGGACTCAATGGAAATAGGCTGAGAAAGTATAGGTGAAAGCTGGAGGACACAATGGCTGAAAAGTTGTGATAACAACAACAAAGATAAGGACAATAGCCCACATGTAAATAATGATAATTTCTCATCCCAAAAATTAGATAAAAATTGTAGACATTTTTGGTCTTTTTATTTCTCGTAATAATTTTTGGCCATAAAAAATTAGAAAACCAAACATGAATACAAATTTGAAAAGCCGATTTATTCGTCAATAAAAATTTTATCCAAATGTCAACTTAGCATTTTCAGGAGAATGTCTTTCACTTTCTGAGGATTGGCACAACCATCAGTAGCATTCAAGACATGTACAATGAGTGGGTTGATAGCTCTCTTCCTACCTTTCTTGAACTTCATTACCTGTAAAACAAAGCAAAGGCTTTACTAAATTACTTATTCAATAATAATACTCAAGTGAAATCACTAATGTTATTTAGTTCAACATTACCAGCCACCAATGGCAATATTTTATCAAACAGATGACTGCTTAAATTACACTGATCAATACAATTTTTGGTGATAAGAAACAAAACACATTTTTTAGCTAATCTGATGGTGCTGATTCCGAAAATGAGCTTAGGTTTTCATTTTTGCTGCACTGAAATTGCTCATTTTTAGAAGAAAGATCAATTTACAACCTTGGCTGATCACAAAATTTAGTTAATAAAACCCATTAATTTTCATGTAAGCCAAGCAATTTATGTCAGCCACCTGAAATAAACTATTTTTATAATAAAAATTTGTTTTTGAGTCAAAGATTTTAAAACAGAACTACCACTTGAAGGATGGGATTCCTTGAAATCCTTTTTCTTAACTAAGTTTGGAAAGTCTAAAAGTGACAGATTTGAATTGATAATAAACATCACAAAGAAATATTTTCTACTTTACAACAAATGAAACAAAACTTGTAGAAAAATATTTCCTTTTAAATTTTTTTTATGGTTTCAGAAAATGTTTTTAAATTATTCACATTATTATTATTTTTAGTTTAATGAAAAAAGACAGAATAATTCCAGTGAAAAAATATTTTAAAAATTCTCCATTGTTCAATAAAAAGTCTGCTTTCTTCCAGTGAAGTAATGGTTAACAAGGCACGTCTGGTTGAACATTACTACTTATTAGTAAGTTGGATTCTTACTAGGTACCTTGTATAAAATTCAAAATCAAATAACCCAACAAAAGTTAACAAACTTAACCTAATCATAATTGCCACAGACCTGCACATTTTATATTGAAGCCATTTCAATCCCCAATGAGGCTTAATTTTTCCATGGCAACAAGGGACAAAGAGAATCTCTCAAGATTGTTAGCTTCAATCTAATTTCCTCATTCTTTTCTCAGGGTTAACTTAATGTTGACTAATCTAAGGTTAAACCCCTAAATAAAGTTTTTTCATATTAGCACACCCAATAGAAGAAACACTAGTGTGGGGTAACTAAGAGACTATGCCATTTGTTTTGTACATCAGATTTTTTGTTCGCTGATAGCTACTTCCTTTTTTAATATGTAATGTTTTTCTTTTTTTTTACCTTTGTCGTAAAAAACATTATATTAAAGGAACTATTATCTCTGTTCTTCTTTTTATATTTGATTTTTGCCTACACAATGGCTACCTGGTCATTCTTGCTTCTTTTACTTGTGTGTGCCATGTCCCTTCAGATCATGGATGAGCATGACTTTCCACAACATCCTTTCCCTTGCTAGTATTAAGTATTTTTGAAGAATTGTTATGTTTGAAAATGATGTAATGAATATGCATACACCTGGGTTCCCCCCTCACAGTAATATGATTGGATGGTGTCAGCTATAAATACAGACTGATGTGGAGGTACAGGGTCTTCGCCTATTATCTTCGCCTATTGCCTACCACTATGACGAGGACCAGTCCATTACAGTTACCTGCTAGATTGTCCTACCCGGTTACAGTAGTCAACAACCACTTTGCTACCTCGAACAAATATATCCCTTTCCAGGACATATCAGAAAACACAAATGATTCATTTCCATTAATGATGACAGAGTAGTGAGAACAAAAAGTACATTTTAAACACAAGACAAAAATGAAACAAATTCTAATATAAATAAATTTTGTTTCCAATAGAGAATATCTTTTAAGTAGGTTAATATTTCTAAGAAAAAGAAAAAAAGCCAATAATTTAAATGTTTCTGCTAATATTATTTCTGCTGAGCCAAGCAAGACTAAGCAAGACTTGTAACAATTTATGAGATGCTTCCAAGAGTTTAAAGAAATACTTACTGCTTCTGGATACTGAGAAAATGCTTCTTCACAGAGATCTTTCAGCCGATCAATATCATTGATTTGGTACCATTTGTTTGATTCGACAATATTTCTCACTGACTGGGAGGGACGGTTAAAAAGTTCTATCAGAACCTGGAAGATACGATTACATAAGATTTTTCATGTGAGAAGTTTATGAAACTTCAAATAGTTGCACAATTGTGGTATATGGGTAAAGATTTACGAATCACTATAATGAAGTATTTGATGTTATGAAAGTCAAATTGGTCAAAAAGTTGTTATGATTTGCATAAGTTGCTTTTTGAATCTTCCAACACCAAATATGAAGACAGTTCTTGTGTATAGATTTCAGACATGAAGAACGACTAGCAGTATGACTATGACCAACAAGTCCCAGACTTTTCTCAACAGATGACCCTATGGAATTTCCAACACCAATTCTGATGGGAAAAACTAAATTCGAGTAATTGGCCATGGTTAAATGTAAATAACAGAACTGCTCAAAAAACCAGAATTAACAAAGTTTGCAATGAACAATAACAAGAGAAAGAAAAGAACAGGGTAAAAATAAACAAACAATATATGCAAGGCAAAGCAACAGTAATAAGGCAAAAAGTTGACAATCTAAGAATGGTGTTGACACATAAAAGTGATACAGTGTTTTGACATCAAGACAAGAAAGAACAGAAGCAAGTCTGATGAGACCAAGAAGTGGACTATCTTATTGACTAAGAAGAAATCCCAGCATGCATCAGTGTTTTGTCTATAAATTTAGGGAGGGGACAGGGAATGTTTTGCAGTCATTCCAATCAAGATTGAAACCAACAACCAGCATGTAGAAAAATGAAAATACTATCAGACACACATCCTACACAAACCAACTGATAAGGTACAAAAACAGGTGTTGAAATGGAATCAACAGCGGATGAGTAGGAAGGCCAAAAGGAGAAAAACAGCTGAGAGGTTCTGCATTTAGTCCTAAGCTAACACATACTTCTACAAAAAAATTAGAAATGGTTGTTAAAGTTAAAATCTAGTGCAGAATTAAAAAATATCAAATATGCTAAATTATTCTTTATAACAGAAGCAGTGTTGTTAGGGTTCAGCAACTATAGCCCACAGGAATCACTTCCCGCTAAACCAACATGACAGTTTGAATCATAACAGATGTTCTTGACTTTTCAGGAGTATCTTTTCCTAATTTTCCTCTTAGGACAGAATCTCTAGTGAGTGATATGAACAGAATTCATTCCATGGTTACTGCTATCATCTCCTGCAGGCTTGTCAGTATCCCTGCAATTGTCATAAGGAAATGTGCTCTTGAACTGACTCTGATCCTTTCCAAACTCTACAACAAATGCCCTGCAACTTCTTGCTTTCCAGCTTGTTTGAAATTTTATTCTGTAGTTCCTGTCTTTTAGAAGACTTATGAACAATCTGATCATCCTATTAGTTTTTTTACCTCCTTTTGGAAAAGTATTAGAGGCTCTCATCAACTCTGAATTGGTTAAGCATCTCACTTCAAATGGCTTCTTTCAGATAAACAATATGGCTTTTGTTTTTTTGCTAGGTTTACTGCCAATGTGTTAATGGTCATTACCGAATTTGTCTATCTGACTTAAGATAATGGCAAGGCTCAGACAGTGGCTTTAGATATCTCAAAGGTGTTCATCATGCTGGCATTCTTCACAAGCTCATGGGCTCTTGTTGAATATTTGATTTAATCCAATCAGTCTTAAATCATGTAATGAAGGTTGTGTCACCAGCTCCCAACTAGGTATTTATGCTGATGACACATCTATTTACTCCAGTTTTAATAGTAGGTACAATAGGTCTGAGAAAGTAAAATTGGCAGCTGCTATCAAAAATTACCTCAGTTGCTAACTGGGGCAAGCAATGACCTGTAAATGTTAACACGTTCAAAACAAGAATACTATTATTTAATAATCAGAGAACACATTTTTGCTTTCCATTAGTATGGCTGATGCTAACCACCAGGTGAGCAACTCATTGTGCCTTCTTAGTCTCACATTTTTCACTAAAATGAAAAGGAATGATTATATTGAACCAATTGTTAGGGAAATTGGTTCACTGTGTCTGAGCCAGGTAATTATATTGCATATTTATAAATCTACTATTTGTCTGTACATTGAATATTGCTGGCAGATCTGGTGTGGTCCTCCTGCTGTATATCTTGAGATTCTCAACAAAATCCAAATAAAAGTCTGTAATCTTGACTGCGGTCACCTGCCCACTAATGTAATGTGGCTTTTGTCTTTTCTGTAAATATTTTCATGACAATTGTTGTACTGAACCCTTTTTCTTCGTACCTCGATCAAATGAGTTTAACCATTGGCAAATAAATCTCATTTTTTTACTTTTGAAAAAGCTAGATGAAACCATAAGTTCTACCATTCTAATAGTTTCTTTTCTTGTAGTTCTCATCTGTGGAACACACTGAGTTTCTTGCTTTCCTGTCACCTACAATCTTCAAAAATTTAAATGCAATGTCAATCACCATCTATTGTCTTCCTAAATCCTATTCTTTTATTGTCCTTTCTTCTCACTAAAGTCTTTTCATTTTCTTTCTTTCTCAGTAACCTGTTGTGTCTTGGTAGCTTTATTGCCTTGCTTGGGGTGAAATGACTAAAAAATAATGTCTCCTTTCACTTTAAATAGGATGAGAGGCGAAAACTATAATTTCTTTTTTACTTAGGAAGTGGATGTTTTCACTTTATCAAATATGCACAAACTGTGACTCAATCTAAAACAAGTTTTCAAGTGTGTGGTTTTCAACAGTAAATCAAAAATTCTGTCCTGAACAAAATTGAACTGACAAGAATCTGCTAGTATTTTCTTTTGTCTAACTGATGTACTAATCAGAATAAAGTGCTAATACCTACTCATTAGGATAAAGTACTAATACCTACTAGTCGCAATAAAGTACTAATACCTACTCGTCAGAATAAAGTACTAATACCTACTTGTCAGAATAAAGTCCAGTTCTTATCAAGTATAAGACATGATTTCTCATCAATTCTTTCTGTCATTATTTCATTATATCCAAAAATGTCCATAGTGGAAAATTTTGTTGGGATAATTCCTGATACTCAAATATATTAATTTGTAAATATATAAATTCCTGTCTGAATCTCTGGGATGAAGAATTATTATTATTTACACTAGGACTATATACATTTCATTATTTTACTCAATTCACTCAAGCAAGGCAATAATGTCACTAAGGTGCACAAAGCTAATGGGTGTGAAAGAGAATGAAAAAACTTTAAAAGGAAATGGAAACCCAATCCTAAACAGAGAACAATATATAAACTTCTCCTTTTGTTCAAAAGACCAGGCAAGGAGTGTCAACTGGATGATAGACAAACCTAACTGCTATTATTGAGGAGAAAAAAAAATAGAAAACAAAATTTCAAAATTCAGATGGAGACATTAGAAGTATGGAGACTTTAGAAAGAACTGGAAACTCAATCCTAAAAAGAGAACAAGGGATAAACCTCTACTCCTGTCCAAAAGACCAGACAATAGGCAAACCTATCTACTATTGAAGAAAAAAATATAAAAAAAAAGTAAATAATAAATAAAATTTAGGTGGAGATGTCACATTTAAGAAAATATGGATAAAAATAGAAGGAAAAATAAATGACATAAAATTAAGAACTATATATATATATATGTATGTATGTATAGACAGACTCTTATGTTCATAATGGTGGTGGAGGTGATGGTATACATTTTAGAATCAGTAATTATTAATTACATTTTTGGCTGTTCCCTTGGAGATCTCATCTTTGTCTGTCAGGGTGCAAATATCAGCAAGAGCTGAGGTTGGAATGCCACTGAAAAAGTTAAAATAAAATTAATTTCATAAATTTTTAAAAAGAATGACAAATTTTTGGTAGTGATACTAGTGGATATATTAACACTTTCATTGCAGCATTGTTGCCTGACTGTGCTGACCTGTTTTGTGAAAAATAAAAAATTGCTATAATAAAGATGTTGACAGCACTTTCTCATGGGTGCTGCCAATTTGGTTTTGACTGGATCCTCTGCAGTACAGACCAAGCTAAATGACACCCTAGCCAACACAGCATAAAATGAAAATACATTACAAAACAGGTCATATACTATATGTCTATACTGTATCTGTCTATATTTCTGAGATGAGGTATTATGTACACTATTTACATTATTTGGACTATTGTCCTCATCTTTGTTGCCATATTTAGGAGATAACTGATAACTGACATCCATTAGACATGGCACATAGAACTAGAACAGTCTACCCCAGCAAGCAAAATAAAGGGTTCAGTTTGACATTCCAACCAACTGAAGAAGACCGGAGCATATAATGGCTGAAATGTTGTGATAAATATGGCAACAAAGATGAGTACAATAGTCCGAATAATGTAAATAATGTCTATGCTGGTTTGGAAATAAGCCTAAGCATGAGTTAACACTAGGGATCAACATTTCATAGCATCTTGAAAATGTATACATATATCAACAGCAGGCAATATTAGTTTTGTAAAGACTTTTATCAGTATGTCTACAACAGTGAAAGTGTTAAGCATCTTCAATAATCTTTTTGAATGAAGAGAAAAGGAAATAGGAAAGTAAGTAAAAAAATGAAGAATAAAAGTGGAAAGAAACACCTTTATTTATGCTATTTACATTGTTGCCATTGTCATAAGGTTTTGAACGTTGTATGCTCCAACCTTCTTCAGGTGATTGGAATTTTGAACTGAACCCTTTACTTTGTCCACCGGGATAGATTGTTCTATTTCCACATGTCATGCCTCTTCCAGATATCTCAGTATCAGTTATTTCCTTTTAACTCAACTCTCTTATTGTTCACCTTTGCTGTAGCCAGGTATTGAACTCATAACTCTTTGTTTGTAGTCACTGTATTACTTCAATTAATGCTTTTATCCACTGGGTCATGTGTACTTGAGGAAGAGGCACGGTATATGGAACAAGAATGATCTACCCCAATGGAGGAAATAAAGGGTTCAATTCGAAATTACAGTCATCTGAAGAAGGCTGGAGTGTAAAACAGCCGAAACATTGTGAATATGGCGATGAAGACAACATTTTGAACAATGTAAATAGTGTAAATAGTTACAATACCTCCTCAGAAATATAGACAGAAAAATACCTTCGTAGAAATATCAGAATCCTTAATTAAATTCAATATTGTCATTTTATATAAGCATACATGATAACATATCACAAATTTCAGTTAATAACTTTAAAAATAATGTTAGAATAATTATAAAGCATATTCCCATCAATTTAACTCGGACATTTTTTTTTGGATATTTTGACGTGTCAGTTCTGAGTAAAATGTCTGTATATGATTTTGCAAATTTCTTGCTTTCCTTGAATCCATGAGAAAGATCAGAGAGGAGGAAAACAAATGCTATTTGTTTTAAATTATTAATTTTAAACTCTGTATTTGCCATTTAGGTATAACGATGACATCATATAAAAGGTGATAAAGTGATATCTATGTGCAACATATGAATTTGATGTTTGTAAATCATGGTGATATATAACTGAATACAGAAAAGTTTGGGGCTTGACCCACTTCTACAATCTAAGTATTATTTTGTCATCATAGTGAGAAAGACTGTTCTTTTACAAAGTGCCAAATTGCAGGATCTTTGCACTTGTTTTTTTTTTAATTTCTCTCATGTCATTTGCTTAGCTATTTCAACAGAAAGTGTGGAATTTTAAACTATTGAACTAAAAACTATCATGAAATTCTTGTTCTTCTTGCAGAAGAAAATTCTAAAGGAAATCTCCAGATGTATTATATGCAAATAATGGGTAACAAGTTGCTTTCTGGGTTCATAAAATACCTGGGCATATTATAGATCCAGGAAAAATTATCGAATAAATGTTTAACACTGAATATAGATCATTATTGTCCAAATAAAGGGTAAAATTTTAGTTTCACTATAATGATACTAAAAATGCACCCAATGTCCCTGTTATATTATCAAAGAATCATTTTGGTTTGGTTTGGGTTATTTCATGCCAACAAGATTTTTATTGCTGCTAATATTTTAATCTTCATCTCTAGGTTTTCTGCTACATATTGGACTGTTACTGCTGCTTAGAATCTGAATGAAGGTGTTAATAATACTATTGTCTTATTAAGTTACTGCTAACTAAATGACAGTAAGTCACTTAATTTCTGTACAACATTCCATCAAGACAATTATTTAATTAAAAGACATAAAGAAAGAAATATTAATATACTAGTATAGGACTTATCACAATTATTTATGCATATGTCTTGTAACAAATGTATGAGTGAATGTTTGACGAGGCAAACGTCATGGTGGCAGGTACAAAAATGGCAGTGCACATGCGCAACCAGAGTGGGAGTGAAGCTCGTATTTATTTGCATAAGTGTATGCCTCACCGGCATAGAAGCTGAGTGTTTGTGAGGGTAAAGGAAAGAGTTGTCCAGTTGTGTGAAAGTCTCATGTGTTGTTCGTTTCAGTGTCAACTGAGGAGGAGGAGGAGAAGAATAATTCAGTAATTTCATTACAGATAGGTTACAAGCTATTTTGGTGTTATGACTGACGGAAAGTTCGATCTAAAGCTCATGCCAGAATACAACAGAACTACGTCGATTGTTGATTGGCTAGAAAGAGTAGACCTGATCTGCAAACTTTCAAGATGAGTCAGTAGATGAGTTCTACGCAGCATTGAAGAAACTCTCCAGCCTGTTCGGAGGAATGCCTGACCGAGCACTGAAGTATGCGTTCATAGCTGGACTGCCTGCCCACACCCAGGAGTTGTTGTGGGCCTCTGCCGATGTTGACCACATTCCTACAGAAAACATGCTTGGCCGGGCAAGAGTAAACAGCGAAAGGGTTGCTGCCACCATCGACCGACCGGCTACAGAAAAAGTGCCTCTACCCAAGCCCACCGAGAGCTTGCTGCATTACTTTAATTGCTCTGGGCCCAAACATCTGACCAAGCATTGCTAGTTTGAACGACTGGGGAAGCGCCAAATGCCCAACATCCGAAGTTACGGGTACCAGAAGGAGGGCTGTGTCGTGTTGAAATGTCCGGAAAACGGAGACAGGGGCGAGATGTGAGCACCACTCTTGCCCTGATTAATGTGAGAACTAAGCTGCCAGTGATGCGCGTGTGCATCAACGGAGTGATGCGTAATGCATTGGTTGATTCAGGATGCACACGGTCTCATGTGAAGAGTTCAGTTTGTGGTCCACCAAATGGACATAGGACAGATGTACTGACTGACAGAAGGAGCATGTCTAGCAGGGGAGTGACCAGTGTCAATCTACAGGTGAATAAGAGGATTCCTGTAGTGGTCGAAATGCTGGCAATGGGTAGAGATCTATTGGGGTTCAATATTCTGCTTGGACTTGATGTTATACGCCTGTTGGGTGGTGTTCATATAAATGAGCATGGTGAGGCCAGTTTACCAAACGAAGTGTCCAGTGTTGGCGCTGCTGTCACAGTAAAAATAGAAAGACCTGACTTTGATGTGGAATTTGACCCCACTAAGTAAATATGGACAGTGACCTGGAAGTGGTCGGGTGAGCTGCCGCCAGATCAGTTGATCAATCAGACGCCTGAAAACACTGTGCCAAAAGACATCAGGAAAGAATATAATTGTGAGTTGCAGACTTTGATTCATAACAGATGGCTGATACCATACCCGTAGAAGGAGCTCGATCCCCCGAGAGGCTTGATCCCGCTAATGGCAATTGTTCAGCCTAACAAAGGAAAAGTGTGACCTGTTATGGATTACCGCAAACTAAATGTCCACATAGAAGGATACATGGCATGCGCCGATGTGTGCTCTCAAAAACTGAAAGACTGGCATAGGAAGGGGTCCGATGTGTCGGTGTTTGACTTAAGAAAAGCCTATCTTCAGGTGCCTGTGCACCATTCTCTATGGCCATTCCAAACTGTGATGGTTAAAGGGCGAAGATACTGCCTAACTCGGATGGGATTTGGGTTGAACGTAGCCCCCTACATTATGCAGTCGATCGTGGAGGCTGTTCTATCCAGAGGTGTGACTGTTCAACAGGCGACATTGGCATACATAGACGATGTGTACATCAACAACAGAGTGGTGCCCGCGGAGCAGGTAAGACAGCATTTTTCCCGGTTTGGGCAAGAAAGCAATGATCCGGAGCGACTTGAAGATGGTGCTCGGATACTTGGACTGGAATTCTGGGGGGAGTGTGGCACTTTGCAGTAGAAGCGTGGGAGTGTGATTCTGGATATCCCAGAAGATGTGACACGTTGTGCTGTTTTCTCTCTATGTGGGAAGCTGATTGGGCATCTGCCTGTGTGTGGGTGGCTCCGAGCAGCAACAACAGACTCAGTGAGCGTGTATCACTGGCTAGTGGATACACTCACCAGAAAGACACGAGTACGTACGAAGGCCACTAGCGAGATGTTGTTCCAACGACGATTGGAAACAAAGTTGCTGGTAGAAGAATATGGGTTGTCCATAGATGTTACTCTGATCTCATCAAGCCAGAACTTAGCGGACCCCATGACCCGGTACCGCAAAGGTGGCTCGAGAGGATGAAATCTGCGACTGAGCCTGTACTTCTGGCTTGTGCCGCGAGGAGTGATGAGATGACAAGTAGTCAGATTATGGAAATACATAAAGGTAGTGGACACCCAGGCATCCGACTTACTGCGTATTTCGCCCGGAGGGTTTGCCCAGCAATTACCAAAGCAGATGTGAGGTCGGCTATCAGGGCATGTGAAGAGTGTCAGACAATCGATCCGGCCCCAGTTCATTGGACAAAAGGGGGATTAGTGGTAAAAGCTAATTGGTAAAGACTGGGGATGGATATAACCCACTACAACGGCAAACACTTCCTGACGATCACCGATTGCGGTTCAACCCATTTTACCAACTGGCGGCCATTGTCGCAGCAGGACTCCGGAAACATTATTTGACACCTCGAGTCTATGTTCTTTGAGCGCGGTCCGCTGCAGGATTTGTTGACAGACAATGACACTGCGTTCTCCAGCAGTGAGTTCAAGGAGTTTGCAGCCAGCTGGGGAGTGCACCTGCAATTTCAGTGTGCCTATGTGCCAGCAGGCAACAGCATTGCAGAACGATGTCACCGCAGTGTTAAACGGATTGCAGCCAGGATGGGGTGTTCTGTTCAAGAAGCAGTGTATTGGTACAACGTAGCACCCAAAGATGATACATCTCCGTTGGCTGCACCTGCCAACGGAATCTACAGATATGAGGTCAGGATAAGGAATATCGACCCAGTAACAACTTCACCAGCTCCTGCACAAAACAGATACTGTTTGGGAGACTCTGTGTAGGTCAAAATGCCCCATTATCGATGCACTTCCAGATTCCAAAAAGGAACAGTGACAGAGGTGATCAGCCCGCAATACGTTGTTGTCAACGGTGTCCCACACCATATAAAAGACGTACGACCCCAGACAAATGTCATCCTGTCTGGCGAAACGGATGATGAGACTTCTGACGACACTGGGTATATCACACTGCCTAGCCGACAAACAGCCCAAAATAGAGAAGCCACAGAACCACCCTTGCGACAAAGCACACACTGGAGATTACCAACACAACTTTGCCCATGCTATGATCATCAAGGATCAGGGGGGAGTGTAACAAATGTATGAGTAAATGTTTGACGAGGCAGTGTGTGACCAGACTGGGAGCAAGGCCCGTATTCATTTGCATAAGTGTATGCCACACCGGCATAAAAGTTGAGAGTTTGCGAGGGTAAAGGAAGGAGTTGTCCAGTTGTGTAAAAGTCACATGTGTTATTCGTTTCGGTGTCAACTGCAGTGTAAGACTGAGAAGAAGAAGAAGAAGACTACAACGACGGAGAAGACAAAGACTTCAGTAATTTCTTTACAGATAGGTTACAGTCTATTAGACAGTTAATTGTTGTTCTGCTGTTCATTCTAGTTTTGTGAAATGTGAATTATTTAAAATTCAAATTAAATTGAACTGATTTTGAAAAGTGAAATTTATACAAAATTTTAAGTATTCAGAATTATTCTTTTTAAAAATCTACTTTCAATTGTCTAAGAAATTTTGACTTGAAAAGATTAATTTTAAAAGCAAATAAATTTACAATTTATTGAAATGTTGAAAGTAAATATTTCAAAGAAAAATGAAAACACTGGAAGAATCTAAAATTTCTGTTTTTATTCCAAATCTTCTAAGCATCATTTAAAAAAAAAAAATTTAGCTTTCAGCTGGAAAAGGAAATTATATGAAAGGAAAAATAAATTAATGATACTCTGAAAATTTCTGCCCCATTTTTTTTCTTAAATCATAAAAATATTCAACTTTTTATTATTTTCATGCATACATTTACATGCCGACATATACAGAATGTGTGTGGAAAGAAAAAAAGAGAGAAAGAAAGAAAGAGAAAGAAAAAAAAGAGAAAGAAAGAAAGAGAAAGAAAAAAGAGAAAGAACAATATTGTTTAAGAAAGAAAAAGAGTATGATAAGCACTGATAATTTTCCCAGGCTTAGTGGATAAGGGGGGTGCCTTATAAACTACTGAAATCAGTTTGTTCTTCATGAATATATTCCAAAGTTGGTTCAGTTTAACAAAATGTCTCAAATAGTAGAAGTAACTTACCTGTTATCAATAGACAAATTCTTACTCTTTAGAACTGAGAGGAAATCATTCATCAAGAAATTGGCAATGTTCTGTGGCTTCACCAATGGATCATGACTAACAATAGCCAAAATGTCTTCAAACACAACTATCATTCCATGTTCAAACTATTAAAAACAATTACTTCAAATCAATGTACAAATAGCACACAATGGGATATAAAAGAGTTTATGAGTTTTGAGATTAAGCATTGTCATCATTTAATGAATTATTCATATTAGCATTTTCATGTTTGCTATTTGAATCATTATGGGCATGTGACTGAGTGGTTAGAATGTTCGCATTCTGACCATGAGACCTGGGTTTGAATCTCACTATTGGTCAATATGTCAGGAAGGAGACTTCCTGATGTTATCGGACTGGATGGCTTGATTCCAGCATGCGGCACCTTTGGAAAGTGCCTGAAAACCATACCATGGGTTGACCCAAGCCTTGTGAGTGAAATTGGGTAGGTGGAAGCCTTTGGGGTGGGGCGTTGATACCAGTGCTAGCACAAAGTCACAAGTCACTGTAGTCGAGGGCTTGAGCGTGCTGGCCTTGTTCAGACTGTTGATCACACTAAGGTCTGTTCAGCATAGTTGCAGTATAAACCACAGGTGGGCTCTTCAGCAAGCATCTACAATAGGGATTTGCTAGCCACCCTAGTAGGCAGGTATCCTCGAATATGAGTGGCCAGCTACAAATATATATATATATATATATATATATATATATATATATATATATATATATATATATATATATGTGTGTATTTAAATCATTACATTTTGGCTGGCTACACCAAAACAGCAAAGATGAGGATAAATAGTTCACGGAATAATAATAATCTTTCAGACAAAGTTCAAATGTATTAGACCATAACAGAAATATAACAACAAACAGGTTCAAATAGAATATGGCTAATCCTATTAGTCACAGTGGCAGAGGAAGGTGTTTAATCCTAGAACACTAACCATCAATTGAAGTTACACCACTACTAACCATGGGTATATCATATCCGATTTTGAAAATATCAAAAAAGTACTAAATATAAATCTTTATTTGAAATATTTTAAATGCAGGCACTTCAAACTTTGTGCTTTGAGTTAACATTAATAGGAACTGAAAAACATATTTAGGTAAGAAAACCAGGTACTGAAAATTGTAATTAAAAATAGAAAAATTTGTGAAGGTACTATATACCCTTGGTTAGTGTTCCAGAGTTAATGATAAAGCAATATTAAAGTATTTTAATGAATAAAGGTACTAGAGGCTCTACTCAACTCTAACTTGGTTAAAGAATCTCACTTTGCACACAGTCTTCCTTCAGACAAGCAATATAACATTTGCTTCTTTAGATCAACTGCTGAGGTTTTAATGGTTACTGCTGAAAGAAACTTTAAATTAGGAATGCTGAAGTATGGGCTGTTGCTTTGGACATCTTGAAGAGTTTTGACAGGGTCTGGCATGCTCATCTTTTTAACATGTTGAAAGGTTATGACATTTCTGGATTCATTTTTGATCTGATTAAATCTTTCTTGTCAAATCACAAAAGGAAAAGTAGCTACTAGATTTTTTTCACATTAATCTCCAGGATTCTATCCTTGGACCTATATTTTTTTTAATTTTTATCAACAACCTTCCTGATGTCATAAATTATCAACTTGGTATCTAAGCTGATGACAACTATTTACTCCATCTTAATAAGTCTAATCAGTTCCTTATGGACAAATTAGCAGCTGATCTAAAAAAATGACTTACAGTCTGTTGTTAGCTGGGGAAGAAATGTCTTGTTTAACACCTTAATGTCTTAGAAAACCTTTTTGTCTTCCATTGGCATTGGTTGATGCTAACCTTCAGGAAAGTGACTCATTGTGCCTTCTCAGGTTAATGTTTTCCGCTGACATAAAGTGGAAAGATTATATTGAATCAATTACTAAGTCAGCTGCTAGGAAAAGTGGTTCACTGTGTTGTACAGTACAATTTTTCTTGCCAGAATCTATCATACATATTTATAAGTCTACCATTCAATATATTGAATATGGCTGCCAAATCTGTTCCAGTGCTTCTGCTATGCAAATGCATAGCAGCCATATTCAATATATGGATGAATTCTTGGTAAAATCAATATATTCAATATATGGATGAATTCTTGATAAAATCAAAAGAGGAATCTGCAGTGTTCAGTCACTTTCCAACTACTGTAACTTAGCTTCCCTGTGTCTTTCTATAAATATTTAAATGGTAATTGTTATTAACTGTAAGTTCTATGCTAAGAGTTTCTTCTCTTGCTTATGGAGGAACTCTCTTCTGACTTTACAGTCAATTTCGATCTTCAAAAATTTAAATGCAACATCAATTGTTATCTTCTTTTTTGGAATGAACAAAGCAATGTGTGGACAAATGTTGTTGTAACTTTCTGTCTTCCCTGTCCTGTAAATGGCCTTTATTTTCTTCAATTCTCAAATCTAAAAAGTGATGACTGTAACTCACTGCAGACTTCAGTAATTCAGAATACAGTATGCCTTTCACATCACAACAAAGACTGAGCAATAATTCTTTTTTCAAAAACGGCTAAATTCTGGTTCTTGATGCTAAAGATTATCTTAAATCCACTTTTATGATATTTACCATTTCAGATTATCATAGAGAACCAACTTTTCATCTTTATCTTCCACAAAAAGATTTTCTTTAATGTCTGAAGTGAAAGGCAGGTGGTGAGACATTGACTGAGGTTGGGGGAGGGGTCAACATCCAAAATAACTTGCAAGTCATCATTTCCAAATTTTTGTTGTCCAGTTCCAGTTGGTTTTGTCCTCAGAGTCAAGGCCACTTTTCAAATCATTTATGTGTACTGCTTCCAGCAGAACAAGCTGTATATGACTTCATAAGTTTTTTTCACTTCTTTCTTTAGCTTTGCCCAAATTGTTTAATGAACAACATATTGTGTTGAAAGTGTATCTTTTTTATCTGTTACCATTTTTGTTTCCCCTTCCTCAAGATGGGATAAATGAACACTGAATACAAAACTAGTTTTCAACTATGTAATTATTTTTTAAATTTTTAAAGATTTTGCATACATGTCATTTATTTTAAAAACAAATATTATTGCTATCAGAGTGAGTAATACAAATGCAGAAAATGTGAAACTTATGTTTCATGGCATTTGATAAGGTATATGAAGGTTAATTTGAAATATAAGAAAAACTTCATTTACAAGAGAAAGATTTTAGTGTAATATGTCACCTGAAAAGTTCTTAACCTGTTGAAGAAGCCAAAATTCTGATATTTGGTCATTAGGTCAGATTTTGAGAAGTAGATTGAATGAATAACTTTTAGGCACTCACTGACATAAATTATAGGAATGCATAAATTATAATCATAAATTTATTATAGGCATATAATATTTGATAACACTCACCAAGAGCATGTTGATTTTATCAAGGGAAAGCTCATAATCCTGCTGTAACCTTAACCTTTTCTGATTTGGTAACTCAGGTATTTGGCATTGAATAGCATCCATATTGACAACTTTGGAATCTGTCTCTGGCAATGATTGGTCATCATACACATATATAGGTGGTAGGTTTGGTTCTGGCATAAAACGATAATCTTGGAAACCTTCCTTGTCACGCATAAGCACTGTTTCTCTGTATATTTTAAAAAACAAAGACTCATTTTCAAAATCATCGGTCTCAACCACAAATATAAATTAAACATCAAAAAATTCAGATACCTTACATATTTCCTCTTATTATTATCACTAGTAGAATCATAAAGACACAATTGAAATTTCTAGGATTGTGAATACAAATAAGGAAAGAGGGCTTGGAAAATTTAACACTCACAGGACATGTTGAAGACAAGCAGGTCAGGGAAATCAGTGAATAACCTGCCCAACAAGCTTGTGTAAATGGTTAGCAGAACATGGGTTAAGAGAAACAGCAAATAGACAACGATTGCTAAAAGCTACAAAGCACATGAAATTGTGGAGAACTATAATCGTCCACATCCAGAACAGACATGATACATAGAAGAAGAATGTTGTATTTATCTTCCCTCCCTGCAGAGTGGCAGTATGTAAAAACATGAGATTGGTTTAATGTGTTGTACTCATCTGCATATATATGTGCCAGAGAAAACAAAAAAAAAACACTCCCCAGTTCCTGTTACTACTGTCACACTGGCATTGACATTCAACAACCCTCCCTCTTTAGTGTACTAAGGGAGGGGTGTTGTCACAGGGTTGGAATCCCTGGGACAAGGCTTTCTTCATTACAAAACTGTGAACTAACAGAAATATAACAAATATGACGGATACTACACTTTGGTCACAGCTTGAAAGATAGGAAACTTCTCTGGTCAGAAGCATTATACGCATTACACAAATAAACTATAATAAAATATAGTATAAAATGTGTAGTGAAAGAGATAGTCAGGTACCCCGGAAAAAAGTTCTTCTTTTGTGTGCGATCTGCCGAAGAAACCCAAAAGTAGTCAGCAAAAATCTTATAGCGAAGAAAACGGCGACTTAACTCGTCAAACCAAGCGACAGCACGTCATGTGTATTCTACGACGGAAAAAGTCGTCGTTTTCTTTGATATAAGATCCTATTTTTTTCATTTGTCGACAGCTGGGATAGGATGCTCCGTAATTTGCATATCGAAATACTGTTATAGCGACTCCTGTGACGAACTTGTTTCTTTTTCACCACATTTTCCATCATAGAATACACTTTTCCGGGGTACCTGACTATCTCTTTCACTACAAAATGTGAATACAAAAAATTTTCTCCAGTAATTTGAAAACATCTTTTAAATTTCAGATTTTCTGACATAACAAATGCATATTTATATAAAAGATGCACATTTCAAATATCCTAAAAAACCCTATAAAAGATGTACATTTCAAATATCCTATAAAAGTCCAATATAAGGTGCATATTTAAAATATCTTAAATCCTATAAAAGATGTGCATCTCAAATATCCTACGAAAATCCTATATATGATGCATACTTAAAATATCCTATAAAAATTCTATTAAATGTATTTCAAATATCCTATAAAAATCCTATATATGATGCATACTTAAAATATCCTATAAAAACCCTATAAAAGATATACATTTCAAATATCCTATAAAAATCCTATAAAAGATGGACATTTTAAATATTGTATAAAAATCTTACATATGATGCATATTTATAATATCCTCTGCAAATATTATACTACATCCAATGCACTGGTATCATCAGTAGGTGAGTGGCTGTCTACTGAAACTCAATATAAACAGCTACATGGTTTAGGTGGGATGGTAGTCACCACCCACCATTCAAATACCTCTGTAAAATATTTTGCATTTTATAGGATAGCAAATCAGTAATAACTCTGAAAGACACGCTTCGTCAATAATCAATATTTGTTTAATAAAACAAATGGGATGTTTATATCTTGTTAAAAGCTAAACAACTTATTTCTGACTTTCTGAGAAAATCCTTCACAGATAATTTACCCTGTATCAATATCAAATGATCGAGTTTCATTTTGGATTTCTTTGCCAGCTTCCAACTCTTCAGTCTGCCTCTTTATCTCAAAATCTGGAAAATAAAATTAAATATAGAAAAAGAATATTAAGATGCATCAATAGCTAAATGAGTCATCAAATGCCCTAAATCAGTTCTCCTTTCTTATTGATTAATATTGCATGCAAAACAAAGTAAAATTATCAGAGTCACCAACAATTGTTTATCACATAAACACATGTTTTATATATATATATATATATATATATATATATGAATAAAATATTTTTATTATAATAGATTATAATAAAAATATTTTACATCAAAAAACAAAATCCTTCATGCTTTGGAACTATAATCATTGAAAAAATCCATAGTAAAATGGAAAATATTAAAAAAAATGAGAATCTGTAAATCCTTATATGACCCATGTCCCCTGTGTTTACAAGAAAAGCTTCATATTATAAAGTTTCCTAAAAATAAAGCTCTACAAAACCAAAGAAATGAATTAATGGTATTATGTAGGCATTGTATAAATTTTACATTAAAATATAGTTAAAAGAATTTTTCATAAATATTTTATGCATTAAAATTATAAAACCATTATAAGTATATAATGGTCCATACAATTTTTATTTGATTTTTTCAAGTTTAATATTGCCTTGTTTTACTGCCCATTCAAAATAATGAGCATCGTATATTTAAGTTCCACAAATTTCTTTTAACTTTACCTATTCACTCCCTTTAAGAAGTTTCTGTTGCTTAACTTTGGTGATTGTACATGATGTGGCTGTAAGCCTACGTTAAAGGTGTTTAAAAAATTACTTCAAGGTCATCCATGTTTTTTTTACAAACTTAGTTTAAAGAAATTGAAGAAAGAATTGAGAACCAATGTCTTTAAGAATGTTTCTTAAAGCAGAAATCCTATTAAAAATGAAAATATGTCAATAGAAAATGATGAGGAAATTGGCAAATCATTGTGAATCTAATTTTTACAAAGAAAAGAAATTAATTTTCTTACTGATGGCCTTTGAGACATGTCTGATGCTATTGATATTCTTGACTTCAGTTCTAACCCCATAAGGTTCTCCAGGATGGTGGACAGAGATGTTGGCATCAACTCGAAATGATCCCTCTGAAAAGATGAAACAGAAATAAATTATTACTTTATCATTGTGAAGGCTTACTCCAGACATTAGTATTCTGTATGACTATTTAGTTTTCAGACAATAACAGATTTACTAATTCTCCTTTCCTTAGTGCCATTAATTTTTTTTTTGTACAATGATGTTCACCTTGTACAAGGCCCAAGAGCCACCCGAAGTAGAGGGTTACAGAATAAGAGGTACCACCCCATGCAAGGTAAAAATGCCACCAAGACGCAAGGGGCCACTGGAGGTGAAAGAGAAGGGAAAGACTTGAGAAGGAACCGGAAACCCAATCCCAAACAGTTTAAAAAAACAAGGGATAAACCTCTACTCCTGTTCAAGACTGAGGAGAAGTGTGAACCAGACAATAGGTAAACCTATCTAGTCCTATTGAGGAAAAATAATAAAAAAAATTAAAATGAATAAACAGTAAATAAAATTTCAGAGTTTAGGTGGAGATGTTAATAGTAGGATGTTTTCGATTATGTACATATATTTAAAAGTATTCACAATAACTGGATAACTGAGGCTTGTTCAGAATTACTGTTTTATTTTAATCGTAAAGAAATGACAACAAAATGGGAAATAGTGAAACTACTTTTTGCTCATTAAAAAAAAATCTATTTGTTAAGTTCTCAAAACTAACAGAAATAGTTGTTCTTTCAAAACCTGTTGAGAGATAAAAAGTTTCTCATTGTTTGAAAGAGTGTCGTGATGAGAATGTAACTGCAATAAAAACTCATCCATTATTACAGAATAATGATACAAGAGAAACTATTACTTTCATTGAAGAAATTTTGGATAATAGTGAGTGTAAAAGATATTTATGGAAGTGCCAAGACAAATGATCCACTGAAAAGAGTGGTATCAAATTGAAATGATGGCAATTTGACATTTCTTGCAAATTTTGGAAGTATGGCAAAACAAATGAGAGGAGAGCAAGGAAAGAGAATAAAATCCTTCACAAGGGACACTAGTATGACTATTGAGTACATACATCTAATTGAATGGTTTAATTGATATTTGCAGACATTTACTTGACAGTGGGTTCAATTTTGTAACTCTTAGAGAATTTACCACCAACTATCTTGAAACTGAATTTGGTAAATTGAGACAAGGTTCTGGTGGTACTTATTTTATTACTGTATAAAACATTATTCAGAAATTTCAAATTCAAAAAACAAAATTATTTTTTTGGCTGAAAGTTGATGTTAGGGAGTATAGCCATGATCCAGGCCATAATTGCTCAAAATGTGGATATCAGTGGGATGAATTGGCATGTCATACATTTGATCACCTGCCAAACATAGAAACCAATATTCCTAAAGATATTAAAATGTCGCTTATATAGCAGGATATATCACATGAAAAGATTCTCTTACAGTGGAGGAAATATACTGCTTTTTATTATCTTGAGTATGGAAGTTTTTAGAAATAGATTGTGGGGATTTAAAAGTTCCACTGGATACCACTGTTAAGTGGATGTTTTTCTGTTTCATAATGTTCAATGCTGTTAAATCAAAGGTTTGCAGAAATTCTTTAACAAAAATCTTCATATTGGTGTCTGAAATGAATCATTTCAATTCAAATAGAGCACATGGAACAAAATATGTTTCTGTGCTTGATATTGTCAACTAGTGCGGATCCTTTTTTTTTTTACCACAATATACAAGTCATGATCTTTTGCCACAAGTATAAATTCTCTAAAAAACCCACATTGAAATAAAAATCACTCATTGAAATATTGTTTATTCAAAATTACCTGTCTCATCATTTATAGGAATTCATCATTAACTGTCAAATTTACCAATTTACCATTGTGGTTCTTGTTTCGGTATGTAAAACACATAAAAACATCAAACTAATCTCACGGAAATTTTTCCATCTGTTTGCAACTGCTATATCAATTATCTAAGATAATTCACATCACCCCCAGTAAGAGACCCCCCCCCCAGCTGCATGATCACCTGATATGATAGGTATGGCCTACGATCAACTATTTTATGAACATGAATAAATAACAAGTATTAACAGCTAATCAAAGTTTAGTCAAAGACATTGGTTCTGAATATGAAAATCAGTCCATAAAAGATGAAGAGATTTAGCTTTAAGAATTTCAACTTAAAATATTAGAAATATTTGTTCAACTCATAAAATTTAAAGAATTTTTTTTTTTTACAATGGTTGCAATGATTATTTTCAATTCAAAAAATTAGTGTTTATCTTTGTTAAAAAAAAAAGCCATTTATTGGCTTCTTATTGGCAATAAATAAAATCATAAATTTTCTAGGAAATTACATTTCTGATCCTTATTCAAGTTTTAAGAGACTTCAAAATATTTTCCTAAAATTGCCAGCATAATGGACATATTTTTTTTATTAAGCATTTACCTTTTTTTCAGTTATTTTCTTTGTTTTCTTTCTAGTTATGAGTTTAATAGTAGTACAAGGGAAAATGTCACTATTTTTTGTGGGATGTTTGTAATAACACCAATACAGGTCTGTATATGGTTGCAGCCAGGGAAGATCTTGAAATGTCTTAAAATGTGATACTATGGACACATCTAAATAGGAAATGAAGAGGTTGTTTTATTGTTGCTGCTAATACTAACATCATTAATATCTGATGAGTTTATTTTGCTATTCAATTTTGATCAGCACATTTCTTTATCCTCATTCTGATTGACAGTTGAACATCCCATACACCTAAACAAGAAGTGCTTGCTACAATCGCTGTAGCATGGTATCTTTTCAGCCTAAGTGACAGTTAATAAATTAGCCTCCTCCTCCATGTTTATTTTATTAAATGCCAGTCATCTTATCTATAGCACTCTTTGTCTGATGAAGACAGCCACTTTATAGAGATATCCATCAGATAAAAATCTTATCTCTTAAACTGGTATACCAAACAATAAATAAGTTCACTCCCCATCATACTCATTACATAATATATTCTCAAGATAAAGAAAAATTTGTTTCTCATCTGACATTTTGCTTTCAGATTCCCACAATTCAGGGTTTATTTTATCATTATCAAATTGCTTGTACAAAAATAAACAAAATTATTTTCCTTACTTAATTGATATTTAAAATAGTAATGGATCTTTTAATTTTTAAAATTGCAATTTTACATCCCATTGAATGCTAGTAATAATAGAGATATTTTGATATTTTGTAGTTTTTTTTTTTTTTATTAAAGGAAGTTTTTGATATTGGAAGAAAAGAGTGACAAGATCCCTGATTGATTTTCTACTTTCTTTTCCTTTTAATACAGTCACTTGCTACTTTGGACTTGGATATTTGACCTCCACCCACTCCTATAATGCCATGTTTTTGTTACCAATTGCTATATAAGACTACTTATGGTTTATTTTAGTAAATAAAATTAAATTTATTAAATTATAAGAATGACACTCATGTGCAATGTCAGCACAGACTTTGGCTTTTTATCCACATTATAATGTGACAGATTTGTGAATCAGAATCATTTTTATTTTTAACAAAAAAAAGAAAATTATAGGATGAGAAGTTATCATTATTTTAAATTTTTTATCCAAGCAAGGCAATAAAGTCATTAAGATACAAAGGGGGATTACTATTAGCGTGAGAGAATATGAGAAAAAGAGAAATATTACCAAGAAGAGAAGAAGAAGAATTAAGAAGAGAGAAGATAACAACTGACATTGCATTTAAATTTTTGAAGATCAAAGTTGACTAGAAAGGCAGAAGACAATTCCATGTGTGAGAAGTGCGAGAGAAGAGACTGTAACTTATGGTTACATTTAGCCATTTCAACTGTAAAATGATGAGACCTTACTGCCAATCTAGTACTGCACTTAAATTCATAAAATCTAGGTACCAAAGAGGAAAGTTCATCAGAATAATTACCATGAAAGTATTTATAGACAAGACACAGAGAAGCTACATTATGAAAATACACAGGGAAGCTACATTATAACAGTGGGAAAGTTACTGAAGTTGGTATGACAGGTTAGAACCAATAGCATTGCAGAGTCTTCTTTGGAATCTCTAAATATATAGCAGGAGCACCGGACCATATGTGGCAGCAATATTCAAAGCATGGACGAATGGTAGACTTATAAATATGTAAGATAGATTCTGGAGAGAAAATTATCTAGCACAATACACTGAACCAACTTTTCTAGTAGCAGACCTAGGAATTGATTCAATATAATCTTTCCACTTAATGTCAGCAGAAAACATTAGCTCAAGAAGGTGCAAAGAGTCACTCTCCTGGAGGTTAGCATCAGTCATGCTGATGGAAGGCAAAAAAGGATTCCCTACAAGGATTAAAAGGGAGCAGTTTTGTTTACATTCAGACTAATGTCCTCATCTTTATTGTTACTATCATAACATTTTGTCTAATTCTAGGGATATCTTGTCTTGTTCCTTTTCATATTGCTCATTCTTTTTTTTCCCTGGGTGGCTATTTGTATTACTCAGACTTAGAATTTGCCAGGAAAGATTAAAACATTTGTCTGTGAATTTGGTGTAAATAGTAGCTCAGCCTGGTAGGATGGATTTAGACTCAGTGGGGGGAAAAATAGAACAAGATGAAAAATATCCATAAACATAGAGGAATGAGAAGAATTTACCCCCAGAGATGAAATAAAAGTTTCAGTTCCAAATTGCCTGAAGGTTAACCAGATTGACAATCACCCAAAGAAGGCTGGAGGGTATAATGACTGTAACATTTTGATAATAACAACAAACATTCGTCTAAGTGTAAATAAAAAAATAAAAAATAATACTAATTAATAGGTATGTTGTTATAACTGTTTATATTGCTTTAAATGAATCTGTGGAATGGACATACATATGCATCTGAGACAGCCAAATGGTCATACCTGACATTTTCCCATCACAAGTGCCTAAAGTCACTAAAATTAATTGGAGTTCTCTTAAAAAGGCTGCAGCTTCATCTCCATTTACAAAATCAGGCTCGGTGACAATTTCCATTAAACCCACTCCTGAAAAATAAAAATAATTCTGTGCATTGGAAAAATCAAAAAATAAGTTTGTTTTTTTTTTAAATATTTATAACTAGCAGTATGCATGAAAATCTCAGGTTTTCCTATTTGAATTTTCTGATGAATTAAAATTCTCAATTGAATGATTAAATCAGCTTCTTGTGAGTAAATTCCATTATTGCAGTGTTAAATACTTGAACTTAACAAAATACTGCAATAACAATCATAAGTAGGAATGCAGCTCATTAATTAAAGAAGTAAGAGGGTACAAATGTAAATATTCAAACTTGATAAACTTTTCCATTTCACTGAAGCAGACATTAAACACAAGAGAGTGTTATCACCTGTGTTACCTTCTTTCTTTCTCCTTATTTATGTATATTTTCTTTTTCTCATTAAAACCAAACAATGTCTCTAATATATTTTTCTTCCATCTTTCCTTGCAATCAAAACAGAACGGTCCATTATTTATCTGAGGCAATGGCAGTACATAACACATGTGCTCACTAACTTAATAACAAACAGAGGATCAAGCTGAATTATGATATGATTTAATGTATCAAATTTTAAATAAATTAGAAGTTTAACTTCTGTAAAAACCAAATCACTGTTATTGCTTTTCACTCCACTTGGTTTCAGCTAAATAATAAACAACTCCATTCTTGTGTTTACCAAGTATTTTAGCCTCATGACTTAATTTAACAAGACAGCATATAATCCAATTTAATTATGTCAAGGATTCAAATTTTCTTATCCTTATTAATATTCAAAAAGTTAAAAATTAAAAAGCAACACTACACTTTTAATTTTGCCTTTCTTGGTTGATATAAATAGTCTTTAGATCAAAGACTTTTTGTCGTTTATAGGTTTTCTTCACTGATCCACATTAATCAAAATTATGCACATTTGAATGGTGATTGGCTAATAAATTTTGACAAATGCATAGACAAGCAAATACAGAAGTAAGTAAATTTTCAAAAAAGGCTTAAAACAAGACATTATCCAGAAAGCCACAAATATATAATTAAATATGAAAAGCTTTGTCTTTCATGGTTTCATGCTTCAGTTTCTATCGATATAAAATATTTCTTTCTTTGCTTGTCTCCACATATGTGGGTATAAGTTTACTGAAGGCAGAAATAAAAAAAATAACATATTTGTAGAGATAGTTTTAATCACAAAAATTGCTATGTCTAGAATTATATAGCCCTGTTCTGTCAGTAATGATCATCTTCATTTCTGGTCAAAAATTATAAAGTTCAGTGTTTAATTCTTTAAAAAATTGTGACTATGATTCATTCATCATTGATTCCATGATAGAAATTAAATCACAATACCTTGAATATGGGTTTCAATTTACTCAAGATTAATCCTACTGGTAATATAGTTGGATTACAGTTAGTGATCACATATATAGATCAATACATCTACAGGTTAAAAAATAAAATGTGTATCAACTGTATTCAAATATTAATACACTGTCTATCCTCTTTGGGTATTAAGACAAGCCTGTACTCTTGCATGCATAAAATCATACAGGTGGCAAATACCATCTTTCAATACATGCCTCTTGCACTTGTTGATGCAATACAGCAACAGTTGCAGGTGGGCTAACTGAACAAGTAAGGTGCCATGTATTCATTTCTGCATATAGGAAAATTATCAAACACCTTGCAGTACATGTTGAGTAGTATGGGCATCATGTGTGTGGGTATTATTCTGAAGATTTATTTTCTATTGAAAAAAATGTAAATAAAATAGATTAAACAATGTTCTGGATATACATGCCACTGTTCAATATTCTCTCCATAAAACATCTACGATGTGCAAGAGTTCTAACTTATGGAACCCTACGCGATGATGTCAAATGTTCATCCAGTGTATTGTGAGTAAATACATTCTACATGATGCCACTCCCCTGGTCTACCTGAAACACACACACATACAAAAACAAAACATAATTTACATGAAAGGCAGAACCTGCTCTTCTAACTGAACATTCAATTATCCAGGTAAGCACATTGCAAGATCAATGGAGACTAGCTTGACAATGCTGTAGAGTAAATGGAAGCCTGGCTAGTGATGATTGTGTCTATAGTCATGCTGTTGTGGCAAAATAAATCTCTAACTTACATTACCAACTGAACACACAAAGTCAAGTGGTCCCTAAATGATGTTGTTGGAGTCTGAAATATTGGGTGTATTTTATAACCATAAGATAAAATATTTGAAATCTGGTGTTCAAAGTAGCAAGCCACTTGACCAATGGGGAAGAAAATAAATAAATGAAAACTTGTGGGGTCAAGTGAAATTTGGTTAGAAATCAGACATTTCTGTCTGTAGCCTTATATTAGTAAAAACTTGGTAGAAAGAATGACAAACAATCTGTTTAAACATTCACATCAGTAGCAGTTGCTCAATGGAAGTAAGAAGGAACTTATGTGCCAAAAACCTACTACCAGAGAGAATTCTACATTTGACTTGTAATCCCAGTGAATAAAATACCAAATTATTGAAAACTGAATTCATACTTTCACTTTTTCTGTGGTGTTGATTTCATCTTCCGTCTTTTGTGAACATGCAATGAACCTTTCCCTGTTTTTATGCACACCAACAAGAAAGAGAAGCAATGTAAGGATTGATATTTGTCTAGTCAGTAAAAGACTGAAAAATGGCTCTAATCATATGTTTACACTGTAAGTAAGAAATTTCTAATGGTCTGCATTGACATTCCTGGAACCACATTGGCTCTGATCTCTACTGTGGCCACTGTACAGTCTGCTACTGCTGCTGTGACAATGCATTACTCTTGATGAGTCTGCATTCAATCGTCATCCAAAATATGAGGTCAACAGGTAAAGGAATGTTCAGCTGAACCCTGTTGCCAACATTGTCAAAACATTGATGTATTATGTCTAACATAAAACAAAAATAACCATCCAACTTCTCAAAGGTATACAATGTGATCTCTGTCAAGCATCTCTAATTAAAAACAAAAAAAAGCATGTGCACATCTCTATACGCATGACACCTGGTTGTATTGGGCACTGCAATGAACAACATTGCAACATGTATCACTGTCTAAAACTCAGACCCAAATAGAAAAATACATTGATATGAGTATTACTAGGTCAGAAGATGGCTGAAGATTTTACAAAATTCATCAGCAATACACACCATCATGCACATGATGTACTTGGGTCAAAACGATCATCATCTTTCAAGGTGGTGCAGTTTTATTTTCCATCTGTGTATATGTATTCAATAGAATGAATGAAAGTTTTATCACATCCATCACGAGACATATAATCCCTGAGGGTCAACAGAGCACCACAAGTACTGCAGCTGCAGTGATGTGTCTTGGGCAAGACAGCCTGATGGAGCTGAAACATCTACATGCTGCTTTTGAATTAAGAGTTTTTACTTCTCCTAGGCTGTTTGCAAGCCAAGGCTATAGGACCAAGTCTGTCCTGCTATTTACCCATAGCTGGGGGAGATGAGCTGGATACTTACCTTTCCCAGGAGTATTAGAACATAAGTGAAAGTAATGAACTTGACTGGAGTTTGAACTCCGTTTTCTGATTCCTCAATCCGAGCTGCTATCCATTACCCAACCATGCCTCTCATCAGCTTTAGTAAATCCTATTCGTAATATGATGGATTAGATGAACTGAACAACTAGTCACATCTCAATTTAACAAGGAACAAATTACCTGCTCGATTAAGGTCAATGAGACTCTGGTGGTCTTTGTGGTCATGTAGACTTTTGCCACTGTCCACTTCAAGCTGGATCTGTGTAATTCTGGCCATTTTATTTATTGCTTGCTGCTTCTTGGATGCTGAAGAAATGATATATTCCAACTTCCCATCAACGGCCAATGGTTTGTGATACTGAGTAATCTGGAAGCCAGCCTGTGGTTCAATATAAAAAACTGAGATTACAGCTTCCAAAACAGTTTATATATAAATGTATATTTATATTGTATAACTTTTAATGAGAACTTTACAAGTGTGTGTGTTTGTGTGTGTATAATTATTATAATTATTAGACTAGTATTGAATGTTTTCAGGAACAAAAGAGCTGTACACAGAAATTAGAAATATATTCCTTACTTAAAAATACAAATAATAGATCAGTGTTTATTACCTTAGGTGAAACAGAAAATCTTTCAATGGTAGTTTTATGCGTATATAATAAACAAACGCAACCATAACAGTTGTTTGTACTATCATTTACAGAATTCAACAGAAACCTGATGTATCATAGCAAAACTTCCAATATTTTCTTTATTTTTCAATAAAAGCAAAGATAACATGATAGAATAATGATCAATAAACTTAAGTTCAAAATCCAATTCAGAACTAAAAAGAAGAAATTCACTCATTGTTTAATAAAAAAAATATTTTTCAAAGAAAATCAAACTTTAAAACATGAAGTATTCATAGTATTTTTATTTCAAAAATTAAATCAATAAAAATTGATCTGGTAGTATGTCCCAAAGAACTGTTGGAATCACCAGGTAACGTTGACATACTTGGGAAAGATATTGGAAGAATCTAGAACCTATACTGACAAAAAACTGCCTGCATGAATTCAGTAGATATACAAAAATAGAAAGGGTTATATAATAAGGATTGTCTTCCCTGCTGAATTATTGAATGTTATACAGCAAAAGGCGATTTTGAGAGAATTAGAAGTTCTACAAAAATTTATTATTAATGGCCATAATCTCAACAGCAAAAGACATGCAGATAATACAGTGTTCAACTTTCCATCTGATTCTCCCATGTCTTTCCTTGTCCAGTATTTTCATTTCATTCCAGAGGGGTTGATGACTACCCTATTCACTCTATACATGATCAGCTATACTTAATTTCATTGTCTTCCCCTTACTATGGATTTTCAATGTTTCTCCAGCAACTTGTTTCACTTTTATATTCTTTAACATAACTGCAAGAAATGGAGTACACACAGTTCTTGGTTATGTTCTCCCCAGTGTTAGGTTTTACTTGGCAGAGAATTCTATATAGAGTGGAGATTCTTCTGATTATTGCCCTGATGTTGTATGGGCGACAGATCTTCTGAATCTTTTGCAATAAGCCCTTGACAAAATGTAGACAGATTGTGGCAATTTTATGGAATTCTCCGTATGCTGTTCAGATCGACATATGCACCTGATGAAGACTGGAGAACACAACAATGGAAATGTGATAACAACAAAAAAGATGGTGGGGAGCAATAGTCCTCCACATATAAAAAGTGGAAATAATCAATATTTTTGGTTAGAATATTAACTATCACTTAAATGTTTTTCGGTGTAATATGTCAAATTTAATTTTTTGATTAATTTGAATAAATTTAAGAGAATTAACTCCCAAGTAGATACAATGGACTAAAAATATTATACTATTAGATATCATTTGTGTAAGGTCAGCAGAGATGATTTTTTAGTGCCTTTTTGAGAAAATGATTGTTTTTTTTTGTGATGATTCTAAAAGCAGTTACTTACTGGCAAATCTGAATAGAAATAATGTTTGCGATCAAACGTTGATATCTTGTTGATTTGACACTTGAGCGCTAAGGCTGTCATAACTGCAGCTTCTACACACCTTTGGTTAAGCACCTGAAATAAAAAAAAAAAAACATATTACCATCTGACTAAGGAATGGAGCTACAATTACTGTTGACATCACTTTTTAAAGAGGATGAGAAGCAAAGGAGGTTTAACAAAATAAGAAATCCAAACTGAAGTATTAAATACAAAAAGCAAGATGAGTTAACGATGGTAATTAAAATAATTTCAAAGAGTCCTCCAAGGAAGTAATTTTAAATTGTCCACAGGAATTTTACCAGTGTAATTTCACTAATTGAATTGTGTAAGGTTATTTTTGTATATATTTTTTGACATAAAAAAAATGCTACTCTAATTAAAAGACAAAAATGTCCAACTAAATTTAATTGGTGAATATATAATAAAACACATTAAAAAAAAAAAAAATTTTTTTTCTATATTTAAAATTCCCAGCATTTCTTGTTTGTGCACATGTGTAGCTGCATCAATGTAAACATAAACAGAAATGTGTCACATGGAAACTTTTTCCACTCTGTCATACATCTTTCCTCCAAAACTGTTCTTGATATATAAAACTTTATATATTGTTATCCTATATATATATATATATATATATATATATATATGTGTGTGTGTCTGTTATGGTCCGGTTCCTTGTACCACAGTGATAGTCCAAGGTAGAATCAATAAAGAAGAACTCGAAGGCGGATATGGAATAACACAGATATATTACAAACAGGAATATATACAGAGAGGTAGAAAAATGTTAGTATGAACAATCAGGTTTAGTAGTAATTGTCTGAACACGACTCTGTTTCGGACTGCCTCTGAATCGACTGACTGACTCACTCGCTCGCTCTGACTGACTGACAGACATCTGACGAACTTCACTCCAGACTTCAGACTGAACTCCCTGCTTCCACTTGAGGCGCAGTATTTATTATGTATGGAATAGTCCATTATGTTATTATGGGTAAGGTCCCATAACAATATACACACACACACATATATATATATATATATATATACTAGCAGTAGAGCCCAGTGTTGCCCGGATATGTAACAGTAAGAGATAGATCAAGTATCGACCATCATAAAGACTGAAAAATAAAATTGACAAAGATTATTGTTTAAGGTTGACAGACACGCATGTCTTAATTAGTTTTTTTTTTTTTTTTTTTTTAACGAATTGGTCAAACAAAAACATTGTTTTCAATCGTTATGAGTCTACCTATTGAATAGAATCTTATTATAAACAATTGTCTTGTAAATGGAATTTTTAAAGCATTCTGAATGTAAAAATAAAGAAAAAAGTGTGCAAGACAATAAGAAACACTACCTGCCAAAAAAAACTGAAGTTTTATTGAAATTGGTTGAAAAATGTAGGAAATCCGATCCCATATATACACACACAAACAAGCTGGGTTTTATAAGTATAACTCAATATGAGTTGTCCACCTTTCATTTTCGCGATGCCTCTTAATCGTATTTTCAAATTGATTTCATGCAAAAACAATTGTGTTTTTCCAATTTTTGGCACTGTCAGAACCACCATAAGGTAATTTTACGTAGTCCTGTGAAGTTTTGTTGAAATCGGTTGAAAAATGTAGGAAATCCGATCAAATATATAAACATACAGACACACACACACAACCTGGGTTTTTATAATAAGTATGATATATATATATATATATATATATATATATATATATATATATGATAAAATATAGTTTTATGGTATGCATCTGTGGACAGTTATGATGGCCTACATGGCATGAAAAAGAAAAAAAAATTCCTTTTGTGTTTCTCAATGACAGAGAAAGATTATTCTTCTCAAATGTTTTTTTTTTTAACTTTTCATAATTCTGACAACTAAAATGTCATCAATTAAAATAAATATATTAAACAATTTTGAATTCTTCTCATTTTGACAAGGGTTCAAAATGTTGTTCAGATTATTGAATTCATTCTTTATTTTTATATTTCAGCCAATCTATTCTTCAGCCTTTATCAGGTTTACAATCCTTTGTTTTTATTTTGTGTTATTTTAAACTGAAATTTGCTTATATTTACAATATTGTGTAAACATAAATTAATGTATTTGATATATTTTTTGATTTTATTGTCTATTTAAGATTTGTTTTAATATATTTTACAGAAAATTCATTTTACCATCAGTTTTCATAAAGCAATACTGATCTTTTTTCAAACATAATACTTACGATTATCAATATATGTATCACTTTACTTACGATTTTACTATCTCAACATTTCAACTCAAATGAAATATTTTAAATTAATTTGTACAAAAGTTAACAAATCTCTAATTAAATTTGTATTTTGAAAATAATTCTATTATATTTAGATTATCTTCAGCAAGCAAAAACCAAAACAAGTGTGATGTGAGATTTTCAATGGATTATTATTATTATTAGAAAAATGCCAACACTTTGTTTTAAAATGATGAAAGCAGAAAGCCAAACTGCTGTCAAGATTTTTTAGAAAAGTCAGTCTAATAAACCAAAGAAGTCTAATCACTGGATTTAACCAACGCCTTTATCCACTGGCCATTCTTGAGGACATCTGTGTATGAATTTTGGGGACTTATAAACCTAATGTCTCAGCAGCTGCTTTTTTACCAGAGCTCATATTGCAATATTCCCATATTGTATTCATTTCTATGCTTGGCCAGATCTGGAAATTTATGTGGCCTAGCATATGTGCTGATTAGTGACTAGACCCAAAGAGTTTTTAGTTCAATACCTGGCTACAGCAGTGGTGAACTAAAAAACTTGGAGAATGAGTTAATGGGAAAAAATCTGTAAGAGGCATGGCATGTGGAACTAGAAAAATCTACTCCAGATGACAAAATAAAGGGTTTGGTTAAAAATTCTAATCAAGAAAGCCTAAGCGTACAATGGCTGAAACATTTTGAAGATGATGATAACAGTTTGAATAATGTAAATAATGTAAGTAATCATAATACTTCATCTCAGAGATATACAGATAGTGAAATATGGTAGCACTGAAAAAAAAATGTATATCTTACTGGTAGAGTTCCTGGCAAGGCAGCATCAAAAAGAGCCACTTGTGTATTGGTTGGTGCACCATAGGATGTAGCAGATCCAGAGAACATTTTACTTTTGGATAAAATCTGAGCATGAATTTCAAGGCCAACAACACCACACCATTTCTTTTTTGGTTGACTAGAAGACAAAGAAAAAATACCATGATTTCTTTTTATTTTCATTTAACAAAAAATACCAAAAATATTTGTGTAAATGTCAGGTTTTGAAATTTGCAGTTAACTCTCTATTTGTCAAAAATAACAAAAATTAAATATAGATTCCAGAAATCAAAAATATTTTAGAACAAGGAGAAGCCATCTTCCAGGGTAAGAACAAAATCATGCATGGTAGACCATGTATAAATATAGAAATGAAAAAACAAATGAAATCAAAATACTGAAGAATACACACCAGAGAATGTGGAAAATCTGTTCTGGCTTTCCCACATGAAAGGGTTAAGGTTAAAGGTGACAGAATTGATAAAAGCAACAATGGCTTGAAAGTTTAGAGCAGACAATTTTCTCTTTTAGGTAGAAGAATAAAAACTCAAACTCCTGCTTGGGGTGTAACAATAGAAGAAGAAAATGTTTATTTATATACACAAAAAAGGTAAAGGGATATGCACAAAATGTGAGAGAAAGAAAGGAAGAAAAAAATTCCTTTAACTTAAAGGAAGAAAAAGTGTTCATGTAAAGGCTTGCTCAAAAATATTTCTCTGAGCGCCTAAATGTTCTTCAAGCAAGTAAATTTTTCTTAAGGGGTTAACACACGCATAAGATTTCTCCAGAGCTCTCACTGGAGGGAAACAATCAGAAGATCTGTAGTTTGTAGACCAACGACAGGAATTTCAAGTAGTTATAGTAGAGCGCGCCGACATTCTACTTTAGAGCCAAGCATGAAGATTTCTTCCTTAAAACAGGTTCCGAAGATGACTGGTGTTACTGTTGCTGACCTGATGTTATCATAGACAATGCCAAATCCTCACTGACATTGGTATTTATCGAGATTAGCAGGCTCAGAAATATTGGGAACTTTTCCCCTCCAAAATTACATTTCCCTGGCACTCTTATTCATCAGAAAATATATTTTTATCTCTGATAAGAATAAAAGCTTTGGGAGCTGGTTTTGGAAACAAGGGTCTAACAAGTTGTGAGCATTATCCCCCCACCCCTGACTTTATGGCACCATGATCAAGGCAGGTCGAATTCCTTTTTATATTTTCCAGCTCTCTTGTCATGAAATAATATCTTATCTCTGATAAGAATAAAAGCTTTGGGAGCAGGTTATGGAAGCAGTGGGAGAAAGTCAAGGAAAAGATCAGAAAAGAGGCTAGAAGGTGAACTTGTAAAACATTGTAGTAGTGGTTCTCAAATTAGATTCTGATACTTTCTCCTCAAAGAAAGATGCAATAAACTTCAGTTTGTTGTAGAAACAAAAACCAATAGCATCAGAAATAAGAAAGCCGGGACAAATTTCCCACATTCTTTGGTGTGTATTGCATCTGGGGCTCTTTACAGGACACTGGGCTATTTTTCTTCTTTTTTTTTTCATCTCCTCAGTAATTGTACAACAGTTTAACACAATTATAGAACCTAAACTTTCAAGCCATTGTTGCTTTTATCGATTCTGTCACCTTTAACATTAACCCTTTCATGTTGGAAAGCCGGGACAAATTTCCCACAAGAAATTCCAAAAACTAAAATGATATAAAACAACAGAAAATGATATATTGGTATGAACAAATAAAACTTGTTTTTGTCACAGATCTATTGGCAGAAAGTCAGTTGTATTTAATTTTTATGCTCTTCTTCTTTGGAAGAGCCAAATTATGAAATCAAAAATATAAGTTATATACACCTTTTTTTCAGAAATGAATATGAATTGCAAAAACAATTACAGTGTCTCTTGGCATGGGGTTAAGGTCAACAAAATTAGTTTGGTTAACCATTACTACTATGAAATGAGTTTGATCCTCACTGAGTGTCCCATACTTGTCGGCTTAATAAATAACAATTTGTGCAACCCCCACCTTCTATATCTTCAGTTACCCTTAATCAACCCAAGAAATGGTCTCAAAGAATGAAAGTAATACAGTTTTGCCTTCCCAAATAAATTTTATATTTCAGAAATTGTTGAAGTGTTTTACAAACACTTTTTTTTTTTGGTTTCTAGTCCAGTTCCTTTTTATGAAAACTGTTTTCATATGACAGGAAATACAAACAAAACTCAGGAAGATCTCTTAATGACACCTCTTAATAATTTGACTCAGACTTTTACTTGGGCTGCTGCACAAACTGGTTAATAGGCTTATGGCCATATCATGTTGAAATACTGGTTCTCATTCAATCACTGAAGTTAAGCAATGTCAAAACTTGTCAGCACCTGATATTGCCAAATGATTACTTACTCAGTAAGATTATCATATCATATTTTATTAATAATTTTCAATAAATAGGTTTTAATCAGAAATTGATTAATTAATAAAATATGTTCTAATAATGTCTGTTATAATTTTAATCTGTATGACGCACAAGGTCAATCCTGGTCTTCTTGTTCGATTCTGAATCAATTCCTATGTTGGTCAATACTGCTGCTGGTTGTTGAAGTTGGTTGTTCTAGTCAGCACCTCACTCCGCCCTACATTGCACTTTTTGATCACAGAGCTGGCAAAGACTGAGTTGTTATCAGAAATTGTAGCGCTGGTTCAAATCAAGGTGAGGTTATGTTACAAATAAAAAAAATGTTCCATGCAGACAAAATAAAGACAGGAATTTCTTCAGGGTCTATTTTCTATGTAGTGTATATTGTACTTTGTACAAAAATATTAACCCTTTCTACTTTGATTTCTATCATGATATTTTGCTCAATTTAGCTAAGTCTGGAACAAGGCTTAAGTCAGAAGTTTTCTTTGGCAGCAAGTCATGTAGGATTTTGGCAGCTCCTCCTACTGTGTGCTTTTGTCTGTGTCTCTGGCCAGCAAACTCTGGAAACTGGGGCTGGTCACTTCAGTGTTCTGCTTATATTGACTGTTAGCTGATATGGTATGGAGCTGATGTTTTGGGGGACCCATTGCTTCCTCTGTCTTCCAATAAGAGTTCTTTATTGTCTGGCTTTGGAAAATTAATTATCTCTCCAAATTTGGGAGACCCCTTTTCCATGGGCAGTGGTCACATGTATTGACTTGCCCTGATAACTCCTTCTTTCTCTTATTTGTGCCTTGCACTATCACTTCCCAATGGACATAGGTAATTCCTCCATCCTTCTTGGATCTCTCCTATGCCTTTCACCTCAGTTGTCATTTTGACAAATCAGATTTTTAAAGCTCATAGGCGAAAGGGTTGGGCTTAGCATCTGGTCATTAATTAGAATTATCATTTGAATTTTTTGTCAGCAACTTTTTCCCAACCTCGTCTTGTTCATACAATCAGAAATTTACCAGCTGTTTCTTACAGCAGCTATCTGCGTATCTTGTTAATACAATTACACTTATGAACCCTGGGCTGGGTCTTTACATAAAGAAATTCTACTTCTCTATTTGTTTACAATTTCCACTTTTTTTTTTTTTTTTTTTTTTTGATAGGTGGAATAAATTAGCTTCTCAATTCCACCTTGTCTTTAAAAATTACCAAATATTATCTTTTCAATCAACTTTCTTTTCTGGCTGGTCCCTAAGAGACATTTTCATAACTTCCACTTTAAGGCAGTGCTATCAACTGTCAACCCTGCCTTTTCCAGATGGCCTCTTTGGTAATACCTTTCCCCAAAACAACAAAGTCAATTTCTTCAAGACGTTTCTGCTTAAAAAAATCGACTTTCAAAAATAAACAGCAATTTTGCTTCTTCTCTTAGTTTATCTATCGTTTCATTCTTTAACCCTTTTTGTTTTATTCCAAGTTATATTTTAATTTTAGCCCTTTTCTTTCCATTTGCCAGTGTCACATAGTATCACATCTAATTTGTTCATTTTACCAAATCTTAATTTATATGGAATTTTTCAAATTTTCTTTCACAAAGACTACAATGTCAAAAAAGAGAAGCTTTTAAGTGGAAAAGCGAATGTTCTCAACTTAATAAAGAAAGAAAAAATTGTAAGCTAAGGTTGCTAAGATGATAAGATCTATGATAAATACATTGTCACATAACTTTTATTACAGTATATTGGCATAATTGTTCCATTTTATTATTAATAGTTGTTATCCTGTTAGTATTCCTAAGAGGAGTGGAAGACCTAGCAAGATTTATTAGCAGCAGACCTAACCTTAACAACATATATTATGCAGATGACACTGTGTTGATTGCTAATGCAGAAGAAAACCTGAAAGAACTATTAGACAAAAAAATGGTTTAAGAAAGCAAGAAGACAAGTTTAACCATTAAGTGTAAGACAGAATGCATGGTTGTCAGCAAAAGAGACAACTCAAATTGTGAGTTATATAACCGTAAGTGTTCTGAAAGTAAAGGAAATATTTGTTGCAGACTACTTCCACAACACAAAGAACAAATCACTGTAAGTTCAGACTCAAATATCAGGGACAAAAAGAAATGCTGAAAACTCAATTCGCAGGTACTATCTCACAAATCACAATGTATGTAACCAGTCAGAAATATAACTCACTCTTCGACAAACGCAGTAGCCAGAATACACAAACTTCCGATTCAAGAACACCAACTGCTTTTATCAACCAAGCATTTTTTCCCTTCGTCAACAGCTGGGAGAGGACGCCCAATTTTTGCATATCAAAATACTTTTATAGCAATTCCTGCGAAGGACTTAATTTTTAATTTAAATATTTCATCTTCAGCATGTCATGCGGAATATGTGCCCTTTTTTTGGTAAGTAATTTTCTTTTTTCGCTACATATTTTGTCGTAAGATACACGTGATGCACTGTTGCTTGGTTTGATGAGGTAAGTCGCTGTTTTCTTCGCTATAATAACATACATAAAAAAAATAAAAATCAAGCAGATGTTAAAATTTATCTAACAGATAACACAAAGTTTGATACAGAAAAACCAAAGCCATATGGTAATAGTGAAAGATGTCTTTGAGAAACTGAACAAGAGATCAGATAATGTCCTTAGAAACAAAGAGTGTCAACTGCTATGTAACATCTAATTTTCTGTATAGCAATGAACATTAGACAATTTCCTCACAGATAAAGAAAATTGAAGTGATAAGATGCAGTTCTACTGCTGAATACTGGGCACGGTGGGGGAATCGTGAAAAAAAAAAACCCATTAAAATGAGGGTGGGGCTAATGAGGAAAGAATGTTTGGAGAATAGAACACTCACAGCACAGGACATTAAGTGCAAGAGAAGCAAGAGGAAAACAAAAAATGAGTTTGTAAATGTATGAAGTTCAGCAGGCAACCCGCTGGTGAAGTATCTCCCGTAGATAAGGTTGTTTTTTTTTTTTCACTACGCTCACGTCGCTACCGAATGTGACACAAGGTCAATTTGAAAGTGAGTCTTTCAACAGCAATGCCGTGGAAAAATTGTCCGAACCCCCTCAGCATTTCCCCTTTTAGGGATACCTCAAACACCGATCAATAAAGCCAGCTCCCACCCCCGTAGGAGAGGTACTGTCTGAGAAGAGTCCCTTAAATACTTTTTGAAACTTGAATAATTAAAAAAAAAGTTTAATTAAAAAGTTTCGCAATATTCTTCACACTTTTTTTGTGTGATTGACCGAGAAGAATCATTATTCTCTCTCTAAAACGATGTTGTCAAAAATAGTAAGCTTATTATTATTATTATTATTATTATTAAAGTTGGATGAACAAAGAATTATTAATTTGTCTTCTTAACAAAAAAATATACTGTAAAAATGAAGAAAGAAGTGAAAAAAAAATTGTTACCATTGAGCCTGAGGTTTTGTTGAAAAAAATCGACACTGAGGATTGCGGTAACTTAAAAGGCGTGTTTTAAGCCCATAACAAATGTGTTTCGGCAGTCTTTGTAACAGAAATATTCGGTGAAGAATTATTGAATTGTGTGCCATTGTATGATTTGCTTAGATTGATTATACATCAATTAAGAAGACCAATAACATTACTGAACTAAAACCCGACATCGAAGTCGTGTGCTTAGTCAAGTTAAGTAACTCGGCAAAACTAATGGAAATTGTTTTGCCGATTATCTCCCTTATTTCAAACGGCATTTCTCTCCAACATGGAAGAGAAATAATATCACGCTTCTTATTTCGATTAGTTCACCTGAGTTAAAGAAAGACAGTTTTACGCTTTCTTGCACATTTTGAAAAATTAAAAAATAAATAAAAGAAGATACTTTATGAAACAAATTTATTTTGGTAACATTTCTGGTTTGTTAAATAAAGCTACATAAATTTAAATGAGAAATTAATTAACAGATTTTTTTCACTTACTGAAAATGAAAAATGCTTCTTCCCGCAGTTATTTTTACAGTTACTAATGAAGACATAGATGCTTAATGAATTAATCAGTTGTTATTTAAAAGATTAAATTATAAAACAAAATGACATTTAGAAGTGTTTATCTTTTATAACAAAAACTAACTCTCCTCAAATTGAAGATAGAAAAATACTTATTAGTTTAAAAACAACAATGGCCGGGGAAGACCTCGACGCGTAAGTTGTTTCTTGATAAAAATGACTATTCTTCGTTTTCTAATCTTTTTTCTTTCTTCATGACTTTTAAAATAATCAGTAATTTAAATCGAAATTTCGATGATTAAACATAAATTTATAACACTGAGTGATTATTCAAGATAGCGAAGGTAGTTGAATCAATTTTCTAAGTAAAAGAAAAGAAACTTGTTTAAAAAGTTACTTCGCACTTTTTAAAATGTCTTCAAAGTTTTTAATGTTTTCGTTCATGACTTACCAAATGTATTTAACTAATTATTTAATTTTTTTTAAAAGTTAATGATCATGTTAGTTTTTAAAATTATAAACAATGAAACAAAAATATATATTTTTATGACATTATTGGATGTTTGTTTTTATTTTCATTTCATAAATTAATAAATAAAAATCATCATAACCTAACAATTTTGTTTTCGGTCATAAAAAGCAGGACACAATGTGTTTTTTTTTTTTTAAATTCATAATTTAAATAATTGATTTCTAAAAAAATCGCCTTTTATTAATTTTAACAAGTATTTAAATAAAAAAAAACTAATTCTGTGTTTGACAAAATAAAATTTAAAAAAAAAGAGTAAATAAACTAAAAGTAAAAACTTTTTATTTGAATTATTTAAATTACTTTTTTTTAGTTTAGTTGTTAAAATTTTAAAATTATGATTTTTTTAAATAAAATCAACATTTGTGTTCTGCTAGCAGAAAACAAAATTGCTTTTTTTTTATTATGAAATGAGAAAAAATATAATCAAATTTTAAATTTAAGCTAAAAAAACGTTTAAAATAAAAAATCTTTGTTCCCTGAACCAGAATTTTTCTTAGTTTTTAAAACTTTAACTGAAAATAATCAATAAATTTTATTTCAAATGTTTAGCAAAAATCTTTTTTTCTTCCTCCTATTCATCATGCTAAAAAAAAATCCTGACATAAAAATCAGACATACACATTGGGTATTTATTTGAAAATAAAAACAATAACTTATCCGGGGTTAATCTTGCTTGTCAGAATAAAAGAATAAAGCTAGCATTCTGCTTCTATGGGCCGTGCCCCTTCAGGACGTGGGCGATTATGGCTCTCTACAACTCCCTTGTCTTTAAAGCCTTTTTTGCATACCATTTTTACACAAACTTTCATATGCTCTAGAATTTTTAACTCTCTTTTTCTGATGTTAAATATAAATGTCCTTTTGTTTCCATTTTCTCTAAAAAATTTGTCATTGCTCACATGTTCAGGCGATGGTATTCTCAACATCCTTCTGTAGAACCACATTTCTGTTGCCTCAAGTCAATCTGATGTTACATAACAGTTCAGTACTCTCTCCTTTGTTTCTAATGAAATTTTTTTGTTTCTTAATATTTTGCTTAGCTTTTGGAAGGCATCTTACTCTATCCCAATGTGCCTTCAGATTTCTGTTCTCTTTTAAAACACTTCTTAGATATTTAAATTTTTGCACTTGTTTAATTTTGGGATCTCCAATTTGTAATTGGCATGTTCAACTGTTTCTTTTGCTAACAGCCATACGTTCTCTCTTCTTACTGTTGATGTTTAGTCCTTTCTTCTTGCTTTCTTCTGCCTTCTCTAGGAGTTCCTGTAGTTTCTTTTCTGTTTTCATTTCATCTACATATCTGATGTTGTTAAGATTATGGTCACCAAGACTGCTTCACTGGAAAGGTTGACTAAGTCTGGTGAGACAACACCTCCTTGTCTTATGTCCCTTTCTATTTCTCTGTATTTACTCAATTCATTTTCTGTGACACCATTTAACAGGACAAAGAAAAGAAAAGAAAGGAAAAGAGAAAGGAAAGAAAGGAAAAAGAGGTGAGACCCAAGCGTAGATGATAAAAAAAACCCACCCACGACCAGGGGCCTTGACAATGTTATTTTGATAAGTAGCAAATGGCGAAAAAGGTGTCATTACCATTGCAGAAAAATTTTAAGTGGATAAGGGAATCGACTATGTTCTGGTGACGAACTTGTGTTATTGGGAATAGATAACAGCCGCTTAATGCGGGCAAACATCTAATTAGCAAACCACAGACCGACTAGCTAAGAAAACTCCAATTGATAATGTTATTTTGATAATTGACAAAGAACAGGTGAAATACAGGGCTTTGGATAGATAAGAAAAATTAACCGTGTCGTCTGCTAAGCCGCACACGGAACCAACCCTGAGTAACGACTGACCGTTTTTTTGACAGGACATCTTCGGTTGTGATAACAAAACTATGTTATCAGAAATTGGCACCAAAGAATGACTAGAACAATGGAACTGTTTTTTCGAGATGACGGTCAACTGTGTTGTGCTAGTCAATCACCCATTCTGATAATTAGCGAAAATCTGACTGACGAAGTCCAGATGAAGAATTGAGGTTATCACACGACTGGTCGCATTGTTTTGTTGGCGGCCTGAGAAAATGAGAGCTGAGATTAAGGAAAGAAAAAGAAAAGAAAAAGATAATTTTTTTTTGAGCAAGATATATTTTTTTTCCTGAAACAAAGCCCGCTGGATCGCACACGCCCGGCTGGACATCATTGGCCGAGTGGTGATCACGTGACGCAAGGAGGGAAGCCACCGCCACCCACTTAGAGGATGGATATGAGAGGTTGCTACGAAGAAGTGGGGAGAGCCGTTGACGCCCCTCTGAAGTATGGTGAGAAGGTGGGAGTAAGAGAAGACTCCCAAAAATGGAAAGAAGTGGAAAATTCCTAACCAAAAATAAAAGAAGTGGATATGTATTTAGAATTATCGAGGGACCTCCAACACCGACAAACCCACCGGCGTCCATATAAGCAAAGTCGCAGTGAGCAGAAATCAGTTTAGTAGAGTACAGCTCAATGGAGTAGAGTTTCCTGGAGAGTTCAGCAGAGAAGAGTGCTCAGTTGAAGCAGGCCTCGCAGCTGACTAAGATTTGCGCAACTTCGAACTCGTCTTCAATCCAAGAACAATTTATTTTGAAGAGCGACTTAGATCCATACCAACAAAATAAGTTTTTCGACTTTCGCCTGAAGACACACCAAGAACCAATTTCTTAAAGAACAGACAACTTAAAGTGTTAAAACTCGCCTAACAAAAAACAACGTGTCACAATCCATATAACGGGTCGGGAGATAGACGCAGTCCTATGTATAAAGCAACTAGACATAAAGTATTGTTATCTTTTTTTTGATACCTTGAACTTTTGAGTTATCATTTTATTTCTTTTATACATATTTGTGCGATATCACCCTTGCTTGAACCCAACTTGCATTATGGCCCTAACGACTGATTGATTTCGTCTGCCTAAGATCAATTCACAACGTGGGTAGGCAGACTGGAGATCAACGCAGTTATTTTGGTAACCAGACGTTGGAAGTGAGTTGGGAACGACGAGGCTGATATTGAATCTAACCAGATTCCCATCCGAATCACCAAAAGGTTAGAACGTCACATTTGGGTGCCGCGACCGATACCAAGCCAGTTGGTCGTCACAGGACGGGACAATACGATTGACGCGACAGGCGGACGTCACGTTTGGAGCGGCGACACCCGAACGAAGCAGCGAGGAGCGAGTAAAGGCTGTGTTTAGGGACGTCACATTTCTATCCGAATGCAAGTGGTTTGCTCCCAATATAAGTTCTGAATTGTTCTAATATCTTTCCCAATTAAGTCAAGCTTACCTTAAAATGCTGTCCTCATCTTTGTTGTCATGTTCACAATGTTTTGACTCCAGTCTTCTTCATGGCAAGCCCATTGCTAAGCCTTCATCCTGTTGATATATGTCTGATCCCATTCCAAAGTGAGTTGTTTGTGTACAGAAAGTCAGCATCTCTATCAGGTTATCTATTGGTATACTGGTCTGTTTTCCTAGGGATGAGACAGAGGCCAATCTGTCCCTGACTACCAATAGTGCTTCCTCCATGAGTACCTTGGTGAATAAACTCACCATCTGGTTGGATTGGATGGGAGCATCTTTGATTATTTTCACAAACTGGACAGATTTCCGGACATATGAAAGTGACTTTCCTATTAATGGGTCAATTATATCTACAAGGAAGCGACTCAGAGGGTGACACACAAAGCCTTGGCAGCTAATAATCAGTCTGAGTGGAATACCGTCTTTGTGAGAGACTGGGAAACCTTATACATGAGGTAGCTTGGTGTAACGCTGTGACAACTGCCTGCATGTCTTTAGTGGGAAGTGGCCCTTGTTCTTGATTAGGATCTGCCACAGTTTTCGTTCTTTTTACATTGTAGGATCTTTCTTTACTGTAGCTACCATTCTCAATGAGGTCTTCCAATTTTTCTGGATATCCTGTTTTGTCTATCTCTACAGTCACATTCCCTTTGTCAGCTGGTAGTAGGATGATGTTTTCATTCCTCTATAGAGTTCTAATTGCCAACCTCTCCATTTTTGTGATGTTGGATAAAAGTGTTGGTCTGATCTAGTGACATGACTCAAAGAGTTGTGAGTTCAATTCCTGGCTACTGCAGTGATGAACAAAAACTTGGAGAGTTGAGTTAAAGGGAGATAACTGAGGCATGGTACATGGAACTTATCCCGGTGGATGAAATAAAGGGTTCAGTTCAAAATTCCATTCACCTGAAGAAAGCTGTAGCATACAGCGAGTGAAACGTGAATATAACAATAAAGATGAGGACAAAAGACAATGTAATTAATTACAATACTTCATCTCAGAAATATAGACAGATAAAAATAAAATGTTTTTGAATATCTATAAAATAGAAGTATACATCTCTTTTCATTTCTCTTTCTGATATGATTCTGAGCATAAATATTACATTTCTTGTTCCAGTGTCTAAGTTATCCTATTTCTGTTGTAATTCTATTACCACACTCTATTCATCAGAATTTGGATGATAAGTTTTGTTATGTGGCTTATTAACCTGATTTCTTGTATTTATTTTTACCTGGCTTCTGAGCTATGAAAATACATCTTAAGTTTTCCAGTATATCACGATTGTTGTAAATTTCATTTATGTGTAATTTTGTTAATGCTGAAATCATCTAAAGCTGCCAACATCTCTATTATCACAATTCCGTCTGGTCCTGACACTCTGTTCTTGTACAATTTGGCCAGTGCTGATTTCACTTCAGACGTTAATATTTCTGGTCCTTCAATATTTCTGTGTATTACTGGTTGTCTTCTGATGTCATGGAAGAGTTCTATTTGTGCCATCTATGAATTATTTTTTATTCTTTCTCTATTATCACCGTCCCACTCCTGCATCCTCTTGATCTCTTTAGTACTGTGAATTCTCGTATTCTGTGTATATCTGCTTTTATCTGTAATAAACATTCTTTCTATTTCTGCACACATTTCATTGAGCCATTCCTTTTTTTACCCACCTATGTCCTCTATTTTGTGACATATCTTAGCATTGTTTGCTGTTTCCATTTCATAATGTCAAGCATTTCATCTGTCATCCATTCCTTTTTTTTATCTCGTCTAGTTCACTTTAGGATGATCTCATTTGCAGATGTCACTAACGCTTATTTGACGTGTCCCACTTTGAATTTCCATTCTTCTAGCTTTCAAAATAAAAATAAACCTACAAAATGTTGTATAATATAAAATCTCATTATAATTTACAGTTTTCTAGTAAGTACCACCATGTACTCTCCCCGGACCCAAAAGATAAATTTTAAATAATAATTTAAAAATGTCTTTAAAGTTAAATTTTCTTTTTAGTTGAGAGATAATAGCCTAAAGTTTCTTAATTTAAGGAAAATAAATTTATTGATGTAAATGAAGCTTTTAGACATTTTTAAAACATTGGCACATTCACTTATCGACTCATTGAACTGTCATAGATGAAATGTGTAAACAAGAAATATTAAAAAATCTTAAAACTCAAATATTTCTTTTTTTTAAGATTTGTTTCAAATTAATAAATTTGAGGATTAATTAACTGGATTTTATAAAACTAACTAGCAGTAGAGCCTGGGATATAACAGTAAGAGATAGATCAAGTATCTACCATCATAAAGACTGAAAAATAAAATTGACAAAGATTATTGTTTAAGGTTGACGAACACGCAGGTCTTAATTATTTTTTTTTTTTTTTTACGAATTGGTCAAACTCAAACAAAAACATTATTTTCAATCGTAATGAGTCTCCCGATTGAATAGAATAATTTTATAAACAATTGTCTTGTAAATGGAATTTTTAAAGCATTCTGAATGTAAAAATAAAGAAAAAAGTGTGCAAGACAATAAGAAACACTACATGCCAAAAAAAAAAAAGTGATGTTTTGTTGAAATCGGTTGAAAAATGTAGGTAGCCTTTCTGTAATCTTTTAGTTTTACAATTTATGATTTTTACTTATTGAATACAGTAAAAAAAATTGCATATTTTGCTTGTGGTGATTCATAATTAGAATTCTGATTTGAATATATTTTCCACTCGTTTCTAATACAAAAAATATTTACTTTATTTGGGTTTATTAATTATGATCTAACAAATCTTATTCATTTAGTAGCCTTTCTGTAATAATAATCTTTTACAATTTATGATTTTTACTTATTGAATACAGTAAAAAATTGGACACCATGTGTATTTAAAGTAGTTTCCCGTTCGGTTATTATTTTTAGTTAGGGCTTGTGTATGTTTAGATTTCATTATCTTTCCCTAAAGATAAAGAATTTATCCGATGTTTGTATTCGTACAATCAGTAAAGATCGTTAGGTTATTGTTTAAGGTTGACGGACACGCATGTCTTAATTAGTTTTTATTTTTTTTAATTTTTACGAATTGGTCAAACCCAAACTCAAACAAAAACATTGTTTTCAATTGTCTCCCAATTGAATAGAATTTTATTATGAATAATTGTCTTGTAAATGGAATTTTTAAAGCATTCTGAATGTTAAAAATAAAGAAAAAAGTGTGCAAGAGAATAAGAAACACTACCTACCAAAAAAAAAAAAAAAAAAAAAAAAAAGTGAAATTTTGTTTTATCGGCTGAAAAATATAGGAAATCCGCTCCCATATTTAAAGGAACCCACACACACAAACAACCTGATGTGAGTTGTCCCCCTTCCATTTTCACAATGTCTCTTAATCGTGTTTTCAAATTGATTTTGTGCAAAAACAATTATATTTTTCCCATTTTTGGCGCTATTAGAACCACCACAAGGTAATTTTATGTAGTCCTGTGAAGTTTTGTTGAAATCGGTTGAAAAATGTAGGAAATCCAATCCAATATATAAACGTTACAGACACACACACACAATCTGTGTTTTATAATAAGTAAGATGCTTACTTTTTGCTTAAAACAGGGAAAATAATGTTTATTTATACACCTGTTATCAAAGTCATAGATTAGTAGTTTAGTCTTTTACTGTCAAACGAAAGCAGATGTAAAATTTTAAAAAGTACTCCAATCTAGAAATTGATATGACACTTAAAAAGAAAGTAATTAAAACTGGTTATATGATACTTTTGAGTTTATACATTGTTTTTATTTTTTGAATATTTTCTTACAAAAAAAAAAAAACTCTCTGAATTTATTAAAATCTGGTCTCAACTCCTGGTATGTTTATCAATCTATCTTTCAACACTTAAAGTGTCACACTTAGATCTTTTTTTGAATTGCTGCATTAAATTTATTCTCAATTAACATCAATAATTTTGCAACTGTTGTCAAAACATAAGGATATTTATACTGATTGAAGTGGATTTTTGCTTCAATTTGATCATTGGGATTCCTTTTTTAGTCATTTAGATTAAAAGCCATGTCTTTTTGTTAACATTTTGCCAGTTTTAAAAATATGTATATGTGAAATTTACAAGAATAATTATTTTATCTATATGACCAAAAAAATATTACAAAACTTTTAGTCAATTTAAATAAGCATTATGAATTTTTTATTTATTGATAACAATTATTACTTTAAATATCTAATGAGCACGCTTATTGACAAAATTCTACTCACTTTCACATATGCTAAATTGCATAATTTTATGCATATCAATAGGTGGTATGTATATATATAAATTTTATGTATCACTGATGAACTGTGATACAGTAAAACATCTGTCTGGATGACACATATATATATATATATATATATATATATATATATATATTTATTAATTCCTCTTAAGCACATATAAGGCTGGGAAAAAAAAAAAGTACATTTCAATTACCACCCCCTACTGACCCTTTTATAATACCCTTGTTTTTCTTCTCTTCAACATTCTTCTTCACATCCTCCTCCCTTTCTATTACACCTAATGTTGTGTGTTTGTTTATTTATTTTTTTTAAAAAATAATATAGCGTTCATTAGTTTTTAAAATATAAAGCGTTAAGAGGTCATTTGATAAAAATTGGCTGAGGTTACTATAAGGTTGAAACCAAGGCAGTGGATCCAACTGATCTCCTGATTTTAAAGTTAAAAGCTCTACATGTTATTTTTACTTTTATTTTTTGACACATGCATGGAACACTTTTTAATACCACTGTTTCCTGGTCTGATTCAATTCTGACCATTAACCCTTTATGTAAAGTACCAGGTTGCGGACTGGCGCAGGCTAGCTGCCTTTGATGAAGGTGAAAGGAGTCTCTCTGAGCTTTGGTTTAGTGTTGGTTGGATAAAAAGACTTCAGATGGGAAGGAAAACTCATGACAGCTTAACCCGGTCATTATATTGCATGTGTCTGCCGAGATAACACATGAGGACTGTTGTTCGGAGTTTTCGTGGCAAGTCTTTTGCACCGTTACTTTTTTTATCGACAGATCCTAAAAGTGTGGATGGTACAACACAAGCCTTCACCACTTGGAACAAATCATTGTGTTGGTTTTCTGACAACTACATCTAATTAGTTCAACACATATCCGGCTACTGTGAAAAAACTCTACGAAACAACATCAACTTCATCTTGGCACTTGGAATGTACAAACTCTCCAGGACAACAACTCAGCACCAGAAAGAAAAACAGTTCTGGTCGCATTGGAGCTAAAGAAGTACAACATTGATATAGCTGCACTGAGAAGTAACCATCAGTCGACTACATGAAAGACGAAAGCAAAATAAGACATCTAACAGTGTTCCTGCTGCACTTGGATACAATACATTCTCCTTTACTGTTTGTGGTCTTTTGTGCAATTCTCGAGCCAGTCTCAAAAGTCATGCCCGTCATAGGCATGCTGATAATTAGTTTGTGGTCGTCAGAACCTCCTACATCGAACTCGATGGGAGAGTTCATCATATATATATATATGACTTTTTTCTTTTTTTTTTCTTTTAGGATTGCTGCTGCTGAACTGATCCAAGAAGCAAAAAGAGGATCTGAAAGAGCAAAAGTGATGGGTGCTATGGGATGGTTAGTATATCATTAAATATAGTTATTAATTGGATGTTGATCTAAAATTGTCACTGTATAATGTTTAATAGATCAGCAATGGTTTAAGTAGATTGACAAAAAAGATTACTGATATTAAATAGCATTTACCAGCCTGAATGTCCGAGAAATTTTCATAGAAAATATTCGAACCTGTATCCTATACGGAACCGTCATATAGCCTGACGTGCCTAACCTCTCGGCCACAAAGGATCGTTCGGTTGGTAAGGTCGAATTTACTGCTTATAAACTTCAATCTTCCATGAATCTCTCACGTATATTCATAACTGTATAGGATACAGGTTCGAATCCTGTCGAAGAATGAATATTTTCTATGAAAATTTCTCAGACATTCAGGTCAGTAAATGCTATTTAATACTGTTTATTATAGACAGAGCGTTTACTTAAATACTTGTATCTATAAAAAGAATGTTAAACATAAAAATGTCTTTAAATAATTGTCGGACTTTGTCCATTTCATAAAAAAGATTATGTTGAAAAATAGTTATGGTGTAAAATATTCGCTTTTCTTGTTTTTTTTCATTATGAATTTATGTACTTATTGTTTTTAATTAAGCTACTAAGACACAAGAGTTTACTGAATGTGAAAGACTATGAGAAAAGTAAAAAGAATGTGTCTGGAGAGATGTTCTATGGTAAGCGTTCTCCTAAACTAAAAAAGCAATTTATAAAGGCTGCATAGAATATAACATACAGTTATTAGAAAGTAACTTTTTGAAACAAATTAGTTATTTAGTTTCAAAAAGATCAGAGTACTTGCATCTTGTTTACAAAGAAAATAAAAATGTTCAGGTCTCTCTTGCACAAGGCATCAAAAAAAAAAAAAAAAATAATGAGCAACATTTCTGACCCAGAATTTGCTCCTAGACAGATATGTCCAGTGTGTAGTCAGGTCTTGTTAACCATATGAAGCACCGTAGCCAGAATGGACAAATGAGATTTCTACCTGAAATTAACCAACAGCTGAAACTAACATATGCTTTGCGAGTGCACATTTTGGGGGCTAAAACCGTATATGCTGGCATTTGCAAAGTCTTCTTTGTTCCCATGGCAGCCGTAACTAGGGATAACACGGAACATGTATGTTGCAAAAACAAATGGCGATCTAGGAGGTTGCTTGAGATGTCATGAAAGAGGCATGCAACAGTTAATTTAAAAAAGTTGTCTTGGTTGAAAAGAGAGTAGACAGCCATCTCCCTCTCTCTCTCCTACACACACGGATGTGCTGAAAAGTTCTCAGCTTGGCCCACTTCCTAAAATGTAACCAAATAACCAAACATCAGAATAATTTTTGGATAAGCTTTTTGATCAGGCAAAGAAGTTTTCAATACCCCACCCCACACGCATAAAATAACCTTTCTAAGACTTTCAACTGTTTTTGAATGAGTAATGGCGAAATCAGAAATATTTATTTTCATCTAAAAAATCAGTTCAATTAACAGTTATTTATTGGCGAAAAGAGTAATTAGCAAACTTAATGAAACATTTACTTTGTATACGTAATCTTAATAAAAAATCCTTTTCTCCAACTTTTAATTTTGTATTTTAATCAGAGAAAAAAAAATCTGTGAAATAACTTTGATTCCCAAATGCTAAATTATCCAAACTGAACTTTTCAAATATTTTGTTACTCAGTTTCAAGTTTCACATTTTTAAGAATCTCTCATCTTGGAATTAAAGCAATGGCAATTATCACTTTATGTTTGTAAAAAGAAAAATCTGTGAAATAATTTTTTTTTAAAATAATTTCCTTTTATTCCAGGCGTAAATGCCCTCTGCCAAGTGCCAACAAAGTGTTTTTGAATAACACTCTTCTCAGCATAATTGGACATTCCAAGCGACACGAAAAAGAGAGAGAAAAGAGTTGCAAAGAAGAGAGATTCTCAAAAGTCGGTTCCTCTTCTGGAAGAGGCAGTAGGAAGCGAGTTTATTCATCTTATTCTCCCCCAAAACAAAAAATCACCAAGACAGACACAGTTGATAAAACATATGACTGTATCACATCTGATAAAAGAGCAGACACAAAAAAAGAATTCTCTTTATCTCAAAGGAAGCATTCTTATTCTTCACTTAATTCATATAAAAACGATCAACAAATTAAAAAACGAAAAGAATAAAATGAATTGCCTCTCTCTCATTTGTCTTTGATTTTATGCATTGATTGGTTTGAGTTTCATAGACAGGAATTCTGGTTTTAAACATCCTATACTTGCTGCAGTAAGTACATCTAATGTTTGTAAAATCTGCACTATCAATGCTATAACTATCTGCAATAAATAACAGGCCTGACTTTCATGTCATTAGGTGAATAGAAGTTTTATTATAGATCATCTTCCTAGTGAAATCATTTTGCCAATTCTTTTGCACTTAGTACATACATATACTTGTAAAATCTGCAGTGCAGAGTTAATACTCACACAAAGAATGCATTTACAATATTTTATACCATTTGTTTATGGCAAATTAACCGTATATAAGGTGCAGAATTTCCAGACTTATTAAATAGGATAAAATTATTCAATGTCTCTGATTTCTCTGTTTTATAACGACATGGTCAGATGAAAATATTTCTTGGATTGTGATTACAATTTAATTCAGGGTTACTCTATCTTTCCACAATACTTGTAAAATGGTGAAATTTATATTCTTCCTTGTGTTTTTTTGTATGTCAAGCTAAAAAACCTGGAAGACATTAGCTAAGCATCGATAAGCCTGTCTGGTATAAGTGAAAGAATTCCCAAGAAAAATAAGTTCTAAAATTCTGGAGGTAAAGAGAATTAGCAAAAAGTTTGCAGGCTAGAGAGTTTTTGTAAAAAGACATTTCTGCTAAACACACATTTTGTTTAGAGCTTCATTGATCATATAGTTATTAAGTGAATTTTGATCTGTAATTTTCACTTTGATCTGTGGTATTATATTTGCCACTGAATTAAGTGCATTGACATGGGACAATATGATGTTGAAAAATATGTAAAATAAATTTTTCATTATTAGGCTGGAGATGTATTGATATAACTATATAATCCTCCATGGCTGGAATAATTTAAGCAACCACAAAAAAATTAGCTTCTAAGGTTTGGGATGTGAATTCAAGTTTTGTAGGAAGCTACTCTTTCATTTATAACTTGACAATTTGCTTTTACATTCAAATTTTATCAACTCAGAGTTATGAGATAAGAAAGCAACAATTATTAAATAACTGCAGTAATATTAAACCATGTCCCACATTAGTAGTTAATCTTTGGGGTATGTCAATGTGTATGTGTAACAACTTTTTGGAAATAAAAATGGTAATAGTGAAAATGTTTAAAAATTAAAAAAACATTTTGAAATAAATAAGTTACTTTAAATTTGTCAAGGTGATAAAAAAAAATGGTCATATAATAACTATTCTCCAATATTATTAAAAGTTTAATCTTACATCTTATTGCTGTTGAATCGTATCTATTTCATTACAAGAATGAATGAATATTTTAATAAGCTAAGAAACATTGAATTTGTTTTCACTTTTGATGCCTTTTCTCTTCCAAATGAATTCTTTTGGCTTTGATAACTTTAAATATTTTATTAAAATGCATCGTTCACTAAAGAAAAGTGTAGTAGTAGTAGTAGTAGTAGTAATAGGTGTTGTGACGAAAGAAATGACTTACCCTGGAGATCGAAATGACCACAGATGTGTCTTGCTTGCAAAGTACTGAAAAGAAAATATGGCTATTCTTGGGGGCACAATTTATGAGTGCTTGTCTCGTCTCCATGAGACGGGATTTGCACATATGCAAATTCTGGCCTGCTTGAGGAGACATATAAAACAAGATGCTAAGAGTGACAGGGGGCATGTTTTTGGGGGGGTAGATTGCATTTGTTAATCTGAAGAGTGGATTGACAGAAAAAAAGGTGAAGGAGACACGACTGAATTTGTCAACTGAAAAGTGCCCAGTATGTGGTGGTGAAGAAATAAAGCCCCGGAATCTATTTCCTTGAGGCGAGTGAGGAAGAAGAAGAAGAGTCAGTCTGCCGGTGAACGTCGCACTTGATTTTTTTTTACCCCATCGCCCTCATTTATTTTTTTTTTGCGACAAGCTATTTCGGTGTTTGCTTTTTCGTTTGCTGTAATAGCAGTCAAGGCATTTGACATCTGGCTAATTCTGGAATTTCATGACGTTTCATCAGATCCCACAGTGTCTGAATGGATGGAACAGGTGGAGCTTGTGTGCGAGATGTGTGGGGTAGACAACATTGAGCACATTATGCCACTAAGATTGAGAGGTGGAGCTCTGTTGGTGTACCAACGATTGTCCGGTGACCAGAAAGAGGACTTGGAACAAGTGAAACAAGCCCTTCTCATAGCCTTCACATCGGATCCTTTTGTAGCCTCATCCATCATGCAGACAATTGTTGATGCCATTTTAACAAAAGACAAACTGCCTACATTGATGACATATACGTGGATGAGAGTGTTGTTCCCACAGCACGTGTGAAGGAATATGTCGACAGCTTTGGACTCAGGAGCAAAGAACCGGAGAAGCTAAAGGATGGTGCATGAGTGCTTGGTCTACAGGTCTGGTGGGGAGCATCACACACACTACTGGAAAAGAGGGAACAGGATCCCGGATATGCCTCGCGTTGTCACCTAACACAACGTATTTTCATCATGCGGCAAGCTGGTTAGACATCTTCCTGTGGGTGGATGGCTTTGTGTAGTAATGGCCTTCATCATGGAGAACATCTGAGGTTACTGCTGGTTGGGATGACAAAGTTGACGATGCTCCTCTCAACACCATGATCAAAGGAGGTTCTCACCAGGGTGCATAAGGCAGACCTGGCATGTGGCAAATTGTGTCTCGATGGTCAAGACTTCAGTGTATGGGTCGACACAATCTCTCTTGCTACCGGTGTGTCATTGGAATGTGGTGGGACCGTGGTAGAGGATGCCTGTTGGTTACGGCCAGAAAAGGACTCCCAACATATTATTAACCTTGCAGAACTTGATGCCATTATTAAAGGGGTGAATTTGGCAATCCTCTGGAAGGTGACTAGCTTGCACCTGTTCACAGATTCGGCTTGTGTTCATAAATGGGTGTCAGACACCCTCATGGGGAGGGCCAGAGGGCAAACAAAAGAAGCAAGCGAGATGTTCATCCGACAATGGCTCGACACACTGATGAAACTGGTGAATGAATATGCGTTATTGAAGGATGTGAGCTTGGTTAAATCTAGCCAAAACAAAGCAGATCGACTGACGAAGGTGCCTCAGAGGTGCAATTAAGAGGAACACAGCCCATACAGCCTACTTGCACTGCATCTGTGAGTTCTGACCAAATCAGAGTGGCCATCCTGGTGTGAGGCGGACACTCTACTTTGTAAAGCAGATTAACCCTGCAGTGTCCCAGGCGACTGTGAGAACCGTTGTCAGGGAGTGTGAGGAATGTCAGTCAATTGACCCATCACCTGTACACTGGCCAGAGACATGGCACCAGGTAGTGATGGACATTACCCATTATAAGGGAGCCCATTTTTTGACATTGATTGCGGCCCCACTTGGCTTACCATCTGGCGACATCTCCACCGGCAGGATGCAGCAAGTGTGATCATCCTGTTGAAAGTACTGTTCTGCGAGCAGGGCCCGCTGGCTGAAATTTTGACAGATGACACCTTTTTCGCAGCAGCTTGTTTAAAAATTTCCTGAACGAATCAGGAGTCTGACTCCGGTTCTGTTGTGCACATGTTCCCTCGGATGACGGCATCATTGAGCGATGTCATATAACTGTGCAAAGGATTACCGCCAGAAAACCATGTGCTATATCAGAAGTGGTGTACTTGCACAATGTCACTCCAAAGGATGATCTATACCCCACTACAGCACCAGCCAATATGAGTCATCGCTATCGCATACAGCTGAAAGGGATTGATGGAATATCAGCACCAGCACCTGACCAATGGTGGGCTGTCTTCAAAATGGGTGACCAAGTGTGGGTAAAGGTCCTTCATGGGTGATGTACCACCAAATACTAGGTTGGTTGTGTCACTGGAATTACCAGCGTGCAGAATGTCTTGATTGACGGAATGCCACGCCATGTCAAAGATCTGTGGCCTATGATTGAACCAGGCCCTCCAATGGACTGCTCTGACATGTCTTCAGAGAGTGAAAGAGTTATAACTGTCGGATATGCCAGTGCCCAGCATATATGCAGCCAACAACTCTTCTTCTGATGACTTGTCTCATGAAAACCCTGTGGCTATACCCCTGCAAAGAAGCATGCAACACAAGAGACTGACCCCACTGATTGTATCATATGTGACCATGAGATCAGTGGGGAGTGTAGTAGTTATATGTGTTGTGAGGAAAGAAATGATTTACCCCAGAGATCAAAACGAGCACGGACATGTCTTGCATGCAAAGTGTTGAAAAGAAAAAAAGCTGTTCTTGGAGGCACAATTTATGAGTGCTTATCTCTATGAGACGGGATTTGCACATATGCAAATTCTGGCCTGCTTGAGGAGACATAAAAAGTGAGATGCTAAAAGTGACGGTGGCATGTTTTTTGGGGACAGATTACATTTGCTAGTTTGATGAGTGGATCGACAGGAAAAAGGAGAAGGAGATGTGACTGACTTGTCATTTGAAAAGTGCACAGTGTGGTTGCGAAGAAAGAGCCCTGGAATATATTTCCTTGAGACGAGTGAGGAAAAAGAAGAGGAGTCAGTCTGCCGGCAAACGTCGTACTTAATTTTTATTTATTTTTTTATTTTTTTTTTTTACATCATTTATTCTTTTTTTTTTTTGCTACAAAAAGCTAATGATTACATTTTGACTTAAAAAAATAGTTCAATTCTAGCCTTCTGATCAAAAGTAAGTGAAAATTACTTTTTTTTTATCATTACTATTTAATCTTGTAATCTGTTAATAATTAACTGAATTGAAACTGTTCAGTGAACATTCATTACTTGAGCAGCATCTTCCAAAATTGATTAAGCAAAAGAGTTTAGTAATTTTGAGATGGCAACTTTTGATTCATATGTGGGCAATTACATGCAAACCCAAAATATCCTCTCAAGTGAGAAAAAAAATGTCTCGCTGTAACTTTAACAGCTTTTTGGTATTTTTTTTTTTCAAAAAGAAAACAAGAACAAAAATTGAACATTTCAAATATTTAATGAGCATAAATAAATAAATAAAAATAAATAACAAACAACTGATGTTGAAATCCAAATTATGAATCTTTTTAAAAGATATCTGTGCAGTAACAGAAAATAATGGATCCAAGACAAATTAACAATTTGTGTCCAGTTTTGTGTCCAATTTGAATAGTCTCAGTTTGTGTCTTTGTATTCTTTCTTTTCTAACCAAACAGATGACAAAATTGGTAAAAATTAGTCTGGAAAAAACACCAGAAGTTTTCAGTCAGGTTTACAAGTCAAAGCCAAGTTATCAATGGGAAAGCCAATCTTTCTTTCATTTTCCCTGGTTGTCATCATCATTCTCTTTAATAATAATAATATTATGCACATTTGATTTGATTTTCAAATTCATTGACTCATCATGGCAGAAATGGGACATTCAGGTACTCATATCGTTACAAAAAATGTAAGGTGGAACACACTGAAAACAATTTTTTAAAATGTCTGATTGAACAAAAAAGTTTGTTACTCTACCAAAATTAAAGAATATATGCATATGTATGTATTATTCGTATAAAACCGATATATTTTTTCGGTAGGGGTAATTTTTAGTGTTATTTTATGATAGGATTGACATAACTTCACAGATATAGTTTTATAATCACAAGGGGAGACAACTTTGGGATGTTCCCAGGGTCGCTATCCATTTGAATACATATTTTTTTTTTTTTTTTTTTTGTCTTTTTAACTATCAGGTTAACCTTGGATCAACCTACAAGGTGAAGTTCTGTCACATACTCCATAGATAAATATCTATAAATGGGATGAAAACAATTAAAAACTGATTTTTAAAAGAAAATATGGAGTGTGTTTCATTGAATAACATTCATTTTCTATTTAAAATAAGTTTTTGCTTTCTAAAGATATTTTAATTCAGTTACTTTATTTTTCTAGAATATCATCAGGTATACATCTGTGTATACACATTAAGTATACACAAAATATTAAGTGACCAGGTTAGGCAGGTCTTTTATTTGTGAAGAGCCATTTACACTGGACCCTGGTAAGAAGTAAAGAGGCAAAATTAAAAAGAAAAATGAAGTTTTTTTTATGAAGATCAAAAAAAATATTGCCTCTAATCACAAGCATTAATTATCCCATTATAAAAAAAATGGGACAAATATTCATTTTTATATGAATTACCACCATCATTGTCATAATTGTTGTTATCAGCATTATTATCAATGTTTAGCCTTCAATTTATGACAAACATTTCATGTAGCTTGTCAAGATGAAAAGTGTTCAAAACATTATTGTCAGGCAGGGTTAGGGTTAATTGCCTTGTTGGATGTAAGCAAGCAGTCAGAAAACAGATTTTAGGGACAAAATAAAGGTCAAATTATTACTTTCAAGCCTTCTCCATTGACAGATTTTTAAAAAAAATCTTATTTACATGGAGTCTACATGCAATTATAAAAAAAACAAATCACAGTTGTCTCATAAGCTCCATTCAGATTAAATCTGTCTGTTAAAAAAAAAAAAAAAAAAAAAAAAAAGAGGCAAAGTAATAATATTTATCCAAGTTGAAAAAAACAGAACGTGTATCTGTTAATTCCATAATGGAATATGAATTGTTAAAAAATAAATATTTCTTTGAAAAAAAGAAAATGGTCTCTGCTGTATTGATTGCCTCAAAATCACTTGAAAAATATGATGAGGCTTTTTTATCATATTTAAATTGTGTGTGCGTGTGTCTATATGAATAAACATACAGGATTTTACAATTGGCAGGACATTATTGTGGGGGGGAGGAACAAAAACAACATCAACAACAAGGTCTTCACAGCATTGGATTTAATGATTTAAAAATCAATTGTTTGTTAAATTAATGCAACAATGGAACTTTTTTTTTTATTTTAAATATTTAATGTTTTGAAAAAATAATTCGGAATATTAAAAGGGAATATCTTAATCAAAATGCTTGCGAATAAAGTAAGAGACAAGATAATATTTTACTGAATTTTTTTTTTCTTTTTTATAAGCCAGCATGAAAATACAAATTGTGTGACAGGATATGGTGGAATGGTTGCCAAGGGAACCCAGAAATGGGGTAATTTCCAGTAAGACTTCAAAAATCTTCATTCCGATCCAAAAAATAATCAAAGATTTCTAATATATATCTGTTTTATTTGTTTTTCATCTCCTGAAGGACTAAGAAATTTGTGAATCATATGAAAACACAATCCCTAGAGAATATATCTGCACCACTCCGAACATCATCCGGCCCCTTGTGTTGATCTTGTGCTTCTCATGAATACAGAGAACCACGAGGTATAATGCTGAACAGAACACATGCACCCCTGAGTTCATCGGTGGGTGGGGGGAGAGTTTCACGTTAATATACATAACTCGCATATATACTGACATTCGTACATACAATACCCGAAATAGTCACAACCCAAATCATCAGCATTTTCCATCCACCGGCACATTTATGATTACAAACATTCTTCTTATTAATTTTTGCTATGATACAGTCACACTTTCATCATCTTCTTCACATTGGTCCCCCATGTAAGAAGTAGGTAGGTACAAAATCCTGCCTCTGTCTCACACACGGCTCAGGTTGGAGTCCTGCCAGCTAACAATTCGAAGCCGTCAGAGTGTGATGTAGACCATCTCTTTACTCCAATTCAAGGAGGTTGCACTTGATTAGGATAGCTGTACTGATATCAATAACTGTTGTCTCCATCCATCCTAGCATTGAGCATAAATAGGGACCAACCAGAAAAACTAAAAGAACAAAATACTAATTGACTAACACAGGTCAGCCATCAAGTTGGAATTGTTCTAGAGGCAAATCGTGGTTACAGCAGTAAAGTTGTATACAAAGATAACAACTCTACATTGTTGTACGTGTCTAGCAAATAATATCATCATTATCATCAATAATATTATTAGAATTATCATTTTCAAAGAATTTCATTTTAAGAAAGGATAAAACACATTTTACTTCCACCTCTATAAGTTTTTTTCATTTCTTTTTTGGATTTTTGTTTTATTTTTATTTTTTTTTTTTTCTCCAGTACATATTATAATTTTTTTTTTTCATTTCATGAGTTAAATATTTTTGTAAGTAGCTGATTGTTTTGATTTTTTTGTTGTTTTGTTTTGCTTTTCAACAAATTTAGACACACACCAAATGTGAACTAAACCCTTTAAATAACTTTGCTATCATTATTATTATTGTTATTATTATTATTACTATAAGGCACACAAGGAAAATAAAACAATTATCTGGCAATGTTTTATTTTTGGTTTATTTTTTTCTATTCTCTTAGTTATTTCAAATAACCATGGGCGGATATTTGATAAAATTGATGGGAAAAGACCAAGAAAATAATCAACACATAAAATTGATATGTTAACAATTTCTACTGTTTTTTTTGTTTTTTTTTTGTTTTTTCTATATTTTTTGTTTTGTTAAACAAGAAATAACTTTTCTAGTTTTGCCAAAATGTGGCAATGGAAAATTTAAAATAATTAAGAATTGGTGAATTTGGTATTAATTTTCACCTGGCTGTCGTCTGCCAAAAAATAATATAATTGGTTATTGGCCAGGTATCAATAGCTTTTCACACATCACCTTAAATGGGTGGTCATCAGTATCAATAAAACAATTATAAGAAATACTGACAAATAACAGAGAAATTACAAATAATTGTAAAAATTATAGTAATATTTCAAATTGTATGTATGTATGTATGTATGTATGTATATATATATATATATATATTTTTTTTTATTATTTTCTCACATTTAGACCACAGCATGACAGCTATTATTAACAGGACTTATATAAAGAAAAAAAAAACACTTATACAGTACTTATATAAAAAGATATACTATAAGGAAACGAGTATATTTCAAAATTTCATCAAGTGTCAACTTGGATGATAAATTGCATTTTTATGATTTCTCCACATTATATATATGATATACATATATATTTATTATTAGTGTAATATATTGTATGTATATTGTCTATCACAAGAGTAAATTTAGAAGAAGTATCTTCTACAACAGAAGAAGGTTATATATCATGTTTATTTTTATGTGTTAAATGTTTCTCATGAAAAGAACAAATAGATAATATTTTATATATATATATTTATATATATATATATATAAAATCAATAAAGATAACAATTGGTATGAGAAATGAAATGAGAATAGAGAAGGTTCAAAACTAACAAATTTCAGAAAGATTCAATGTAAGAAATAAAAACCTATTTTTAAAAAAATAAAATTAACAAGAATCAAATGGTAATTCCTTTTCAATATATTCTGCTCAGCAGGAAAAAAAGGATTTGAGCCGAGTTCAGAGATTCTGATTTTAAAATATCTATAACATTATATACAAAAATACAATAAATATTTTCTATGTTCCTTTGTTTTTTTTTTCTTTTTTCTTTTAAAAGTCTCTTCAACTATTAATAAATGTCAGAGTTCACAACCAGGTAGCCATCTTTAAACTAAGCACCAAATTTTTTTTTGTCTGTTCATCTAGTTGTTAATTTCTGTTTTGTTTTTCTCTCATTGTCATACACTTTATAAAAGTCAGTGTTCTCAATCAGGGACATTGTAGCATTTGTCCATCTGTTCTTTTTTTTTTTCCCCTCCTTCATTTTCATGTTGTTATCACATTGTTGTTCAGGCAAAGAAGGGGGGCCCGTCAGGGGGTGAGTCACCAGGGAAGGGATCCAGGGCATGCACAGCCCATCCACATCACAGTCAAACTTGCCATAGCAGAAGGTGATTTGTGCTGTCATCACGACCAGCAGCCTCATTGGCCACATTATTACGAAAATCCTCATACCCATCTCCACCACTTATCACCAGCATTCGGGTTGCCATTGTAGCAGTTGTTGCCATAGAAGATCGACGTTGGATCTCTTGCAGAGACAAGTTACCTTCAGGTGGAGGACTTCCACTTGCTTCTTGAAGAACAGAACTACCATTATTACTACTTTCACTGCCACTAACAGCACTTTGGGACTGGAATTGTTGTTGCTGTTGGGTGTTACTGCCATTGTTGTTGTTGTTACCATTGTTGTTGGTGGTGGTGGTAGTGGTGGTGGTGTTAGTACTACTTGTGCCTGTCGTTGTGGTGCCGGAACTTCCTCCAATAGCTGCAGCTATACTAATGTTATTTGGATCCATTTTCTGTGTTGTATTGTTGGGCAATTCAACACTGGTCAGAAAACGTACATGCCCCGTATGGCCATAAACCAAACCTGAAAGAAATGCAGAGAAAACATGAAAATATTTTTTTTCTTCTTTTTGCTCATTTCACTCAAAACAAGGTGATAAAGCCACTAAGATGCAAGGTGTTACCGAGAATGAAATAAACTGAAAAAATGATGATTGAAAAGAGAGAGAGAGAGAGGATGATAAAAGACCAGGATACAAGGAGACAGAAGATGACAACTGATGTTGCATTTAACTGAGTTCCATAAGTGAGAAGTGCAAGTAGAAAGTATTAGCATAAAGCTTACAGTTACATCTAACAATTTCAACAGAAAATGATGAGATCTAACTGCCAATCTAGTACAGTACTTAAATTTTTTAAGATGAGGTACCAAAGAGAAAAGTTCATCAGAACGATTACTATGAAACTATTTATAGAAAAGACACAGAGAAATTAAGTTACATTATCCAACCTAACAAGAAATAAAGAGAAGGATGGTAGCAAAACAGACATGTGAGATGAACTAAAAAAATCTAATCAGCCATTTTTCACGACCTTGGTTTTTGAAGAGTGAAAACAAGAGTTGCACAAGCACATACAATACTATTTCTGAATCCTCATCACTGTCCTCAGATTGACACCCAAACACTCTGAAATGTTCACATTGGAGCTTCCAAATTTCTGGCAGAGTGAATTGCATCATGGTGCTCTTTTTCTCACAGACAGTGGCCCAACTGACCCTACTATACTGTGCAGTCAACAAAATCAAAAACATATAACATGTATGTGCAAAATTAATAATATAAAATGGTGATGATTTACCAATCACACTGTGTGTGTGTGTGTGTGTGTGTGTAAATAAATAATATAAAAGGCTCTAGTAAACACTAATATTCCATAGTTATAATTTATTACATTGGAATCATAATCACAATCCAATTCATCAGACCTACAAATTCATGATCTAAATGCCCCCCCCCCTTCTCCTTTCTCATATATTCTAGTTTTTAAGTTTAGATTCTATCGTTTTTATTGTGCGTAGTGTCACCACAAATGTATCCACACGTTTCTGGTATCTGTTTTTTAATTTAGGTCAGCAAATCAGTAGCGAATTATGCATCAAAAAATAATTCATGAAATATTAGTGTTTGAGCCTTTTATATTATATTCTTACTTTGTCCTGGACATTGAGTTCTACTTGGATTCTATCCTCTTGGGAATTTATATATATATATATAAAAATGTAAAATAGATAGTACAGAAGTACCTGTAACTGTAGGGCAGTTGATTGTGCTGCGTGCTGTTGTGGAGGTGATTTTGGGCACAGGAATAGTAAGAATAACTCCAGCACTGGTTCCAACCCAAAGTAGGTCTTTACAGATTAACAATGCTGTTACTCGCAGGCAAGCTGTCTTGTGCTGTCGGATAATATCATCAGCCGCTATAAAGAGAAAAGTTTTAAGAAATAAATGAAACATTAAAACTGTGAATAATCCAAAACTCATAGTTTCAGTGATTTCAAAATCAGTAGCTGATGAAAAAGGATGTACTTAAACCGAGAATTGATGATAATTGCAAACTCAATGTGAAAAACTTTAACATTGTAATATAAAATGTAGTAACAATTTATCAACTTCAAATGTCAATTAACTCTTAATCAATTGGCCAGTGATTGTTTTGTTGTATGGTCATTACGGTAATAGAAAAAAAAACACCACACTTCACTGTTCTATGGTTAATAGCAATTCAAATGTAGAATAGAGGGACAAAGAAAACAGGAAGAATGCTTCCTTATTTTAAAATGACTGATCACTTCTCATCAGTGTCTCACAGGCCAAGATAATTGTTGCAGCCATTCTTGACTAGTTGCTTCCATAAACATTTTTTTATATACTAACGTTTACCAAATACAAGGCCTGAGAACCACTCAAAGTAATGTGCTACAGTCAACAAAATAGTAATTCTGAATGAAGTGTGATAGGAATGGAAGAGAGATTTGCTAAGAAATAAAGGTGTGAACTGGTGAAATTAAATAATGGAGCTCTCATCTTAACATTTGTCATGAAAATAATGATAGAAGCAGTGACAGGCTTATAATGTTGAATCTGTTGGATAAAGGTTATGGGGTGAAAAATTAGTAATCAACCGCAAGACCAAGAACAATATTGAACTCTTGGAAAGTGAGGATTGTGTAGCTCCAGTCCAGGTATGGCAGCAATACTTCAGTTTTGGTTTAATCTGTTAATAGTCAAAGTCTATAATTTGGGAGATTAAAGATCAGACATAAAAAAGAAAAATGTAGGCGTATGCATATACGTATGAATGTAGCACCAAAAGTAATGCCTATTATTTTATTATATGTCACAGATTTTCAGAACTTAAAACGATTATTTGGTTACTTATTTTTGTGCATCATTTTACTTGCAATTATTGCCATGTTATGCAAACAATAGTCAGTGCCTTATTTAAACAAATTAGCCATAAATAATCAAGTGTCTTTTTATAGCCCTCTATCACACATTGTCAATTAAGACCATTTTTACATTTACAGAATTAACAAAATAATCGTTCTAAGTAACACGGTAATTGAAATAAGTGCTGCATAATTTGTCGTATTTTTATATTGACCTACAACATCAGAGGCAAATATCGGTGATATAGCAGTAGAAATTGAGCTTTTCCACTAATAAACCATAATTTATTTTGCTAAGTAACAGTCAGGCAAAATATTTCATGAAAAATGAGCATGAAGCAGATGTGCATCATTGAATTCCTCTTTGCAGAAAAACTTGCACAGGTTGACATTTATAAATGAACATTTATGGTGTGTAAAATGCTTAAGTAAAAAATGAAGTCATTTCTACTTTTTATAACTTTGGCTCTTGACGAGCAAAGCCAATGGTGGAGAAAATTTTGAAAAAATAGTATTTACTGCTGAAAAAAATGCTCTATACAACAGTTTACCTGTTGTAGTTCATGTGGAAATAAATATGAGGTACTAATTTTGGTGCATCCCTTATAGATAAAAAGAAAATATGTATGCCATACAGAAACATTTGTAAATACACACTTTTTCCAGAGAGTATCTTACCATTTTGAATATCCCAATATTCAGTTTGTGGATTTTTTAAAAATCATTTCACCCCAAAGCAAGGCAATAAAGCTACTAAGATACAAGGGGTTACTGAGTGTGAAAGAATATGCAAAAAAGAAAAAAATTATCAAGGAGAGAGAACAATAAATGAATAGGAATTATGATAACAAAAGATAATGATTGACATTGCATTTAAAATTTTATGTAATTCAGCTGCAAATCAGAGAAGACCATACTGCATGTGTATTAACAGACACATTCCCAATGGGGTAACCAGTAGTTAAACATTATGACAATGCACTGGCCAAAACACTGCATCAGCCACATTTTTGGCTTTGTCCCAAACCTAAAATACCTGTTGAATGAAAGGAGATTTTAATCTGTGGATGAGATTAAGGTAAACGTGAGTAAGCTGATGGCAATCTCAAAATAGGATATTGCAGGCTTTAAAAAAGTGAAAGAAAGGTCCCATGAGGAATAATTTTAATATGACTAAACTACCATCATATATATATATATATATATATATATATATATATATATATATATACATACATTATGTAATGAGCATATAATCTGTAATATTTATTTTCCTACTCTTTTTCATTTTCTCTGATATTAACAGACATACATACAAATTGAGCAGATCTTAAAAAAAAAAAAAAAAAAAAAAAAAAAAAAAAAAAAAAAAAAAAAAAAAAAAAAAAAAAAAAAAAAAAAAAAAAAAAAAAAAAAAAAAAAAAAAAAAAAAAAAAAAAAAAAGAAAAAAAAAAAGAAAACAAAATCTTACACTGCAATTTCTGTGTGACAGCTGGAGTAATATTGATTTCATGAAGGAATTCATATGTCGTGGCATGGTAGAGATTGACCTTGGAGCTTTGCTGGGGTGCAACCCACACTCCTTGGCCAGATGACACTATACATTGGACACAGCGAGAGACATCAGGGTTTACAACAAATTGATGCTGAAATGTAAATAATCACACATAAAATATAGTTCACAAAGATTTTGTGGGAATTGGCAGAAAAAACTATCGTTAAATTATCATCACAGTTCTTTTTCCTTAACTCATGTTGGGGGGGGGGAGGCTGAAGAAAGTATTATCACACATACACAGACACAAATGTGTACAGAAAACATCTACTTAGTCAGATTTAGGGGATGATTTTCATCACCCCACACTTATATAATTAATCTTAGGGGAATTGTTACAATTAACTTTAGATACTGACCGTTAGATATGAAATATGTTATACTAATCACTTGCATTATTTACATTATTCAGACCGTTATCATCATCTTCATTGCCATATTTACAACGTTTCAGCTGTTGTATGCTCCGGCCTTCTTCAGGTGATTGGAATTTCGAACCGAACACTTTATTTCATCCACATGGCCCAGTAGATAAAGACATTAGTTAGATCTAGTGACTAGATGCAAAGAGTTGTGAATTCAATACCAGTTGAGTTAAAGGAAATAACTGAGACATCCAGAAGAGGTATGGCATGTGGAACTAGAACAATCTACCCTGGTGGATGAAATGAAGGGCTTGGTTCGAAATTCCAATCACCTGAAGAAGGCCAGAGTGTACAACGGCCAAAATGTTTTGAATATGGCAATGAAGATGAGGATAACAGTCTGAATAATGTAAATAATGCAAGTAATCATAATACCTCATTTCAGAGATATAGACAGTTATACTAATCAAAAAGATGAGTTTTTAAAATAGTCCCTTACAAATAAACCTCATCTAAAACTAAAAAATAATTAAATAACTATTTAATAAACTTAACAGAAATAAATAATTATTATTTAAATAACAGAACTTTAATGTCAAAATATAAAAGACTGATATCAAAGGAGTGAATGCCACCAACACCAATCATATCAATTAATCTTTTAATCAATATGAATTAATCTTTTAAAGAGGCTTTAAACCATTGCAGGCTGACTGTCCAGAACTTGCTGGCCAAACAGATATTTGTTTATAACTGAATTTAAGAATTCCCATTGGCCATCGAGGGTTATACACTAATGAATCAGTTCAAGCAATATAGTGACTTTGAGGTAATAATGGTGTTTTCTGATTTTTCATCAATAGACAATTCGATTTCAATACCAGAACAAACAGATACTTATGAATGCGCAGGAGGCCTTACAGGGAATTTTTTTGCTAAAACATTTGGGGTTGGGTAAATAAATGATTTTGTTCCCGACAATGAATTGGATTTCAACCATACCAGCAGTCAGCCACATTGCAAGAAGCAAGTATGTATCTTGTATTAATGGCTGGGGAAATGTCAAAGTTACCCTGTATGTAAAATTTAGAAATAAATTCAGTCTAGAAAAAGTTAAATTATTTCTTTGGGCAAATTAAATGCATAGCAATTGATGCTAATCATATATAAACTGCATACTGATTGCATTCTTTTGCAAGAAACCAAATTTGAAAATTTCCATGTGTAGCAAAAGAATTTGTAATCAAAAAAGAAAACTTTAAAAAACGTAACAATAACAAAAAAATAATTGTTCAAAGAAATTAACCCTTAAAGATGAAAGGATTAAGAAACAAAACCAAGTGATGAAAATTATTTTTTTCTAAAGAAGGAATTAAGAGAGAAAAAAATCTGAAACATAAAAAAAAGCTTCTTAAAGGAATTCAACAATCATTAATACATTGCTTTTTGCATTTTATTAGTTTAGGATCAGAAATTGAAAGCTCAAGTCAGGATTGGATAATCATAACCAAGAAACAATGGAAATAATCATCACTTAAAAAAAAGAAAATATTAACTTCAAAACAATGTGAACAAAATTAGTTATGCAAAACTAAAATCATGAATTTGATTGGCTGAGAAGTCCAAAGATAAAATAGAATATGTTCCTTTTTGGAAATATAAAGAGAGATAAATACACTTACTTCAATTTTGAGAGTGAGTGGATTTACAATGCAAATGTTATTTTGAGAGCCACACCACAATTTTCCAGCTACAGCATGCATTTTGCTAATAGGGCAAGTGGCAGATCCTAGGGTCCTTGTGTAGGGGTGTTCTGTGTCCCATTGACCATCTGAAGAAAAAAAAAGAAAAAATTGTTAAAATATTAAAAATCATAACATATATTTACAATATAAAAGTTATTCAAAAAGAAAATATGATAGTGAACATTAATTTTTATTTTTATTTTCTATGGTTGTTGCAATACTAAGATAAAATCACTTATCAGAAATTTTAAAATGTTCAAAGAGTCTCAACAGGTTAAGTTAGAACAAAAAAAAAATAAAGACAGGTTATTGTTCTTCCATCTTTCCTCATATTTTCATCTTTTTTGCTTTTAGCTAATGAGATTTCACAGAGATTTGTTTGAAAAACCAACAAGAAGAGAAAATGAAAACAGGCATACCAAGATCTCTTCGATAAACTATGAGGTCTCCATTTGCCAATGAGACAAACACTTTGTTGTCAAGATAACTGCAAGGAAAAAATGTGTTAATTGAAAATCATAAACGAGGCAATAGAATACAAGAAACAATTGCACTAAACACATTCATTGTTTTTAAAAAAATGAAAGCCATATGGAACCCTGCCTTTCTAAACAATTATTACTGAAATTGTTAATTTTTGACTAGTTTTCTTCCTTTTATCATTACTCTTTTTATCACATTTTCAATCAAATCACCTTCCATCATTAAATTTCGTATATAAGTAGAGCAGAAATTCAATAATAATTTCAAGTAAATTTAAGTCAAAAATCATTACTTTATGTTACTTTAATGATCATAACGTTTTTGTTGCCATTAAATGTCTTGCTTTTATTTCTTATCAAAATCCTCAAATTGATTCTCCCCTCCACAACATTATTAACCTTTATCACTCTGTATACAACATCATAGTTGTGTTGTCATATCCTGCTATGGCAATAGAAAACAACTTTGACTGAAATCAACAATAAGGATACTGCAATTGAGAGGCCTTGAAAAAGAATGCAGTAGAGAGGGAAGTAATATTTATAATGCAGTGTACTAAAGGTTAATGTGATTACTATAAACAGCTACCAGTCTATATCTCTGAGATGAGGTATTATAATTTACATTATTTGGACTGTTATCTTCATTGCCATAACTAAGACATCTGGAAGAGGCATGGCATATGGAACTAGAATAATATACCCCGGTGGAAAAAATAAAGGGTTTGGTTCAAAATTCCAATCACCTGAAGAAGGCCAGAGTATACAATGGCAAAAATGTTGTGAATATGGTGATGAAGATGAGAATAACAGTGCGAATAATGTAAATAAACAGATACATATCCAATTTTGTCTCCCATCTAATCATAGTATTTCTCAAGTAGTTCTTTGTATCAATAGATTAGGATTTGTAATTATCAAAAGAGAAGTTAATTTATGATAATTTTCAAGTTATAAAAATCACAGCAATGAATTTCTTTATAAATTTATTACCAATGATAAAACTTGATTTTTAGTCCAATTAATCATTCATAATTATTGGAATAAAAAGTTTGATGAGCAATTTGTAATCTTCTTTATTTGGTTCCTGACCTTCTATAGTTAATTTTTTTTTACAATGATTTTTTCCCTTCCCCTGTACAAGGCCCAATAGCCATTCAAAGTAGAGCACTACAGAGTTAAAGGCATAGTTTATGGGGATATGTGGGGAAGATAATGGTTGACCCTAGACTTAAACATTCTATTGGTATTCAATCCACTGCAAATCTGGTTTATAGCCTTCACTTTATTCGAATCTGTAATACAAAATCAAGAGAAAGAGATGTTAAACAAAGTTTGAAGTTTCTTCTCTAATTGAGTTAAACAAGGAACAAATCCTATTTATCACATTTCATCTATTTTTAATCAGCCCCACCAAACAGTGGGTAAAAAGGATCTGAGTGAGAATGTTGCTCACTAAAGTAACAGTTCCACTCAAATCATTTTATATATGCTTCTTTCAGTCAAAGCTACATATTCATGACATATTTGTCATAACTAGATGTATGGCTTTTATTCAATTATATATATATATATATATATATATATATATATATATATATATATATATATTATATCACTAGTTTATCCTTTGAACACATCATCCATAACTTATTTTAAATAAGCTGAATATATTGATTTCCAGTTAAAAGTCAAAGAAACTCATTTACCCCTGAATGAAAAATATGTTAAAATTTAACAAATGACATAAAAATCAAATTAAACCTGCAATAAATAAGGGAGAAAAACAATTTAAATTCTGTATAATGCAATAATAAAAATTACTTACATAATACAATATACAGGGGCTCCATGTTGGATCTTTAATTTGTTTTTTGTGGTTTTGATGTTATCTGTACACAGGAAGATGTGAATACTAGAAATTGAAGAAAAAAAAAGTAAGAAAAGCATTGAGACAATATAATCAAGATGAGAAAGATTTTCAAATTAATACACTTTGTAATTAATTAGTGCCAAACTAGATAATTGCATAAAAATTATATTTTTCAATTCAGGCAAAAGTTTTAATTACCTGCCAAAATTTGTAATTACCTACCAACAGAAACTTATACATAAGTTTTTTTTTTCTCTCTCTCTCTCTGTATGAGGATATGCTGAAAAGTTCTCATTCCACCTTCCAAGATCTAAGCTAATGAGTAATCATCAAGTTTTTTTTTGGGGGGGGGACTACTTGGCCAGGCCATGAGCTTGTCAGTACATTCTAATATCTACTTACACTATTTATGAGAATGAGTTTGATTCTCACTGAGCAAAATTTAAATGAGATCTGGATCATATTTTAGGGATGACTTTATTGTCTATAAGAAGGAATACTATGTCAAAGATTCAATTATATTTTTAAAATACGCAGTTTAAATTGAAAAATAACATCACTTTTTATGTGAGCACCTCAAAAATGCATGTGTAACACTGGTAGGAAATGAAAAAAACCAAGGAATGTGCTAATCTCACCAAATTAAGAGATATAATTAATTGAGGCATTATGTAAGCCTCAGTGTCAAAGAAAGTTGTTTTGTAAATCTTACAAAAATCTTTCTTAGTAGCAGACCTAGCAATTGATACAATATAACCTTTCCACTTCATGTCAGTGGAAAACATTAGCCCGAGAAGGTGCAATGAGTCAATATCCTGGAGGTTAGCATCAGTCTTGATGATGGAAGGCAAAAAAAGTTCTCTAAGATGTTTAAAAGGGGAACAGTTTTATTTTGGAGATGTTAAAATTAGCAAGCCATTTCTTGCCCTAGTTAACAACAAATCATTTTTTAGATCAACTGTCAATTTGATCTTATTGAACTGATCAGACTTACTCTTAAAACAGAAGTAAATAGTTGGGAACTGTGTATCGATGCTGATGACAACTATTTCACATTATAATATATGTTTGTTGGACATCATTCAGAAAAGCTAGTACACTTGTTAAGTGAGTCAATATCCCTAATGTCCAAACATCACCGCCATTATCACTCTCATTTTGCCAAAAATCCAATATGGTCCTTTGCTTGACCAGGGAATCAAGATACAAAGCATCAAGTTTCCCCTATAAATGCATTCATTATGTACTCTACTCTGTTCATTTTCTTTGGTATTCAGAGACTAAAAATATGAAATATTCTTTGAAAAACATTTTCTCTTCCCAACTTACCATCCATCCTCTGTTCCGAGCCACATAGTGCTCTTCATAGTGTCATGCATCCATCGTGTTGTTGTCGTGTTCGGATCACTGTTATCTTGATTTGCTTCTGTTGGACTACTTGGTGCTTCTTCATCTGAAAAAGAATGAAAAAGTAATTTTAGCAAGTTTTTCACCTTTTTTTCATTAACATGCCCCAAAACAGCCTCCTTCTTATAGAATATCCCTAACACATTTGAGAGAATGACTAAAACTGGATTTATTCATTAAGATTTCAAACAACCGTGACTTTTCCGAAATATATTTCCTACCTTCCACACACAGTTCTTCTGATTCCATTTGGTGAGGCATTGTATATGCATCATCATCACTCGATTCGGAATCGCTAGGTGATCCTGCATCTTCCCCGATGCTCTCCATACACGTATCTACTGATTCTATGTTGATACGCGGTCTTTCACTACAACTTGTACCCGTGCTGCCTGCACCCCCAGTTTCCGTTGTGCGGTTCCGCCGGTTCTTCACGCTACTCCTTCTAACAGAAATAAAATCATTAATGGTCTTCAAGTACTATGTCCAAGAAAAGAGCAAATGATAAAAAAAAAAAAAAAAACTATTGAGACTGAAATATATTTATTCAAAAAAGCTTGCATTAAATTTGAACAAAGCTTAAAACATGCAAAATGGGTCTTAAGATAAAATGTTTCATATATAACCCAAAACATCACATAAGAGAAATGCTTCATATGATAATCAAAGTCTTTATATATAATTTCAGAACACTTGAAGCTTATAAGACAGTCACCCATATTCAATTATTGAGGAGTTTTTGGATAATTTTTTTAAAAAAGTTATGCAATTCTTAAAACAAATACTTAAAACTTAAGGATTTCTAACTTTATATTTTTGGTTTGTTTTACAGCATATCAACACCTCAATGGGTTATTTAATGTTGACTAGATTTTTATTGCCAGTAATCTTTTTTTTCAAAAAAAATATTGCTGGTAAAAAATTTTTTTTTTTTCAAAAATACTGGTATTTTTTTTTTTTTTTTAACCAAAATGTATTGCTGGTATTAAAATCCATTTTTATACTTTCATAATGTTTTGACACTTTTTTGGGGGGTTAACTATTTACCTGTAGATGGGACCTTGACAGATGCTATCAGCCCGAGTCAGAGTGGACCTGGAAACACCAAAACCTTCTGATCTAAAGGCCTTGTTGTAAGATGCAGTTTATTGCCATACCCAGGACGTCATATTTTGGGCTTAAATTATCCATTTGCAGGAATCAATTTCATAAATTCTTTTTAAATTTGAAAACTAACACATTTTTTTGAGAAAATTTTTCTAAAATCTACAAATTATGAAACAGAAAGATACACATGTGATGTCCTTTATTCCAAACTCACTTTAATTTAATTTCATAGTTGAAGATAAAAAAACAAAGACAAATAAACTTGTAAGTATTCGCTGATATAAGATTTCCTTTAGCACACAGTGAAAAAGAACAATGTTACATGGACTGAAAAAGGGTTCAGTGTGAAATTCCAAGACACCTGAAGAAGAGGCCTGTCCAACAATAGCCAAAATATAGTGACTAGATTAGTCACTATATAATTAGTCTGAGTAAATCAGTGGATAATAATGTTACAGAAGCATAAATTCTTATATTATTTTGAATTACATTTTTGTTGTTGTTGCCTGATATAAATAAAGATAAATTCTGATCCCAGAAACACAGAAAGAAATGAATAGTTTATGTTGAAAAATCAAAGGGTCTAAATCTTTATCAAAGTTGTTTATATATTAAATTCTTATTCCTTTCTATATCTTCATTATTTTCTATCTTGCAGTAACAATTTATAATAATAATAATATACAAAAAAATGATAATTTCTTACTTACCGTCTGCTGCCAGGAAAAGCAGGTACCGCACAAATACACAAAATCCGAGCATTACAACCAGGTACAGGGGTGTTTAATGTCACAATTGGTTCAGGTTGCAAGCTCAAAAGGCACATGTGACCTACGTATCCATCACTATTACATACCCACACTTCTCGATAACCATTTGCATTAACGCCATCAATTGGAGCGGCACAAGAAAACTAAAAAAGTAAGAAAGGAATTAGCATGAATTCTTATTATTTTTATTAATAAAAAAACCTTAAACAGAAATCGACAGTTCCCAAAGTTATATAATGGTATATTAATGAGGGGGAAAATACAAACTGTCTATTGTGCATAATATCAGGTTTTATTTCTGGTCATCCATACTTGAGAAGTGTTGATACTATTTGCAATTTCTCAAGTTGATTTACTAACTTTTGATAGGGCAACTATTGCTACTTTAACAGATTGCAATGTGTGTTTATAACTTTTCATAACATATCACTAATTAATTATACTTTTAGTTTCTTTTATATATTTTAAAATAATTCTAGAACTTTCTAGAATTTTTAAGAATATTCTGGAATAAAATTATGGAAATAAAATTACAAGATGTTTTAAAATAATGACACATTTTTTAATGGGTCACTTTTTTGCACAGTAGAAAACTTGTTAAATGCTAAAAAATGGTCATTTTTTTTTTTTTGGTTGATTTTGAACTATAATTATGTTTTATTTTTCCACAACTCTGATTTCCTTAACTTAAATGTAAACTTGTAACTGTTCTTTTAATGTTGTATCTGTCTTTAAAGTTCTGCCCTTCACCAGCAGGTTGTCTTTGTAAAATGATGGCCTGAGTGTACTACGTTTTGGCTGTTGTACACTCCGGCCTTCTTCAGGTGATGTACAATAATCCAAACAATGTAAATAGTTACAATACATCAGCTCAGAAATATAGACAGATGTTGGATTATCTCTAATCTTGACATCACCTTTTAATAATAGTAGTAGTAATCGAGTACTGGATTAAAGCATAAATATAAAGACTTCAAGCAATTATGATTTCAGTCCTTTGCTCCATTAACTGAAATATCGCATGCTCTGGGCCCATAACCTTTTTTAAACTTTGAGAAATGGTGAAAGAAATGTAATATTATCAGTTGTAGAACTCATGCAAATAACAGTACAGCAAATTAACACAAGTAGCATCTGATCTGTACTTAGAAATATACTATTACTTATGTTTATATTGAAATAAAAGAAATAATTATAAGTTGCAGAGGAAGCATTTGTGACCTAGGAATATAAAGGTGAATGTATATTAAACAAAAAAAAATAATAAAATAAACTCGATATTCACCTGCATGCCAGCTCTTGTCTTCGTAATCTGCAGTGGTTGTAGGAATTCAGGTGCCCGTTTGTCTGACAATAAAGCTAGAAAATCAAAGAAGAAAAAAATAATAACAATGTTTGTAAACTTTTTTATTTACCTCTGACGCATTAAAAAGAAACAAAACCTAAAGATTTTGATAGTTTTTTTTTTACTCTCCCTCATATGAAAATACTTCATTAAAAAAATTTCTTTTTTTTCAAGTTCAAAGTATTTTCCTGTGAGCCAAACAAAAAAAAACAAAACATTTAAGATCATGTCAAAAAAATGAGTATAATAAAAAAAAAGTAATAAGAAGCTGGAAAAAAAAAAAACAAATTTAAAACAATTTTTCTTTTACTTTTATTAAAAGGTGTCACATATTTTTTTATTAATCTTTTTTGTGAGAAAAGATTTACCCTGGGGAATTTTTATTTAAAGACTACTTTCAATCTGATAAAAAAAAAAGCTTTCTAGACAATATATTTTGTGAATAGAACCTCAAGTAAAAAATGTTATTCTTTCTACTCATAAAAGAGTGTAGACTTTGTTTCTATGAAAACAAAGACAAAGAAAAGAGATTTTACCTGATGAAAATTTTATATTGAAGATCCTTGCATTTTTAAACAAGTCATTCCACCAATTATTTCCAAAGAACAATTTTAGAGTAGAAATTGATCAAAATTTACTTTTAAATGACATTGACATAAAATCTCAACTCTTACTCATTCTTTTAGAGTTTATTTCAATTGTAAGGAGATTAATTCCATTATTTAAAAAAAAAAAATACATCTACAGTTTTCTGGTGGAATAAACTGTTTTTGTTTCAATCACAAATCCATTGCTTCATTTGACACCTTTTTTAGTTATGTTATGAAAAACAAGATTTGCATACAACAATATCGAAGTTTTTTACATGAACAAAACACATTTTGTAAAACTTTCATAAATACACATAAAGAGAGAATTTATGGACCAGAAATGTACATGTGACCAAAATTAGTCGGCAAAAATCTTTGCTTTTAAAACTTTAACAAAGAACAAAGAGAAAGAAAAACGAATAACTTACAAAGTTTGTGTTTTGCATCCAAAAAGGAAGTTTCCCATGCTAATCTTTTCTCTGCTGATATAAAGACGACAATCAAATTGAAAACTTTTTCTCTGAAAATAAACAGATAATGAAAACATCAATTAATATTAACAAAGATAATAAGTAAAAGGTCAAGGGCTATCCCCAAAAGTCTCAAACATGTGCAAAGAAATTAAAAATGAAATTATGAATTAATTCATTGAACATTTTATCTTTTTCCTTGCTTGACAATTTCAGATTATTAAGAAATAGGGATTCTTTCACATAGAAATGTTCTTATATACATATATAATTGTGTATTTGGCCAGCAATCCCACTTTTATATATTTACTCTACCAGAAATTTGGAAATGGCATGTTGTACTGCTTAGTGTTTGTGCTAGAATCTCTGATACAAACATTTTAAAGTTTTTGGGTGTCAATCTGAGTACAGTGATGAGGATTCAGAAAGAGTTGGATGAGTCTAATGATGATTACAAAGATACGACAGCTTTGAAACTCACTCTCATCGTTCTGATAAGAAATGAATTCCTGAATTGGTTGGTGAGGGCTTCAGACTTAACATCAAAGCCTACATCAAGTGACTTGAGGAGGTAGAGCTGTCCTGGGTCAAGACAGTGGCTGCTGGAAGACATTATCCCTAGAGAGACCCACTCATGGCTGTCAGACAATTTCTGCAACGACATTACACCTTACGTCTGGCCACCTAACTCTTTTGATTATTATGTGTGGAGTGCAGTTGAATGAGAGACCAACAAAACTCCTTGTAACACCAAAGGTGAACTGAAGGCAAGGATTATAGCAGCATTCAGCAACTTAAACAAGGAGACCATCCAGAAGAGTTGTAGGATATTCTGAAGTCATCTGGAGGCTGTGGCCAAAGCCAATGGCAATTTTATTGAATAAATTTACTCCTTAGTATTTCAAGATATTTTTGTGCAATTTTGGTAAACATATCTGTTAAAATGAGATGTCAGTGTTATTTTCATTTTTGAGTAATTTAGATGACAATTTATCCATCACACCCCGTATTTGAGTAAAACTTGATGTCACACTACAACCATTGATTTTATAATTATTATATTTTGTTGCTTTACATATAATATTGGAACACACTGTACATACACTGTGTGTGTATATGCATATAAAGTATGAAACAGATTATAACTGCAGAAAACAAGAATAGTAATTATGAAGAGAGTTAAATACTGTGTCGTTATCTGTAATTCCAATTTATTGGCATCAGCAGAATGAATGCGATTCTGGTGCTCTGTAAGTTGTTTATTGAGGTTCATACCAATATCTCTGACCACTTCTTCAAGATTCTGAAATGGAAGGATGTAACAAGGTAAAATAATTAAAGTTTATTTGGAAAAGACAACTAAAAGAAAAACTTAGTTCTTAACTAGAAAGAAAATCACACAAATTACTAAATAAGTCAATGAAATAAAAAGTAATTTATAAAATATGAAATAAAAATTAGACTAAAGAAATGATAATTTGATAGGACAGTGAATTTTTTCTAGAAGTTTCCAAACATTCCACTATAATTTCTTTGAATTTAATCCCCACCTAAAACTTTTATGCCTGATGTAATTTTGTTGAACTCAAATCTGACTCAAGTAATTCCAGTAAATGAAAATGTTACATTGGTACAAAATTTCATTAAAACATTAAAAAAAAAAGAGAAAAAGTTTCCATCTTTCAAATATTGTTCAGACCGTTGAATCTGTTTACATTGTAATGTTAACCCTAGAACACTAACCATAGGTATATAGTACCCAGTGCAAATTTTCCTATTTTTAATTAAAATTTTCAGTACCTGATTTTCTTACCTAAATAATATGTTTTTCAGTTCCTGTTAATGCTAACTCAAAGTTTGAAGTGCCTGCATGTAGAATATTTCAAATAAAGATTTATATTTAATATTTTTTTTGATATTTTCAAAATCGGGTATGATATACCTATGGTTAGTAGTGGTGTAACTTTAATTGATGGTTAGTATTCTAGGGTTAAGATTTCAATGAATCCATTATTCAGTTCTTGTCAGATATTCCATGAGCAAAAATATTAGAATTCACCTAATATAGAGTTTAAGAGTTACTCAAGGTAGGGAGTTACTGTTAAAATGCTAATGATGTATGAGGTGTAAATGAAAGAGGAGATGGTAGGAGGTGAGGATAAGGAGGATAGATAATGATTGAACATTGACTTGAAAAAGTTAAGATTAATTTTTGTATGAGGAAAGTGACAGCAGAAAAAAAGGTGTAACTCCAAATCTGCAGGTAATGTACAGAGAAATTTTCAGAGCTCCTATAATGTGAATTGGAAATAGCTGGCTTGACACCCAAAACCTGGACAGAGAAGAGTGCACATGACCTTCTTTGGGATGAGGTTGTAGCAGAAATGAAAGTCAGGATGAACTACCAGCTACCTTTGATGGGGCTGCTGTTTCCTGTCAATCAAAAAGACAATGTTTGGTGTGCTGCGTATGCAGGAGAAGATGTCTGGCATAAACCTGAGAACATTTACTTGCAAAAAATATTGTCACGGTGAGCTAATCAATTCCTAGAATTTGTTTATGCAAATGATTTGTGTCATGCATAGTGAGATTACCGATGTTTCTAGGTTTAATATAAACAGACAGATTTCTGTTTCATCAGTTATTGAGTCACTAGTATTGTTATCGTATAGAATGTCGTGATTTTGATTTCTTGTTTGTTCATCATTGCTTTCTGTGTCACGATTATGTTTGACCTTTGTTTGTGCCGTTCATATGTTAAATTCTTTGTTATCTGTGATGTGGATCTGCCTCCGTTTTATTTGCTTTGTTTTGTTGGTCTTTGGTGCTGCTGTTCATTCCATCTCTCCTCATTTATATTCCGGCAGCAGAAAAACAACCCTTCAAAGGTCTAAGTAAACAATGAAGACAATCACTGTGCAAAGAAGTAATTGAAGGAAGTGGTATATGTATTTCTGTCTGAATTTAAAGAACGTGGAGTTATCATTATTTACATGCAGACGTGGCATTATTATCACAATGTCATGTTCCTCAGTCTTCAACAGCTACTTATTGATCTGGGTAACCTTCAGGAAATTTGGAACTAAACCCTTTATTTAACCAATAGGGGGGTAGATTGCTCTCATTCTATTTTCCAGGTCTAGAGATATCGTCTAGTTCATATTTAGCACTGCTCAGTTATTACTTGTCACATATCCACTGAATCCAAGTACACACTGCCCAGTCCAGGGACTGAACTCATAATTGCTATGTCACCAAATTCACAAACTAATGCTTTAATCCACTAGGCCATGGTCCAGTATTTCAGTTTGAAATTACCTGAAGGTTATCAGAATTGACAAGTGTCTGATGAAGGCCAGAAGGCACAATGGCTGAAACATTGTAATAACAACAAAGAATATAGTCTGCATGTAAATAAGTGGCCTATATATATATATATATATATATATATATATATATATATATATATGTTTTTTGTGTATTTAGGAAGAAAATTTTCTTTTTAGGCATGCCTCATTAAATAAATTACAAACATTATGCCTGCTTATTTTTACCATAATCCATTCATATTCATGGATATTTTTCCATCTATTGCAATCAAATGCACTGTAACAGTGGGAAATAAAAGTGATTTTCACTGTTACAGTGCATTTCTTGTATCATTTGATTGTAATACATGGAAAAATATCCATGAATATGAAAAGATTATGCTAAAAATAAACAGATATAAGGTTTGCAATTTATTTAATCAAACACACACACAAAAGAAAAGAGACAATTGCTGTGTTTCTTTGTTAACAAGATGAATGAGAAATGAATGAAATTAAGTGAAATTCTTAAAGGTTTAAAATAAAAATGTAGAACCAAATTTTCAATACCTGTTTTGAACAATTCAACCTGGTTGTGATTTCTGAGATCTGGTTCAAAAGATTAAGGTCATCTTCAATTTGTTCCTTTTCAATTGTGGACCGTCGAGACAGGGAGCTTGGATCTGTTCAAAGGTAAAATAAAAGATAATAAAAAGGCATAAATGAAAAGAAATAAATGACAATTCACATGAGATACACTAATTTCTTCACTTTATTTACTAAGTTTTGCTTACAAAACTACACATTACTTAGAAGACTTCTTAAGCTTGTAATCGGTCAGCCATCTAAGAATTGGTTAACTTCACTGATCACATGACGCTTTTCATGTGATTTCATCATTGTGACACCAACACTGACCAAATAAAGTTCTGGCCAAAAAAATCCGCTTTGTTTATGCAAATACACACTAGATTAATGGAGTATTTATAATAATATAATTAATCAGTATTGGGGGACTAAATTTTAGACTCAGTCATTTAGACCCAATTAAATACAGAAAATTACAGTAATTTTTCTAATTTCATAATCAATTTCTATTATTGAACTTAATTATGTCAATTTTGTATTTGTCAATAATTGTAACATTAAAGAGAATAGAAAAAAATAAATTGCAGAAATCAACAATAAAAAACAGAGGAACAATTTCATCAAATTGATTACATCACACACAACCCCATATATATATATATATATATATATATATATATATATAACACACAAGCTTAAAAGCTGCTCTGTTATATAATATCAGTCCCACAGTTAAAGAATGCCACCCTAATGACCTTCCTTTGATGCAAGACTGTGATGGCTAGTGTGATAGACACATGAATGTCTGAGCTAGCTAAACCAAATGGCACATTAAAGTGGGTTTTAGATGGGTGGGATATTCCATTTTTTGAAATTATGGGAACATTTGATATCAGTTGATGTAAATGTTTACTGAGAATATCTGATTGAAGACATTAACACCCATTGTGGCCAATGCAGACCAAGTGTCCTTAATGATTGAGATTGTTTGTGGTATCCGACAAGAGACATTGACTCAAATCATATTCAATGTAAGCAGTACCAGGACAGTTCAACATTCTTTAGCTTCCACAGGATATTGAAAGCAGAAAACTCATCAATCTTCTTGTTAAAATCACATCACCTGATACATAGCACATCACCTGGACTTGTGACATCAGATTCAGCACGACTGAACACCAGTTGTCAAAAAGGTACTTTGCAAGCTGGTGGTTGTTCTATCGTGTAAGATTAGAGTTATCCAACATAATACTTGGCAATTATCTATGCCTTTTGACACATCAACATGCATGTGCATATGTGCATGTTAAAAAAAGGAAATTTAATGCAGTTTATCCATTCTGAACCCAATGAATCTCTTAAAATTCACTCAGTTTATGAGGGTGGATTTAAAAGTCCATGGCTTGGCTTGTAGTTTTTAAATAATTTCAGTCTAAAATTTTCATTGTATAATGTGTGGGTTATCCCACTTGACTTTGCTAAAAACTGTCTTTAGCCTATAAAAAAGGCATGCATTTATCTTCCTACTATCTTTTCTTTTTTACAGCTTCTGTCTATAAGATGTAGTCACATGTGGGAAATAAGTGCCAGTGTTCATTTTCATGGTTATCTCTCTTGACTTTTCTGCTTCTTCACACACGTCTACACAAATTTCACAGACACACAAAAACACATATTCTCTAGTTTTTAAACGTTTTCTTTTTTTATTGCAATTCCTTTTGTTAATACATGAAATTTATTGTTGTTTGCTTTATATTATTTTGTATTACTTGTTTTTACTTTCACTCATACTGAGTTGGCCAACATTTTTTATGGGATAAATCTTCCAGGAACCTGTAAATATATACTATCCAAGTGTTGATTCCCACAACATAATGGTAACTAAATATTTACCCAATCATAGAAACATCCCACCACAAATGTTCAATCTATGTGATTACTGGTCACCACTGAATTAAGTGCATTGACAAATGTTGAAAAATGTTTTTTTTAAGATAACCACCGTTTTCTCTCATTAGACTTCAGTTAAGAATCTTTATTTTAAAATTATTAATTAATTAAAATTTAATGTCATTCTTTTCCTAATCCTGATTTTTTTTTTCTTTTTTATTTTGACTTTTTCTTTTCTTTATATTTTAAAGACAGAATTCTTGATTTTTTCAGGCTTATTTTAATAAATTTGTGTTGAAAGAAATAATAAGCCAAGTTATTTTTCATCTTTGAATGAAGAATTGGACAAAAGTAGGCAACACAAATATTGATATATTTAGAAAGTTTTAGATTAATCAATTTTATAAGACTTTAATTCATATTCAACACCTTGGAAATTTGTCTTTCATGGACATTGCTTTAAATACTTTGGCCACTAAAGATTTGATGATTAAGCAGAACAAACTTGTCTGTCATTCTAATTATCTTCAATTTTTGTCTTGCTGCCTTATAACAAAGTTTCTTTTGTGTTTTTGTTTTTACTTTTAATTAAGCACAGAGTTTCTTGTGACCAAAGGGATTAAAATGCCATTGAAAGATGGATTTCTGATGCATGGATTACATGATTGGACATATTTAATATGAGACAATAACATAAGAAAAAGACAAATTATGTAATGCAACTCAAATATAGATAAAAAGAAAGAAACTGTCTTGAATTATTGTAAAAAAAAAAAAAACCTAGCAGAATCATATCGTGTTATTTTTGCAATGAGAAGATTTAAAGTTTATTTTCGGAGAGCACTCAATGACAAATACCTCTTGTTATTAATTGTCAAACATTTTAAGTATGGGTAATATCAGATTTTGTTGATTCTCCTTCACTCCCCAAATAATTGAGGTCCTCACCTTTCAAAACTTCAATATCATCAAGACCCACTCGCAAACAAATTTTATGCTTCATGTTCTCTGCAAAATCCTGTCCACTTGGTGATTGCCTAAATTAAAAAGAAAAAAAAAAAAATTTAATAAAATTCTCAAGAAAAATTATCTATATTTTATTTACTTATTAAAATATATTAGATTTATATAAAATGTATACAATGATTGTTTCTAAATAAAATCTAAAATTTAAAAAATTAAAAGTGTGGCCACTTTTTGCTTTTGGAAGGGACATAATATTAACAAAGAACTATTGCATATATGTGCACAAGACATGATCATCAGCAATATATGGTAAGAATGATAACTAATTTCTTATAATAAAGGTGCATGTCAGGATAGGAGGTATATATAAGCAGGCATGATGGCCTCTAGAACTTCATTTTGATCTGTTAAATGCCATAGTTTTGGATGAAGATTTAGACTAGTGGCAAGATCTCATCAATTTATAGTTGAACTAGCAAGATGTAGCCATACTTTCTATGCTAACAGTTTCTTATCCTGCACTTCTCACTTCTTCCCAGCTTCATGCTTTCCAAACTACTTTAATCTGCAAAATTTTAAATGCAATGTCAATCACTATCTATTGTCTTCCTAACTGCTCTTTTCTTTCTACTCATTACTAAAGTTTTTGTTCCTAAATTCCTCTCCTGTAACTCCTTGCTTGCTAGTGGTTGTACTGTCTTGGACTGTTACTTATATATATATATATATATATGATGGAATGCACAGGGAGGGGGTAATGGATAGCAGGTTGGACTGAGATATTGGAGAGTAAAGTTTGAATTCCAGTTAAGTTCATTACATTCACTTACATGCAAATGCCCTTGATGGTATGAATCCATCTGTCTCCCACCCCAGTTATGGGTAAATAGCAAGGCAGACTGGTTCCCATAGCTTTGGTTGGCAACCAGTCTAGGAGAATGACAAGTCTGAATTTAAAACATGAGGCAGGTCATTTAGAGACCTTGTGGCATGATATATGCACGAGTTCTCAGTATTTGGTTCTTCCAAAAAATGTGGTTGGTTCTGCACAAGCCCTCACCACCAGAATCAAATAATAGCTTTTCAGTGTTACCCAATGTTCAATTTAAAATAGTTCACTCAAAGAAACAAAATAAATTAATAAATAAATTACTTTTTTTTATGTCCTGATGAACTGATTTCAAGAGATTTGTGAAATATCTGTTGAGACAAGGGAAACTCTAGATAAATTGATAGATGAACAGGTAGTTCAATAATTTAAAATTCCTAAAACTTCTGGGCCACATCTTATTCACACCTTTTTTAATGCCTAATGTACTGATATTCACTAAGTTTATAGGTATAATGTGCGTGTGTGTATGTATATATATATATATATATATATATATATTGTGGATAGCTTAAGGACTGCATACAATTTTATAAAATTTACAAAATGCATGTCAAAAACATTGATTTTTCAGTACTTAATTGTAATTATTCTTAAATCCAAAGTATTTTTACAAGTTTTCCTTTTGTGTATATAGAAAACATATTAAAGATCTAAGTTTACCGAAAGCAAGAACATTCTCAGCAATATTTATATATTAAATAGATAGAATTATTAGCAAAAGTCCAATGTGTGTGATTTGAACTTTTCTGGAATAAGTAGTGGTTTGATGATATAAAATTTCAGCTTGATTAAAAAATGTTTTTTATTCTTTCTAGTAATAACATTTTTAGGAAATTTGATAAAGTTCTTCAGTCTTATTGTGCAAACTTCTTTTTGTTAATCTGATCTCAGCTCTAACACTGAGTTACTTGCGATGAAAGTTTTAAGAAACATGCCTTAGTATTATATTTAACAGGTATTAAATTAGAATTAATTTTAAACAATTGTTGAGGCCAAGTAAAAACCTACATTACCAACAATATTTGTCTCAACCCACTCTCCTATATGGAAAGTATTTTTATCCAAAAAATTATGGAACTAGATTTGTTATTCTATAAATAGTCCACTACTCTTACCATAGTGCTAAGTCTTCATCTGACAAGAAAATATAAAGAAAATAAACATACAAAATGATAGAAACTTTTCTGGTGACAGGTCCACTCTTCCTTTTAGTACTGCTGATAATGATGAGGTCACTAAACATCCATATACAACATTGGTCTTTTTTGCTCTACAAATAAAAAGTTAAAAACATGACCATTATATATTCTCAAATGTATATACATCAATATGCAAATATATTTACTTTTCTATATACACTTAATATATATTCATATACACTTATAGGTAAGTTAAATGCAAATTTTGACAGAAGTTAACAGAGACATGTATATGTTCATAGGTTGATTTATGCAACACTGATTATTTTAAAAAAACTATGGATTTACACATAACCATCTGTAGAATTTATAGAAAATGGTCATAAAAAGAAAAACTATTAGAATAGACAGTGTAATAGTCAGACAAATTATTACTGTGTGGTCAAACAAATTATTACCAAACAAAATTATTAGATTCTGTTTAAGTTGCACTGGACCATCAAAAATGGTAATTGTCTGATAAAAATGGTAAAAACAGAATCCCTATAAAATTTTTATTTTACTATTTTAAAAATGTTAGCCTTGAAGATATATTTAATAGTTTAGGTTGCTTTTTTTAATACATGTTCTTTTGAGAGAAGTTTATTCTTATGAAGGCCAGATGATTGTATAAAAAATTGTTACAATTTTTCAGTTCAGTGGTTGAAAACCACCAAATTTGTGATGGTCCATTTCCAGTTTATGGAAAATTATTCTTTTTGTTTATACTGACCAATGAGAGACATGTTCTCAAGCTCTAGTAATATCCCAAATGGTGGGGCCCTATGTGAGCCTAATTTTCTAAATAAATAGAGCTCAGATCAGTAGATGGAAGGAGAAAGAATTTTTAACAGTAAGGGGACAAGGCAGGTCATTAATATCAAAGAAGGCATTTGACATCAATAAGATAACATCAAAGGCGGCACGAATTACCAATTTTTCTTTTTTGTCAAATAATGAATCGTTCAAGTCTAACATTAGTCCAAAGTGAAACATCTTAAGGAGGTTATTAAATAGTAATAATAATAACAATAATATAAAATAAAACTCAGTTTTATAAATTGAATGTAAAAATGTAATATATTTTACAAATATATGTCTTCTATCTTAAAATAAAGTTATATTTTGGGTTTGTAGAATAATTGAGAATTAGAAAATGTATTACTCACCATGATTTGCACCATATCATGTCGTAAATATGTTCGATCTGGTGCAGCCAACTATAAATTAAAAGAACAAAAACAACCATAAAAAGAATTCAGTTCACATTACATGATTATAAAAAATGCTGGTTAGTTTTTGATCTGATAAAAAGTATGAAATCCTGACAGACCAGAATTTTTATCTGGATTATATACTAATCCTTTCCAACCTAATAACTGTATCTGCCAATTGAAAAACATTTTTTCTTTTTTCAAAAAACATTAACAACTTCTCATCCCAACTAATACTGATCCTCAAACTTTCAGCACTTCCATCCAAAATTATCAGGACACATGCATCTTACATGATAGACTGGTAAATATGTTACATTTTTAAAGGAAGAAAAAATTCATAGCATTATCAGCAAAGACCATCCATCTTTGAATATTTTGAATTTTTTATCTTTAGATGGAAATAAAAAAAAGTGACTCTTATTTTAGAACCCTAAATCTTGCCTATGACATAGATAGGTGCAGGTGTGGACTTGCTTAGTCACTTTACTTTAACAGCTGCTATCACCAAATATAGTTGCCCTCATTTAAAATGCACAGTGAACACAATTAGCATGATCTTCCTTCTGTCTCTTCCTTGAATTGAAAAAGCAGGAAAACCCCAGTACACTCGTCTGCTTCACACAATATTTATTTTAATCATTCTACCTTATTTCTAAGGGGTATACTGAGAGCTGCAAAGACTATCATAAAGTTTAAACTTCTACCTAACACATTCACTATAATATTATAAATCATGTTTATTGGTATGCTTTTTGTCTGTAATGCCTGTAACTCTTAATGTTGTCAGTGCAAGCGAGAGAGTTAGTTACTTCTTTTAAAATAACTTTCTTATAACAAGGGATCATCTCTGTAAATTCTAAAAAAGACAAAAAAATAAAAAATGATTGAGAAATTTCGGTTTATAGATGCAAAAGGTTAACTAATTGAAAAAGGTTCACTTAAAGTAAGTTTCTATCAATAGTAATGATCAAAAAATGCATCACTATTTTTGACAACAGAGATAAACTAGTATTAATATCAGATCCTACTGTTCATAAAGGTGGGGGTGGTTTTATTTTATTTTTAATTTTATTAAGTAATAAAATGATTCATCTGCAATTATATTAATAAAACAAATACTAAGAGAGAACTTAGCATAATATAATTTTTGTCAACATGGGCTGACATATTTTTGCCAACATGGGTAAACTAATTAAAGAAAAATAATGGTTGTTTTCTTCTGATTCCTAAAGAAAAGAATTCAGAATGTGCAATTAAATTTAAATTGGTGTTTATTTTTTGATTATTCAATTATTAAAATATTTTCTAAATAAACAATTTCAATTTCTACTCATGTACAATGTTCCCAGATTTCATCCACTAAAATTTAACATTTCTGTAGATAATAAAAATCTTATATTTTCTTTTGAATATTAATTCACAGATTAATCTAGAATGTTAATTAGATACTTTTTTAAGGAAACCAATTTTGGCACACAATTGCACTGATCGAATATAGATGGAACTTGTTTAGGGGAGGGGCTTTTAACATGAACCCGTTTTCATCCTAACTGCACAGATGAATATTCAGATTATTCAGCAAGTAAAATTTTAAATTTAAAAAAGAATTTATTTTATCACCAAAAAATGTGAGAGATGGTGAGATAATGTTCTACTATTTGGTAAGTAATGGTGAATGCTACCAGGATTGAACTCAGGAACTTAAGTTAACAAGAGTATGTGCAACAATCTTTTAATAATCTGGTCCAGCTACTAATTAAAATGAGAACTTTCAGGTTAACAAAAAAAAAAAAAAATCTCCTGTTATTCAAGTGGTAGAGGATTTCAGTGTACTCAGTGAATCTATGCTTGTAAACCTTAACAAGTAAATAAATGGCATCATTCTAAAAATTATTTAGCAATCATTTTTCTACAGGTTTCACAATTTCCAGATGAGCTGATGAATCACAATGGTTTTTCAGAAGCAAGCATACAGAACTGTCTAGATATTTCTTTGGTGTGTTTATATATTTGTTGAGATTTATCAAGACTGTGGCACCAATGTACATTCTTGTGCTTGTGATTGTAGACAAGAAGTTATGAGTCACACACATTTCACATGTCTCATTTGAAATGCTGCTTTGAACTTTATAAGCCTTATCTTTTTTTCCATTTTTTTCCCTCCGTTTTTTATATAAATACTACTCATTTTAGCTAATATCCTGATTAGTTTGCAATTAACTGCCAAAAATATCAGATTACTAACAGAAAATTACACTCTAGGATGAGTGTTGCATGTTAATGTGCAAGATTATCAAATTTCAAATCTAAATTGTTTGTCTATTTAAAATACAACATTTATTAGAAAATGTATCCAGTTTAAATACAAAAGGAGAGTCAGAAGAAGGACTTCAAAAGGGTTTGTTGTGAAACAGAAAGAGAAATTAGTCCCTACAGCACACATGACCATTTTCCATTTCATCCAAATTATGCATGTATCTACGTTTGCATGTAAACATACTTATTTTTTAATTCAATGGCAGACTTAAAAACATTTCAATAAAATTGTAAAAAAAACAAACAAAAAAAAAAAAACAATTTTTTTAAAAATAGTTCTGTTTATTAGTGAATAATTCCTGAAAAGTTCAGTAAAATCCTAGGGTTTAAAAATTTTATTTTTCTACTTCTGTCTTTGATCATTATTTTATTGTTCAGCTGAGGGTAGGGATTGTCTAGACTAAGTAGGAGGGGAATATATTAAACCAATGTCTTATTTTAAACTATTTCAAATTATGTGCATGCATGCGCTTATGTGTACATCAAATGGTACAATTACACGTAAGTCACACACATACCCACAATGCTGACACAAGTATATATATTACATATGTGCATGCAACATAACATATAGACAGTATATGGCAGACAGAGAAACAATTCTGAATTGTTAATCATTTAAAAATACCAAGTGCTAAGAATTTAAAAAAAAAAAAAATATCAATATCTTCCTGTATATAAATCTCTCAAAAGTATCTTGAAGTTTTTAAAAAGACAATTTCAAAAACATTCATAACTTTAGGTTTGGTTCATTTATGTCAAAAGTTGTTATCTTCCAAATGATTTTATGCTTATCATTTGTATTATTTCATACGTATGCTTATGAAAAAGTTACAGGAAGCAAAACTTTTAAGTTTAAGGTTTAAAACAGACCCACTCATGAATATGTAAGCAGGAAGAGGGGCTAGGATATAAGCCAACATCAATAAACTAGTCCAGAGCAAATATGACAATATTTTCTTCCACAGCTAAAACTTTATTTTCAAATAACATCCTATCTAAAATATTCACTATATATTTGATGGTATATAATGCACACACTTTAATTTACATTTAAGATTCTGGTAGATTAAGTAAACATCAGGGTGCCAGATATCTTAACTTTGTATATAAGACAGATTGTTTTTATTTAGCTATTTTTATTAAGAGGAATGGAGTTCTTACATGTTATCAAATATTGTAATATCATTTATGGTCTGGTGACGTAAGAAGATAACTGATGAATTTTAATTACAAAAGAAGGAAACACAAAAAACATCAGCACTTCAGTTTATATGATCTAAGTAAGAAAATGAAGCAAATATGGTTAAATCATACAAACATTTTCTGGAAAACTGATTAAAAAGACAATTTCTATTTTTATGATTAAAATTTATCAATGCATTTTAAAAAAAAAATTTTCCCCCATTTTGGCCTTGAAAATGAATAATCAGGAAAAGCCTAATGACAATACATTTTTGACAATCCATCCTAAAACAATGCAAGATGCAAAATGTTTGTGTGTACAAGTATTTCAGAGATAAGTTCAGTCATGGCAATGCGTTACAGGTTTGTCCATGAATGTACGTAAGCAACAGAAATGTAAAAAGATGTTTGTCAGATAAAAGGTAGTTGCAAGCAGCCATGCAATACATTTCAATATGTTATGCATGAATGACTTGTGTAAAGGAAACAAATAAATTAAAGGTGTGTCCAAGCTTTGAAAAATTGGTCCAATAATAATAATAATAATAATAATAATCAGTTTATGAGTAAATAAGAAATCAACAACAAAAATAAAAAACAAAACTGGAAAAATATTTAAAGAAAAAACTAAAAACAACTAGTAGCACCCATGAAAATTTCAAGTTTTTCCTATTTGAATTTTCTGGTGAATCATCATCTAATAACTGAATAAGCTCTTTAGAAGTTCCATGATGATAAAATACTTGTGGAAATTCCCCCGATCACATCGCTAAATATTTGAGCTTTAATAACTTTCACAAAATATTGTAATAACAATCATTATTTAAAGAAGTAAGAGGGTACAAATGAAAAGATTAAAATTGGCAAAATTTTCCATTTCACTGAAGCAGACGTTATATACATAAGAGCATTATCAGCTCTTCTATCTGCCCTTTCTTGCATTCTCCTTATTATGTATGCTTTTATTTTCTCACTAAAACCAAATAGTGTGTTTGACATGTCTTTTTCTAACTAAGCTACTAACTTATTAATGGATGAACAGGCAGAATTATAATACGAGTATTATTTTTTTTACTATTCATAAAACCGTAAGGGCAAAAACTGAAAATTAAAAATTCAATTTTAGGTTTCTGATTTAAGAAAAAAAATATTTTTAATATTAATTACTTGTATTATTTTGATTTTTTTCATTCTTAATTCTTTAAAATTGTCTTTAGGAAGCTTAAACTTTTTTTTTGTATTTTCCTTAAAATATTAAATAAATCAAATTGAACTTAGATAAACCTCTTTGAAGAGGTTTGTGCACTGAATTGACTACAATAAAAGGTTTACAATTATTTTCAGTTTTGTGAATGGTAAAAGATTTTAACACTAAAGTAAAATTAAAATTAAAGACAGTTACTGAAAATGAAATCAACAATAAAACATGTTTTATAATAATTATGGGAGACTGATTAGCTAATCTAGTTTTTAAAAATAGTCTAAAATATCAAAATTGTATTTTTGTTCTAATTTGTTGCATCTATATATTTTTGTTTGATTTTTTTTTCTTAAAAGAAGCATTCTAACTAAATCTATTCATTTAAAACGTAAAAGTATTTTGAAGCAAAATGCTATAAAATAATGATATACAAACATAAAAGCATCAGTTCAAATAATTGCTTCATATGCTGCTGTTTGTACAATTTACAACATTTCTGCAATTTATGATCTATAATAAATATTAAAAAAAGAGAGATATTTAACATTGGGACCTCAGGGATTTAATAAAAAAAAAGGAGGGAAAGAAAAGAAAAGGAAGAGGAAAGAGACTACTATTGTTGAAATTCGCAGGAAAGTGGATTGAAAAGTTGAGAAAATTAAAAATGAAATGCTTTGAAAAAAATTATGTTTCAAAATAATAAAATGAAATCCCATACAGTTACAAGGAGAATCAAACCCAAATTTAACTAGATGGAATTCAGTAAGATTGAGCAAAACCAAGACTACCTGTCCTTCCCCACTTCCCAACAATAAAAAAGAGACAATTTATCATCAAAGGTGTAGGTCCTGGAAAATAGAAAAACATGCTGTCAATAAAGAAAACCAAAATAACATCTAAAATTGTTCTGGACAAAGAGCCAAGAGAAACATTTGGTTTGAATACACCACCCAGAAGAAAAATATCCCTACAAAAATAGAGATTAGCACTAAGGACGGGTTTGTTCTTTTTAATTTCTGTAACATTCATCAAAATTTTTATGGCCAACATTATTTTTGGATTCTTTTATGACCAGCTGTGTGTCCTGGTTGTTCAAGAAATCACCTAAAACAACCAATGTGATGTTGGATGTTGAGAAAGTGGAAGCCTGGAGAATGAGATTAGCACTGCCTATATGGAGCAATGGTGCAAGATGAGATGTGAAGAGAGTTGGAGTTAAGGGACAGCTCGACTCCTATGACCACTCTCAAAAGGGGACTGGACAACCACTAAAATTTGAGAAGTAAACATATTTTGAAAAAATGGGATTTTAGAAAAAGGCTGATGCTAAGAGTGGAAGATAGCCAAACTCAAGACCCTGGTCAGCCCCATACTTCTTGATGCAGAACTCCATATAAGCTGAATTTTCAAATCTGAATTTTTCCCGTGGTAATATTCAATTTACATAATGGAAATGTGCCGTATTGACAAGGAACAAATTATGTTGAAAATATAAATATTAGCCATGTAAAATGTTTTTATCTACAATTAGACTAATAAAATCATTAATGATACACAAGTGTTGAAGTGTTTAATACTCAGCACTTTCTTTCTTCAGAAAATATCAAATGTCATTCTATTAGAATTGAAAAAACTCTTTCACATATTGTGAAGACACATCAAGAATTTTTTCAGTTTGTAAAAATAGTTCAGGCTTAAATTGTCTTCCTTCTGCTAAATTTTGTCAGTTTTTTTTTGCTGAACCTAATCGTTACAAGATTGACTAAGATGCATTATTTCACAGATTATTGAATCAAATCAGTTGACACTTTATACACACACAAAATCTCTCACCAAAGTGAAAGACATTTAATATTAAGTAGGCTTTCAATAAGTTATCAAAAGATTTACCCAGAATCCATAATAATAACAATTAGTAAAATGATCTTATTCTCAGAGTGGCAAAATAAAATAGAGTGTAAGGTAAACAAAAAAATACAAAAGAGAAAGAAAACAAAATATTAATGATCATTTTTAAATTGCCAACCAATTTACTAACATCTGTGATAAGTAGGAGTTCCAATTTTTTAAGAGTTTCATGTTGTCCCTCTTCACTGTTGCTTATTGATCCAATCTTTAGAGCCATGTCATGCATTACTTTCTCAGCTTGCATCAGCAGCAGATAGTCAGGGTGATCCTTTGCGGTGTTTTCAGCAAGTCGCTGAAATATAGGAAAAGAAAAAAAAAAAGCATATGAACTGATATGATATTTCTGAAGAGCAAATTTACAGGAAATTGGGTTTATGAAATTAGAAAAAGAAAAGTAAAAAACTCCACAGACATGATGACAAAAAAATCAAAATGGTTAAATAATACTTATAACATTTATTTTCAAAATATTTTAAATGGGTAAGAGAAAGCGAGAAAGAATTACACCCACAAGCAGATTTCCCAGTGGACATGTACACTATGTCAAATTTTATCATGCAAGTCAAGGTTTTCCATAATAAAATTCATACTACTTATACTTCCATAAATAATGTCTTTATTAAGAATACTGATAACTTGTTTTAGGAATGTTTTCTTTTGAAGTATATATTATTGTCCCCCCCCCCATACAAGCCTTAAATTTTGCTGAGGATACATAGAATAGATAATAGTTGGCCCTAGACTTGAAGAAGTTAGAATTGTAGTGATCAGGAAAGCACCCTTGTCTATTGCACAAAATTCTTGGAAATTCTTCTTGGGAAGAAGCTGTCTAAAAGGAACCTTCTTTTTACCAATGAAATATTGGGGAATGAAGATTAATGAATTCAATTATATGTATGTGGCATGACAAGTCCTTATTTGTTGTCATGTAAGTCACTTAGACTATTTCCATGAAGGATGCAAACTCTACCTGGGCTAACAGGTTGTCCTTCCAATGTAGTTCTACATTTATCACTAAAAATTATTGTTGAGAAATTAGTTTTTATGTGTCTATTTGTTGCTTTCATGTAGCTAGCCAATTTTCTTAATATTTTCTATTTTTTCTGTTTACATTTGCAACACCCCAGCTTCTTCAAATATTATCTTGCTTACTACTCCTTTAATTTTTATCAAATCTCTTTTTATGACATTTTTAAAGCCAATTTTCTTTATTGTTTTAATTTTGCCAAATGTTTGCAATTTCTTTTTTCATTGTTTTCTAATCTCTGTTCAAATTTTTCACACTTTTAAACATTGTGTTCTTTTCACTAATTTTCATTAATATCTTGTTTCTCATTACAGGTTATACTTTTATTGGAATTTTTTTCATATCTGAAATTTAGAAAATAAAAGTCAATAACCATATTATTTCATATATTTATTTTCAATATGATGAACAAAACTGAGTTGCATAATAAAATATCACACAACCAAGTTATAAGTATTTCTAATAAAAATCAGATATTATAAATTGAAACTCACATGGTATATTTATCATTTATTTATCATATAAATATATCCTGAAAATCTTCCCAATATCAGATGGTTAATACCAAATATATTGACAACATTGACTTGCATAATAAAATCTGACAGTCTATATATACAACTGATTCTGTGCATGTGTGTGCAAGCACACACAGTGAAAGGCAACATGAATGTTATCAGAGATATCAATTTTACAAGGTGGACATTTACTGATGTTATCAATGAAACCATTCAGAGAATGCAGCCTGCAATGCAATTATTTGAGATTTCAAGTACACTTCCATCGTGTGATTCTGAAGTCTGGTCTCTGCAAAACTCTTGATTACATTACAATTCAAAAAGAACAAGAAATAAAATATATCCAGATTTCATTCATATGCAATCAAATTCTTTTGATTAAACAAAAAGAAAAGAAATAATTCTATGATTAACCAGTTACTGAGACTAGACTGAAGGTGGATAAAAAAATCTCATCAAGTTCTTCTAAATTCACCTTAGACAAATTGTTTTTGGTTTTTTTTTACATCCTTGTATCCTCTACACCCAAGTAAAATATACAATACCACCTACGTATAAATACCAATGTCAATTTTTCTAAGACTGACTGTCATACTTTTTTCTTAAGAAGCAGATTGTTTAAACAGCTGAACTGGAGTACTGCCGATGGAGAATATACAAATTTTGGGAAAAGTTTTCTAAATCCCATTTCTGTGATGAGAATGCAGATACTTGTAAAATTTCTAATATCTAATTCATGTCATTGTTATAATTTGTGTAACTGCTATTTCATCTTAAATACTTTCTGACTGATGTATCAATTTGTGTTAGTGTAAGCTCCTAGTGACGACCAAATTTCTTTGAAACTCATGGACTGGTGCTACAGAATCACAAAGAATTTTACCAAATAACAGAAATCACATCACTTGAAGACTTTAAATAACTACTAAAATGTGGAGCACATTTAACATAAAGAAAAATAATGACATAATCAAGATGTTGGCATTCCACATTACTTCAAACAAAAGGTTAGGAAGGAAACCCCCATCATTAGTGGAAAAAGCAATAACAGTTACTGGACTTGAGAAAGCTATTTTTCTGAAAAATTGTTTTAATAGAAAGATTTTATAAATTTCAACTGTAGCGCTGGCTGTTTGGTCAATGAATGCTGAATGTTTCCATATAAGGAAATGGCTAATATTACCATAAGAGGTTAGTAAAACAAATATTACACTATGATCCCAACCTGATGGCCAGGGAGTGAAGAAAAGCCTAACTGAAGTAGCACTGGTTGTTTGATCAGTGAATGCTAAATATTTCCTTATAAGGAGATGACTAATATTACCATTTTTAAATTCAAAATAAATATTATTATTAGTATTAGTTCTTATATTTTGAATTTCTTAAATAAAGCTAAGTCTGTTATTAATTTTTGATTTGTATTTTTTTTTCATCTAATTTTGTTACTTTTTATCCTTCTATATCCATTAGTAAACCTAAATGAATACTGCTTGGGAGCGGGCTCCAAATATTTGAACCTGATGATCTGGATCTCCCAGATGAGCCAAGTTATGGCCACAAGTCATTACTTGACAATAAGGGTAACCATGGAAGTTAATCCAGAACCAAATACTTTGGAATTGAATGTATTTTATATTAAAGTCAGAAGAAATCTGGTACAAGTTGAGAAAAATCAAGAAAATACAGAAGTGGGTCCCACCCCATGATGATCATCAGCTTGAACAATTTGCCAATTGCTGCAATTTGTTGGTTCACTTCAATATTGATCCTTTTCTCACTCATTTGCTAACTCTTGATGAAAAGTCATTTCTGTATGAAGACTTGAATTTCTTTCGGCTAACTAATTTGATCTCTTCCTCAATCTTTCTAAACCCAAATCCTCATCCCTGTTAGATTTGTCTGAACATCTAGTGGTGTCATTATAGCCTCATGAAATCTGGATAGACCATCAGGGAATAATCCTGTTGTCATGATTTAGAACTGATGCATCAAAAGTTGCAAACATTTTGGTCAGCACTGTTGAGGAGAAAATCCTGCTGTAGGATAATGATAAAACTCATTTCATGAACCACCTGTCAAAAATTGATGCAGTTTGGCATCAAAACTGTCTCAAAAATGCCTTCTAGCAGTTTGACACCTGTAACTTCCAGTTTTTATGGGGATAGAATAAATCTCCTGCCAGATCATTAGCAATGTCATTTTGATTCTGAAGAGTAAGCGTTCTCAAAGCAAATTTGTGGCTTTCACAACACAAAAAAAGAGAATCACTTGTAACACGTCAGGAAAATAACTCACGAACGCCGTAGCCAAAACTGCCCGAATTTTCCTGACGTGTTACAAGTGATTCTCTTTTTTTGTGTTGTGAAAGCCACAAATTTGCTTTGAGAACGCTTTTACTCTTCAAGCTATTTCGCAGAACCTATTTTTTTTCCATTCGTCGACAGCCGGGATAGGATGCTCCTTAATTTGCATATTAATACACTCTTATAGCGACTCCTGCATTTAACTTGTTTCTTTTTTCGCTTGGGTTGACGAGGTAAGTCGCTATAAGAGTTTTGCTGACTACTTTTTTTTTGGCAATCCCTCCCCGCAGATCGCACACAAAACACAAACTTTTTTTCGGGGTACTTGATTATCTCGTTTCACTACACTCCCCCTGTCACATAAGTGACACTCATGGGCGGGTCTCTTTATTCTTAAGCTTCTCCGGAGCGGGCAACTGTGGAGGAGATTGTGTGTTATGTTCTGAGGTTTCTTCTGATCTGACAACCTCATGCGCAGAGTCTTCATCATCTGAAGAATGTTCTGAAGATTCTTCTTCTGAGGATTCTTCTGGTCTGACAACCTCATGCACAGAGTCTTCACCATCTGAAGAGGTGCTATCCCTACATCCGATGGTAATTATTTGTTCACTTTCTGAGCACTCACTGCTAGTGTCACTTGTTGACGATCAGTACCTACATAGTGACGCAAGTCCTTTATGTGTCTTGGTATGCCATCAACCAGCACAGAACGCGAGTTACTTAGTCCAGTGACATGCCCCACCCGGTACCGGGTTGTACATCGCTATGTGGAGATTTCACCCACACGCGACGCCCAAGTCATATGGGCGCCGTTCGTTTATCCATTCAGTTGAACGCGTTGCGTCAATGCCTCGTAGCCGGACTTTATACTGATAAATCATGTTGGCTGGCACAGTTGAGGGCGATACATTATTGTCTCTCGGAGTAACATTGTACCAATACACCGCCTCCATTATGGAACACTGCTTCCTAGCAGTGATTCTTTTGATGCTCGGCGACATCGCCGACTATGCCATTCCTGATGGGACATACGGCGCAGAGCGTAAATCTGAGGTGTACTCCCCACGGGCCACAAAATCTTTTGAATAGTTCACTGCGGAATGCAGTGTAGATTTGTCAGTGAGGAGTTCCGTCGGAGGTCCACGTTCAAAGAACAATGACCCCAAGTGGTCAATGACGCTATGGAATCCTGTCGACGCAGACGCCGCCAAATAGTGAACCGGGTTGGGCCACAATCATTCAGGGTTAAATAGTGATGTCCGTTATAATGGGTGATGTCCATTCCAACACGGTGCCACACCTTGCTTACACTCACTTGTCCTTTTTGCCATTGCACAGGTGCTGGGTCGATGGACTGACACTCCTTGCATTCTCTGACCACTGCCCTGACAGCAGCTTTGGATAATGGAGGGATCAATCTGCCTCCACGAAATATAAGGTCCGC